TGTTCAGATACCGCCTCGTAACGTCCCATACTTTGCGTCGAATGTGTATAGCAATACATTGATCCATGCTTATTCCTTGCTTGTTCATCCGGGGTTAATTTAACATAGTAAGGCGCCATTGCATCTTGTAATCTCGTTGAATCTATAAATGGAATAAGTACAACAGCTTCCCATTCTTGTCTTTTACCATTCAAGTCGGTTTCAAACTCCACAGGGTAATAATCAATTATAGGAGATTGTTCGTCAGTCAATAATGATTGAAACGCTGGGGGCAGCAGCTTTTTACTATAAGGCGGTAATACAGCTAGTAATTGTTCAAACGGTAAAAATGGCTCTCCAAATTCGAATTCAAATTTTAAGTCCTTAAAATCCTTTATATCTGAAATATAAGGTGCATAGTGATGCGGGTAATACCACGTCCAACTACAACATCCGTTGTAGTAATAATGTAAATTCCACTGCAGCGCTGTAACATATCCTTCAGCTTGGGAACGCAGGAAATCCCTGAAATATGATTGGAAAAATGTAAATAACGATTATCAAAATTTATCTCTTACAAGGAGATGCCACGAGGTGGTAACTTTGAATGAGCTTTAGTGCATTCGAAAGGGGAGGTCGACGGTAAAAATCATGTTAAGGGTTTTGGGTGTATGGGCCCTACCTTTTGAGAAAATTGCATAAATATCAGTGCGTGTTTTCAGCTACACCCGAGCAGTCACTATTTTGTAATCTATGCAAGCTCGGTTCAAGACAGCATTTTAGCAATTTTTTTTTCTTTCTTTTTTAGATGATTCTATTTATGAATTGATTTCTCTCATTTTTTGCAGCAAAAGAAAATTATTTTTTTATGATTTTACCATTTTTCTAGACCTATAAAAATAAATTTTGAGCTGTTTCTAATTTTATCATTTTTCTAGATTAATATAAAATATTGTGCAATATTAGAATAGATTTTTATGTATTTCTAATTTTACCATTTTACAAAATTATTGTTATCTTCCATTGCACATAAATAACATAATAAAACCACATAAAAAAATAATACCTTTTTGCTGCAAAAAATGAAAAAAATCAATTCATGAATAGTATCATCTAAAAAAAAAAAAGAAGAAAAAAATTGACAAAATGCTGTCTCGAACCGAGCTTGCATAGATTACAAAATAGTGGCTGCACGGACACTATTTAGGTTCATACTGAAATTTAACTATTCATTGTATTTATGGTACAGCTGAAACAATGCACAGATATTTATGCAATTTTTTCAAAAAGTAACGTCCATACACCTAAAACCCTTAACATTAGTTGCATTGAACTTGTCGCAGTGAAGTTGGCTACGCATTCACTCACCGACACGGCGTGAATGCGTTAGTGAATTTGTAGCCAACTTCACTGCGACAAGTTCACTGCAACTCATTGTACTGTCGACCTCCCCTTTCGAATGCACTAGAGCTCGAAGTCGAGTTAGCACCTGGTGGCGTCTCCTTGTTAGATCATATGACTTTCAGAATATTCTTACTCATTTATATCTTCATATTTTAGCTTATTTATGTAATAATCCCTCTTATGTTGAATAAATTCCATAGTATAGGTCTCACTATCGGACTCGTCATCTCCTAGTTCATCCTCATTTCCTAACGACTACGTTAAAAAGTATTAGATAAAGTACATGTAAATATTAATTATTAAGTACACACGAATAAGTACCATATCGACTGCAGCTCTAAGTAAAGCACAAAATTCTTTATCTTGCATCTTTTTTGGGGACAAATTCTGTTCATTACCCTCCGATTTTTTGTGATTAGGTTTATCAGTCTCAGTCAGAGGTCTTCCCGTTTTACTCTCGAGATACTTTAGATCTGCATAATGCTCCGAAAACTTTAATATGTCAAAACAACTAAGTCTTTCCATAAATTTTTCAAATCTATCTAATTTCAATGTTCCCGCCTCGTTTATATACCCTGAAACAAATTTTACATCTTAACTAATTTACAAAGTATAATATGTATATTATATCTTTAATAAATCAACTGACCTTCTAGCGTTGGCAGTACATCCATGTACACTTGGTACAATATTGATAGCGCACCATGCATAATATCTAAATTTGGTAAATTTGGAATAAAATCATTTCCCACAAGGAATCCCATTAAAATCCAATCGTCAATTATTTTTTCCAAATCATAAGGAAAAGGTAACTTTTCTCTCATTGAAGAGAACTCATGATTTATATACTCTCTCAAAAGTGATAAATGAAAGAGACAGAACTTTGTCTCCTCCGGAGTTAAAAGTTTTGTTTGTTTTTTACCATATACTATTTCTTCTCTCAATAATGTAAAATGTATTTCATGAGTACATAAGCCTAACATTATTAAATCCGCATCTAAACCGTATAAACAATGTTTAGTGTGTATATCATAATCTGGTTGTGCTTTCATGTAACGAATATAGTCCATTATCTTGTGTTCTCCTTCTCCGGGAACCTGAAACATTTTTTATTTCTTTATACATTTATCTCGCTATAGGATTTTAGCTGCATATTAAAGTTTATTACCTCGGATCCACTCAATATAACTTTGCACTTTTGCCATTGTTTGTCGGTGGAAATTTTGTACGTGACCAAGTACCTTAAGTGTTTATTGACTTTGTCCATAAATTCTGTCCCTGGAGTTATAGCATTCGAATCGAATCTTTCCTCTTTAGGTATCTCTATGCCCTGAGCTCTAGCTTTAGCTTCTAGAATTTCTGCATCTTTCGCAGATCTGAAACGTCTGCCCCTCTGTTGATTAATTTTTGCTCTTGGGGCTACACCATCGATTGCTATAAAAAACAGCTTCCGAGGTTGAATCATGCGAAATAATAATTCGATATAACGAAATATATTCTCAAATATCACATGTTCTGAGATGCGAAAGGAAACATCGCTATCGTTTGGATGAGAACAACCGTGTATGATACCATTCACATCTAAATACAAATTATCAAATTCAGGTATCTGAAAACAATGATATAATTTGTATTATTCTTTGCAATAATAGCTGAAAAGAATTGTATGCTAAAGAAATTTAAGTTACACTAAACTCTATACATTCTTACAGTGTAACAAAGAATATCATTTATATAACAACAAAGCATGTAAACAAAATTTGATAACTAAGAAGTTGTTTAAAGAATTGCACAGAAATTTGAAACAATTTTCACGCAAGTATATTTGTTTATTTTTTCAATCACCTGGTAATCCTTTAACGTTTCATTGAGACAAGGATATCTTTCACTGATATAGCGATAAAACTTTGGTATACCCATCTTAAACAGGGAACGTTTCTATAATAATTTTTGTAGTCTTTCCGTGTTCCTTACTGTAATAATAACACAATTTCTTGCTTGAGGACTTTGTACAGAAATTAAAAACTTTTTCCGTAAGTTTATCAACTTTGCTCCTACGTTCTACGTATCGATTAACCATGAAGTTTAAATATGTACATAGGTGAGAAACTCAACTTTATACGTGAAGGTAGCGCACCTATAGCAACTAATAATTGAATTATTTTCCCAAAAAATTAACTTTTAAATTTACCGTGAACAGTTTTCTAACTGAAACAGTTTAACACAACGTCTTGAAATCATTGCTATTGCAATTTTTCATTAAATGCGTGAAGGTCCAACTTCGAATTCCGCGTCGGTAAAACAGTGAACGTTTCATCGAAAATTAGGTCGCTAGCGTGGAGGCACCGACGAGATACTGTCGGTGGTGGAGGCCGAACTTCGAATTACGCGTCGGTAAAACAGTCAATGTTTCTTCGAAAATTAGGAACAGAAACTGATTTAAGCGCCACCACAGTTATCGCATCCAACTAACGGCATGCTATTCTACGTCACTTTTCACATGCGCCTAAATGATGATCCACGGATGTTACGATAGCTCTGAATATTATGTACGTTACAGACAAAGTATAAAATACGATACTGCACGTATGATCTAGGAAATGTATGAATGACCTAACTCCTTCAGCCAAATATTATATATATATACATTTTTTGTAATATAACATAACCAAGGGAAGAATATTTCTACAAATCGAATGTCTAAAGTTAGTTTTTTTAAAAATAATATGTCCCGATATTGTACTCCGAATTCCTAAGGTTAGTTTATCATTCTAAAGCAATGTTTTCCAACGTGGGGCCCAGGCTCCACAGGGGGGCAATTCGAAAATGGACTCGTCCAGAGTTTAAGTTAACCGTATGACGTCCCTCAACTTTCAGTCGCTACACGAGCTGGGTAAACGTCCATAATTACTCATAATTAAAATAATATAGAAAAATCTTTCATTAAAATTATTTCGTACTTGAATTTCAGTTCTTTATTATATATTTTGAAAATTTACTTACTGTTTCCTCAACAATTTCCTAGTGATTTCTTCCTAATACCTATCATTTAAGTTTTTTCAGTGAACAATTCAATTTTTGAATATTGAAAATTATGTTTACGTTACATAGGGGGCATAAGAACTTTAGAAACGCTTAAGTGGGGCATGCCATAAAAAAGGTTGGGAAATCGTCAATGTACCCATGTATACCGCAGTTCACCAGAGTCCATAACTGCGAAAAGACCAGTTTTCGTTCTTCGCGCTTCTCCAGTGCGCATCTTCGCCCTAATTGGCGATACTCCCAAACGAAGTGAAAAGCGATTAGCAGAGAGATCGTTGCGTTCCCCCACCATCGTCCAACCTGCGCGTCGCAGTTATGGACTCTGGTGAACTGCGATATACACACATCATCAGTACATAGGATAAGGAACATGGGAATAAATGACAAGAACGCAACTTACGGAAAATATTATACATATATTATAATACTTATAGAACTACATTTAAAAAAGGAAAAATATATAATAATGAAACAAACAAAAACAATAATATATAATAGAAAAATAGAATTAAAAAGTATAATAATAATAGTTCCTGAAATCAAACAAATCATAGTTTTATATTGCCTTCTTCATTATTATTATACATATGTATATTATCGTCGTACTCACTTCTTAGATGTACCGCCTGCAACCGGGTACGGGCTTATGGCAAGCGCCGCAATATTGGTTCACGGGCCGATTAGTGCAGTTGCGTCTGCCTCGACGCGGCATTGTCTCCCGTTGCAGCCGTTTTAGCTCTCTCCTGCATCGCCGCAGCTCCCGCTGCTGCATGGACCTGTATGTCTGGAAAAATAAATATTGTTATTATGCATAAACAATGAATAATAGAAATAACGTGCCAACAGGAAAATAGAAAATCGACTTACGGTATCTTCAGCTTGTTGCTGGTATGGCTGCGGCTGCGGCTGATATGGATGCGTCTGGTACGGTTGTGGCTGATATGGATGCGTCTGGTACGGCTGCGGCTGGTACGGCTGCGTCTGGTACGGGTACGGGTACGGGTACAGCTCGTATGGGTACGGATACTGCTGGTGCGGGTACGGATACGGCAGTGGCTGGTACGGCTGCAGCTGGTGCTGATGCGGCTAGAAAAATAAATATTATGTTATTAATCATAAACAATGAATAGCAAAAATAACGTACAAACAGGAAAGTAAAAAAGCGACTTACGGTATATTCAGCATGTTGCGGGCACGGGTGCGGGTGCGGCTGGTGCTGATGCGACTAGAAAAATAAATATTATGTTATTATGTATAAACAATGAATACCAGAAATAACGTACCAACAGGAAAATAGGAAAACGACTTACGGTATACCCAGCATGTAGCGGGTACAGTTTCGGCTGTCGCTGAATATTTATCTGCATCCGTCGCTGCCGCATCTTTAGCTGCAACTGCGGTCGCTGTTCCACCGCCCACAATAAATTCGCCCTGTCAGCTTCTAAAAAAAAATTGAAAAACATGGATAATACTGCAGAGAAATTTCAAATGTATTTATCCAGAAATTTACGAATATTCATTGACAATTACATGTATTGAACTGTATTGAATTACAAAATACGAATAATCCAGTTGACAGAAAACCGGACCGTGTCAATGTATCATGGAAAAATAATCCGGAAGACAAAAATTTTCTCTGCACAAGTTATCGCACAAATATACAGTGGGTCACAAAATTATACGCTCACCGTTTGAAACAGAATACCTCATTTAATGCCCGTGACAACATACGCATTAGTATGGGATCCCCGCTTTTCTACTGTTTCTGCAGGCAACAGCACGGCAACCGATGACCAATATATGTATAACTCGTGTACTTCTGTATTCATGATTTCAACGTATCATAGCTATAATGGTAGTCGGGAATTTAATATAGCCTAACCTAACCCAATCTTCTCTACCTAATCAGTGAATTAGGTTAGGTTAGGCTAAAGTAATATTCTGGTCGCCATTAGGCGACCAACACACAAACTGATTGTCGGATTCAAAATCATTAAAATTAGTTAAATTTGATTTTTACGTCCGCCCGTAATATATGTATTTATATGTATATTGGTCGGTCGCCATGTTGCTGCCTGCGAAAACAGTAGAAAAGTGGCGATCGCACACTAACGCGGAAGATGTAACACGAACGCACGCGACTGGCAGAATCCAATGTATTAGTTTAGACAGTTTTTCGAAAATATCTCAGAAACTAAGGCCGAGCGACGGTTATATGTACAGAAAAAAGTTGTTGAAAATGTTGATTTAAATAATCTAAATAATTACCACGTGATTAGTTATGTTGAAGATGAAAAGTCGCGATTTTTGGAAAATTTAACTACTTATAACTTCTAAGTGCATTCATCGATTATGATGAAATTTTCAGCATACACATAACTCATTTGAGTCTACGAAAGACAAATTTTAAATTTTCACTACAGGCTCACATAAAAAAGTTGAAAAATTACCCATCACTATTTTTTCTCACGGTTTCAACAAATTGTAATTTTTTAAGGCAACAAAAACACATATCTTAGTAAATTAATTCGTATAGCTTCTCGAAAAACCTCACGTCATTTGGTCCAATTATGTGACCCACTGTATATGAGACAAAGCAAATGTCGAAAAACATATTTCTGTTACAAATGCTCACGAAATGTATAATAATTATCAATGACACTCACGAAGTAAATATGAAAAGAAACGCTTACCGAGGCTTCGCATATCCATTTTTTTTCTTTTCGATTTTCACCCGTTCGTAGCTCGTGTTAAACTCAGGCCCAGGCCATAGTGATGCCAGAGTCGCGGGACGTAGGACAAATTTTTACCCTCTCCACGACGTCCCAGTGACTCCCCTACTTCAATTGTTTCATCTAACACAAGTCTGTTGCCCCACGTGTCCGTGTGAGCTCTCCGGGTTCGGCTGCTCCCGGCATTTCTACGTTATCGGCACGATGCTCAAACCGCCTAAGCACGTGGCAGCAGCATCGACGAGTCGATAAAATAAGATAATCTCGTCCATGGCAATACGGTAGAATTGAGAAACCAGGAGATTTCGTTCGAATCCCGATTCTACGGTTTCAATTCTGATGCTCAATACATTAACATTTCCTTAATACATAACAATACATTTTTAATACATTAATACTTTGAAATACATAAACTCTCGTATTTCATGTGGTAGCGAAAATCAGTACTTGGGCAGAAAATTCAGGCGGCGCTGGTATCGCTACACAAGTAAATGATATCGCTGAGATACACACACAAAGCACATGGTCCCTATATGCGTGTGCATACTTACTCAGAACTTTGAAGAATAAAAATAAAGGAAAGGAAAAAATTACAACAATATATGTGGAGTAATGGGAATATATTAAACTTTTACTAAAATATAATAAATACAGTGGCTCAAAGTAAAACTTGGACACTCTACTCATTTAAAATTGGACCAAATGACTCGAGGTTTTTTGAGAAGTTATACAAATTAATTTACTAACAATAAGAACGGAACTAGTCACGGTCTGAAGTCTGCTGACAGCTTCAAACGTAGTAAAGGACAACAAGAGAAAGAGGGACTCCGGATTATCACGATCGTGGCTTCTCTGTCTTTTTCATTCGCTACCCTTCCCTTACGATTAGTCCAAAACATTTTATCGTCAAATTAACAAGTAAATACAGTCCAAATAGTATCATGGTTGGTATCATCTTAATCAGAAAAATCTCGCCAAGGCGCTAGTAAAAGTTTCATTGTGAATAAGTCAACAATGAAAAACTTTTATGGTTGAATTAGAATTAGTCACACCGATACGCCTCGGCTCTTCGCTTTGGACATCTAAGACCTCTCTCTCCTCCACTGTCTGTCCCTTTCTACGTTCACACTTGGCTCGTGCCGCATGTAAACACAGAATCAACACCATTGTACATTTTTCTTTGCCCCTTCAAAATCGAGTGTCGGGCAACGAAGGAGACGCGGGCTGCGAAAAGGTTATTAGTTGATTAGCTGTATCATAGTAAACGTTTTTGGACTATATGCGAAGCGTAAATGTAAAAATCTGATTAAATTGTCACAAAAGGATAATGTATAATAATAAAGTACATTATTGTAAGACTAACCGAGCGGGTGATTAAATAATAGTGGTAGTATTAAATAAAATGTTCAACTCTTTATTCGCACAATCATACACGACGACAGTCAGAATACCCTGCTGTCCTAAAAATCCTCGGTCGTGAAGACGCCTTCGACAGTATGCCCTTTTGTTTACGACCCCCCCACGTATAGGGCCTCTCCCTTAAGAAGGAGAAACGCGCTGACAAAATACACATGGCCTACCTTGACCTTTTGCCTACTTCGATTTTTCTAACATTATAATGAATATAATAAAGAACCGACTCCGAAAGCACAGCGCCTAGACCTATCGTAATTCCACCCTGCAGCCTTGAGCAGTTTTCGCAGGCGATTCTGAAAGTACCTTCTTCGGGCAGGTCCCCATTACATATTTAGAAATACGGCGTCGGGCCGCTTGCCTTCTCTAAACACTTTCCATTCAAACAAACAATCCTTCGATTCCTGATAGCTGAGAGACCCAATGTGGTCATCAGCCGTCTTCAATCACCAGGCCTGTTTAGTCTCACTCACTCTCTTTCAAGACCTCGCGCAGTCCAAGTCCCCATCATAAAGCGTACGAAAGCAAACTAGAGTCGGGTTAATTGCCCTCGACGACCCTTAAAAATAAGCCGTCGCTAACACATTGGTAAAAGTACAAAAGTTTTATTGTTGCATTAGCATTTGTCACGCCGCACAGTGGGACATTGGCCTCGAAAAGCTGGTCAAAAATATTTTAGCATTATTTTAAAATCTAGAGCCATAGTGTAATAGGTCGTTGGTTTCGTCTTAACGTCAATTGCAACAATATGTAGTCGAAAATAGAATTAAAACTGAACACATTCGATTAGTTATAGTTCAAAAAATACCAGAGATATAAAGGTGTACTTTGGTGTAATTTCAATGCATATGAGGTAAATTTAATTCTATCACTTATCATTTAACTTGAAGAACCACAGCAATATTTAAAAAACCATGTAGAGCTAGATTTTTTTTGTTTTATTCAGAAAGGATTGGGCCATTACAAAATAATTTTTACAACCTCGATAATTAATTTTATAATGTCGAAAAATGTAAACAAATCCTTTTTTTATCCATCAAAGCAACATGTACCAGCAGACCTCGTATACGACTAAATGACCCCATTTATACCTCGAGAACTATGTATATTAGTAACCACTCTTGGCCGTATAAGAACAAAAATAATGGCCAAGCATGGTTTACTCCTGTAGTTCTCGAGGCATAAATGGGGTCATTTAGTCGTATACGAGGTCTGCTGGTACATTTGTATTGCTTTGAGACCAGCAGCGGTATAAACAATCGACCATAATACCGGAGCGCTGTGCTTTCGGAGTCGGTTCTTTATTATATTCATTATAATGTTAGAAAAATCGAAGTAGGCAAAAGGTCAAGGTAGGCCATGTGTATTTTGTCAGCGCGTTTCTCCTTCTTAAGGGAGAGGCCCTATACGTGGGGGGGTCGTAAACAAAAGGGCATACTGTCGAAGGCGTCTTCACGACCGAGGATTTTTAGGACAGCAGGGTATTCTGACTGTCGTCGTGTATGATTGTGCGAATAAAGAGTTGAACATTTTATTTAATACTACCACTATTATTTAATCACCCGCTCGGTTAGTCTTACAATAATGTACTTTATTATTATACATTATCCTTTTGTGACAATTTAATCAGATTTTTACATTTACGCTTCGCATATAGTCCAAAAACGTTTACTATGATACAGCTAATCAACTAATAACCTTTTCGCAGCCCGCGTCTCCTTCGTTGCCCGACACTCGATTTTGAAGGGGCAAAGAAAAATGTACAATGGTGTTGATTCTGTGTTTACATGCGGCACGAGCCAAGTGTGAACGTAGAAAGGGATAGACAGTGGAGGAGAGAGAGGTATTAGATGTCCAAAGCGAAGAGCCGAGGCGTATCGGTGTGACTAATTCTAATTCAACCATAAAAGTTTTTCATTGTTGACTTATTCTCAATGAAACTTTTACTAGCGCCTTGGCGAGATTTTTCTGATTAAGATGATACCAACCATGATACTATTTGGACTGTATTTACTTGTTAATTTGACGATAAAATGTTTCGGACTAATCGTAAGGGAAGGGTAGCGAATGAAAAAGACAGAGAAGCCACGATCGTGATAATCCGGAGTCCCTCTTTCTCTTGTTGTCCTTTACTACGTTTGAAGCTGTCAGCAGACTTCAGACCGTGACTAGTTCCGTTCTTATTGTTAGTAAATTAATTTGTATAACTTCTCAAAAAACCTCGAGTCATTTGGTCCAATTTTAAATGAGTAGAGTGTCCAAGTTTTACTTTGAGCCACTGTATTTATTATATTTTAGTAAAAGTTTAATATATTCCCATTACTCCACATATATTGTTGTAATTTTTTCCTTTCCTTTATTTTTATTCTTCAAAGTTTTGAGTAAGCATCCACACGCATATAGGGACCATGTGCTTTGTGTGTGCATCTCACTGATATAATTTAGCTGTTTGCTGCGACACCAGCGCCGCCTGGATTTTCTGCTCCAGTACTAATTTTCGCTACAGCATGAAATATGTACTGGAGTTTATATATTTCAAAATATTAATGTATTAAAAATATATTGTTATGTATTAAAGAAATGTTAATGTATTAAGAATCAAAATTGAAACCGTAGAATCGGGATTCGAACAGGATTTCCTCGTTTCTCACTTCTACCATAGTGCTATGGACGAGATTATATTATTTTATCGACTCGTCGATGCTGCTGCCACGGGCTTAGGCGGTTTGAGCATCGTGCCGATAACGTAGAAATGCCGGGAGCAGCCGAACCCGGAGAGCTCACACGGACACGTGGGGCAACAGACTTGTGTTAGATGAAACAATTGAAGTAGGGGAGTCACTGGGTCGTCGTGGAGAGGGAAAAAATTTGTCCTACGTCCCGCGACTCTGGCATCACTAGGGCCAGGGCCTGAGTTTATCACGAGCTACGAACGGCTGAAAATCGAAAAGAAAAAAAATGGATATGCGAAGCCTCGGTAAGCGTTTCTTTTCATATTTACTTCGTGAGTGTCATTGATAATTACATTTCGTGAGCATTTGTAACAAAAATATTTTTGTCGACATTTGCTTTGTCTCATATACAGTGGGTCACAAAATTGGACCAAATGACGTGAGGTTTTTCGAGAAGCTATACAAATTAATTTACTAAGATATGTGTTTTTGTTGACTTAAGAAATTACAATTTGTTGAAACCGTGAGAAAAAATAGTGATGGGTAATTTTTCAACTTTTTTATGTGAGCCTGTAGTGAAAATTTAAAATATGTCTTTCGTAGATTCAAATGAGTTATGTATAGCTGAAAATTTCATCGTGATCGATAAATGCACTTAGAAGTTGCAAGTAATTAAAATTTTCAAAAATCGCGACTTTTCATCTTCAACATAACTAATCACGCGGTAATTATTTAGATTACGGACGGCAACTCCGATCTCGATGATTTTTAAATATGTTGTAGAAATCAACATTTTCAACAACTTTTTCCTATACATATAACCACTGCTCGGCCTTAGTTTTTGAGATATTTTCGAAAAACTGTCGAAATTAATACATTGAATTCTGCCTGTTCGCGTGCGTTCATGTTACATCTTAGGCGTAGTGTGCGATCGCCGCTTTTCTACTGTTGTTGCAGGCAGCAACACGGCGAACGGCCAATATATACCTTAAAAATCAAATTTAACTAATTTTAATGATTTTGAATCTCAGTTGTGTGTCTGGTCGCCTAACGGCGATTAGGTTTCATTCACTCATTAGGAAGAGTAGATTGGGCTAGGTTAGTCTATATTAAATTCCCGGGTGTCAAAAGTACATAACTTTAGTAAACTAATTAGTATGGCTTTTCGAGAAACCTCGCGTCATTCGGTCCAATTTTAAATGAGGTATCCTATTTTAAACGGTGAGCGAATAATTTTGCGACCCGCTGTATATTTGTGCAATAACTTGTGCAGAGAAAATTTTTGTCTTCCGGATTATTTTTCCATGATACATTGACACGGTCCGGTTTTCTGTCAACTGGTTTATTCGTATTTTGTAATTCAATACAGTTCAATAGATTTGAAATTTTTCTGCTGTATTCTCCATGTTTTTCAATTTTTTTTTAGAAGGTAAATGGGCGAAATTACTGTGTTCAGTGGAACAGCAACCGCAGTTGCTGCGGCAAGCGCAGCATGAGTTGCAACAACAACCGCAGCATGAGCTGCAGTGGCAAGCGAAGCAGGAGTTGCAACAACAACCGCAGCAATCGCAGCATCAGCTGCAGCGGCAAGCGCAGCAGGAGCTGGAACAGCAACTGCAGCAGGAGTTGCAACAGCAATCGCAACAGCAGCAGTCGCAACCGCAACAGCTGCAGTTGCAGCTAAAGATGCAGCAGCTACGGATGCAGATAAACATGCTGCGACAGCCAAAACCGTACCCGCGACATGCTCGGTATACCGTAAGTCGTTTTCCTACTTTCCTGTATGTACGTTATTTCTGCTATTCATTGTTTATACATAATAACATAATATTTATTTTTCCAGCCGCAGCCGCAGCCGCAGCCGCAGTTATACCAGCAACAAGCTGAAGATACCGTAAGTCGATTTTTTACTTTCCTGTTTGCACGTTATTTCTGTTATTCATTGTTTATACGTAATGACATGATATTTATTTTTCCAGGCATCCAGGTCCATGCAGCAGCGGCAGCTGCGGCGATGCAGGAGAGAGCTGAAACGGCTGCAGCGGGAGGGAATGCCGCGTGGAGGCAAAAGCTACCGCACTGGCGGCCCGTGAACCAATATTGCGGCGTTTGCCATAAGCCCGTCCCCGGTTGCAGGCGGTACATGTAAGAACTGAGTACGACGATAATATACATATGTATAATAATAATGAAGATGGCAATATAAAACTATGATTTGTTTGATTTCAGGAACTATTATTATTATACTTTTTAATTCTATTTTTCTATTATATATTATTGTTTTTGTTTGTTTCATTATTATATATTTTTCCTTTTTTAAATGTACTTCTATCAATATTGTAATATATGTTTAATATTTTCCGTAAGTTACGTTCTTGTCATTTATTCCCATATTCCTTATCCTGTGTACTGGTGATGTGTGTATATCGCAGTTCACCAGAGTCCATAACTGCGACGCGCAGGTTGGAAGATGGTGGGGGAACGCAACGATCTCTCTGCTAATCGCTTTTCACTTCGTTTGGGAGTATCGCCAATTAGGGCGAAGATGCGCACTGGAGAAGCGCGAAGAACGAAAACTGGTCTTTTCGCAGTTATGGACTCTGGTGAACTGCGGTATACATGGGTACATTGACGATTTCCCAACCTTTTTTATGTTATGCCACCCCTTAAGCGTTTCTAAAATTCTTATGTCCCCTATGTAACGTAAACATAATTTTTAATATTCAAAAATTGAATTGTTCACTGAAAAATCTTAAATGATAGGTATTAGGAAGAAATCGCTAGGAAATTGTTGAGGATACACAGTAAGTAAATTTTCAAAACATATAATGGAGAACCGAAATTCAGGTACGAAATAATTTTAATGAAAGATTTTTCTATACTATTTTAATTATTAGTAATTATGGACGTTTACCCAGCTCGAGTAGCGACTGAGAGTCGCCACACGGTTAACTTAAACTCTGGACGAGTCCATTTTCGAACTGCCCCCCTGTGGAGCGTGGGCCCCACGTTGGAAAACATTGCTTTAGAAGGATAAACTAACCTTAGGAATTCGGAGTACAATATCGGGACCTATTATTTAAAAAAAAACTAACTTTAGACATTCGATTTGTAGAAATATTCTTCCCTTGATTATGTTATATTACAAAAAATGTATACATATATAATATTTGGCTGAAGGAGTTAGGTCATTCATACATTTCCTAGGTCATACGTGCAGTATCGTATTTTATACTTTGGCTGGAACGTACATACATGATATACAGAGCTATCGTAACATTCGTGTGTCATCATTTAGGTGCATGTGAAAAGTGACGTAGAATAGCATGTCGTTAGTTGGATGCGATAACTGTGGTGGCGCTTAAATCAATTTCTGTTCCTAATTTTCGATGAAACGTTGACTGTTTTACCGACACGGAATTCGAAGTTCGGCCTCCACGCTAGCAGCCTAATCATCGATGAAACGTTGACTGTTCTACCGACGCGGAAGTTGTTTTGAAATGTTGCTCTTATAGGTCTGGTGATTCCTTTACAATTTGCGAAATAGTTTTTTAGTTCTACTGAAAAGTTTAGTTGTAACATACAACGTTTTTCCCGCCACCCATTTAAATATGATTACTTTGCCGATTGTCATCTTAAAAAAATCTTTAAAAAATTGAGGATGATAGTATCAATAATATACAATTATAAAAAAAATATGAATGTAGGACAGCATCTCCTTCAATACAAAATTGCCATTTTTCAGCATTTTTTTGACGTTTTTGATTTTTCACGGCTTCAGTTCCCAATCTAAAAATCTGAAAAAATTCTGTAATATGAGCCTCACAATTTTCAAATGCCATGAAATAGGAGGAGTTGGCCAAAAACTACAGCTTTACCCGTAACCAACCCCCCCCCCCCCCCCCCCCCCCCCCCCCCCAGATGAGATACAAGGCTGAAACTTGGCACAGACTGTTTTTTCATGATAAGCTACCGAATGATTCATCGCAAGTCGAATTTGGTTCAGAGGCACTTTTAACCACCTTAACAGACTATACCCTAATTATTCGTTTTTTCAAGCATGATCGACTGTTCTTTCTTCATCAAGCTATTGTCTTATAACGTGAAATTGTTATTTTATGATGTTCGAAAGTAACGTTTATCTGAGTGTCACAGTATTAAGCTTCCAATTTACTGAGTATCCATGGAATAAAGTCAATCACTCTGGTGTAAACAACGGGCCAACCTGGGAAGCCACAAGGTGTTGGTCCGAAGGAGACAATACCGACGGCGGTCCATCGACCGGTACCATCACTTCCTTTTTCCACGCACATCAAAGGACCTCCAGAATCTCCTGTGCAGGAATCTTTGTCTATCACACCACCGGCACAAATCTGTCCGAATCCTAGCGTCACTCGTCTTGTGCTGTATGTCTGCTCGCATTGTTCCTTGCTGACGAGCGGCACAGAAACTTTTAACTTGATATTCGAGGAAAATCCATTCTCGGTTTTTCCCCAACCAGCAACAAACAGTTTATTACCGACAGCGTCGTTGGATGGTAAGCATATCGGTTTAATGTAATTCGTGAAAGGAATGTCGCGGTTTAACCTTAGAAGAGCAATATCGTATTTTTGATCACGACTCAGTGGTCTGTAATTTTCGTGAGCGATTTGTTTCTCGATGCCGACAGTGATAGCATCGTCAGCGCAAACCTTGCTATTCTCGTCATCCTTGATGCAGTCAGGATTGGTGATAGTGTCGTACTCGCCTAATCGGACTTTCGCCAAACTCCACGAGATTGGTATATTCTTGCCCCTCAGGCAATGAGCTGCCGTTAGTACGTAACGATGATTGATGAGGGCGCCACCGCAGGATGCTCTCTCTCCGTTTGCTGATAAATAAATTTTTATGTAGAGTATCGAACCTCGTTCAATAAATATATTATGTTTTAAAGAGTTCTTACGTGTACTGTATATCAGAAGCGCCATCCAAGGAAATTCATCGATATCCGTGCGTTCTCCACCGACGATTCTCTGAGACAGATCTCTGCCGCAATCGGAGGGTAATAAAGTATTATTGGACAGATCGAACTGCAAGTTAGCATCTTTCGCCCCATCGGCTCCGCCTGAAAGGTCGGGGTTTTCGTTTTGAATCGGGCAACAAACTCGGGGATCATTACCATCAAAACCACACTGTGATTGCCTTAAAAATTCTATAGCTTCTGGCTTAAGCGGAGAGGTTTGAAGGATGGTCAACAGCTGGGGACATTGCCGTAATCCAATGCACCAGCCAACCACACCGTGCGGTGATGTGCAATTCGATTGCCCTTCGTTTTCTAAAAGAGAAAATTAAATTTTAGGAATGTAAAAACTGATTGGATTCACTATGTGACCTTGAACCATGCAAATGTCGTAATATCGTTGTCTTCGTATGTTTTATTAGTTTTGAAACGCTAATCTTCGATTGTTAGATGTGTCATTGTCAACTTTTACACTCCGAGGCAAACATAATCGTTAAAAAAAGCGACGAAAAATACAAAACAAGGAAAACGAAATAAATTAGAGATCAAAATTGTTTGCATGCCTGTGCTTGAAAACAACATAGTATAATAATAAATTTTACTTACGTGCAAACACCAAACCAAGTACCAATACATGGTAGAAGGTACATAAGATAGATAATTTAATCATTTCTCGTGGGTTACCTAACGCTGCAAGTGATACTGAGCGTTGTGGAAGCAGAGAGTATCAGACGTCACTGAGATATTTCCCAAAGCGTTGGGAATTTGAATATCTTTATATTTAAACTTTTGGTGCCGCGCCGGCTTAATGTTGTAACCGATGCGCCTGAAAGCAGAGTGCCGATCGGCGGAGCCGTTGATGTAGTGACCGAAGCCAGGTTCAACTGATTCCCCTACCAGCCTTAACTTTATGTGGAATAGCTAATTAATCATTTTCATGATTTTTCGCATAATTTTCCTTCTACGTATCTTTTTTTTACGGGGTAATAACCTTTATACCTTTAAACAAATTTCAGTGTTTATACATTATTTTTCTGGAAATTACCAAGAGCATTTATTTTATGCTATCGCCAGGAGATATTATAGGGAATATTCTGTTACTTTTCCTCTCGAGATAAGATTCACTTTGAATATTCACTAAATATTCTTTATTTGAAGAAAAATGTTTCGGATAACTTCCATTGGTAGGTAAACATGCGCATTGATACCTCGTATTATGTCTCACGATTTCAAATAGTTCCGATTAATTTTTTATGATGCCTCGCATATTTAGAAACATTTTTGCATTAGTATAGATTAGATTATAGAATTTACATAATTCTTGATAAATTTTATACATATACAGGATGTTACCTGTAACGTTACTCATGATTTTTTACCCACTTGCAGCCATCTGACAAAAAAAGGTTTAAAACAAGAGTTGCAGGGTATGAAGTGCACAATAGATATCAGTAAAAAAAATTTCGAAAACAATTTGTTTTCATGGTGAAATTTGTTTTACAAATAGGACCATATATTTTTTTGTTTACCATATTTAGAGGACATCGAGACGAATTCAAAACACATATTACATGATATTTTTACTAACATATTACATACGTGATTTACTGACAGGGCCGGCGTTAGGGTGGGGCGCGGTCGGACAATCGCCCAGGGCGCTAGATCTGTAGGGGGCGCCGCAGCCCGGTGTCCCTAATATTTATTCATTTATATCCGTTTAGATTAGTAAAGCTGCTATGTAGTTTAACAATTTTTACAATCTAACTACAGATTCATCGTTTTATATTATTACCTTGTCTTTTTTTCTTAAAAAATTTCAGCCCCTGAATGGGTGCCACGATAATCTTGCCCAGGGCGCCAATATTGCTAAAGCCGGCACTGTTTATAGAAGTGTAAATGTGAAATATTTAGCTTTTCGTCGTATTTGACTTTGACAGTGTAAACATTATTTGACCCCGAAGAGATTACTGAATGTAAACACACGACTGGAACATTGTTCGATATCCATTCCGCCTTCTGCGACGCAATATTCTGCTCTTTTACAGAAGTTTGAATGCGTTGCTGCAGTTAGACTTGCTGGATCTACAGCGATTGATATACAACGGACTGTAAATATCCCCATAAAAAAAAGTCAAGTGGAGATAAGTCCGGGGAACGAGCTGGCCACCGTTATTTGACCGTTAGATGACCTCTAAATATAATAGACAAAAAAAATATATGGTCCTATTTGTTAAACCTAAGGTGACCTCGACTTCGCCATGAAAACAGTTTTCGAAATTTTTGTTACTGATATCTATTGCGCACTTCATACCCTGCAACTCTTGTTCTAAACTTTTTTTTGTCAGATGGCTGCAAGTAGGTGAAAAATCGTGAGTAACGTTACAGGTAACACCCTTATATGTTTAAGATATTCTATTAACTTTTTTTGAAAAATATGAACGGTCAAGAGTGGTTACTAATATAGTTCTCGAGGTATAAATGGGGTTATTTAGTCGTATACGAGGTCTGCTGGTATGTATTGCTTTGAGACCGGCGGTATAGACAACCGACCATAATAGCGAAGTGCACAGTTCGCCTACCTGAAACGGGGGTACACCGCATTCTTTTCCAGCTCATTATGACGCCAATTTTCAATTCTTTATCCTTCTGAAGGGCCCATTTTGAAGGGAACTTCAGAGATTATGACGATATTATTTTTTCAAAAATTAAATCACTCTTGCCCCTTATCGAAAAAAACGCAAAAAAAGAATTTCTTTATTTTTTTCGACACTATAAAGTTAATTATCGAGGTTGAAAAAATTATTTTGTAATGGCCCAATCCTTTCTGAATAAAACAAAAAAAAATCTAGCTCAATCGGACAAACAGTTCCCGAGATAAAAATTCGTAAGTGAAGCCCGTTTTCTTCAAAATGGGTAAAAATTGCAAACTTCAAAGGTCTGTAATTTCTAAACAAATTCGAAATCGGCAAAATGATGACTTAAACCCCCCCTAATTTCACATGGACTGCAACATATTTCATTTAGAACAAAATCGTCGATGGTGACGTCAATAAGTGATCGATTTGGCATGGAATGACTCTTTATGACATATCCAAAAATCATCGAAATCGAAAAGAACGTATGTGTTTGTTCTGCAGTTTCACCCAAAAAAAAGAATAATAATAGCAACAAAAAATAGTGATAGTACATCTCGCGACACATGGGTTATAAATCGCTATCGTAGTCGATAGAACGATACGTGAAAAAAAATTCAGGCGTCGGAGTTCATCGCCTCTTCTAGGCTCTAACGTCCCATATTCACATATCCGAGCTGCAAATGGGTGCGCGGTCGAGCGCAGAAAACGAACGAACTGCGCCCTACAGAAGAAACGAGGAACTAAATTTGTGGTCTGTTTTACCTTTTTGACATCTTCCGCGAGTGAACAATCAACGAAATCGTAGTTCTCAAATTACTTCTACCTAGAGGCTTGTACATCATCCCTTGGGTACTTGTTTTGTTCTATCCGACCCAAAGAATGTTGGTCTGGTACCCATTTGGACATACGATTCGCAGAAATGTTTATATTACGAATAAATTAATGCAGGTGAGTCCATTTTTCTGACCGTTGACACAGATAAATTTCAATATTTTATAACTTTTTGACGATTTGGATAATATAAGGACCAGACTAACATTCTTTAGGTCCTCCTGAACACGTCCCTCAAATTTTTTTGCGATTCTGTTTAGTAATGACGACGTAATTTGAGAACTCATTTCTAGGGATTTTTCTAGGGACTGTCGGTAAAGTTGCTTGAATTGGATGAGTGTAGCATGGCGACAGTGATACCACAGCCGACTAGCCGTGCTGAAGTAAAAATGGCAACACCGCGGGAGTCCGGTCTGAATATATCAACACCTACCCTACTCTATCTGCCTCCCGGACTCCCAGACTCTCAGCCAATCAACGTCGTCAGACTCCCGACTACTCTCTGAACTTCACATAACCTCTTTGGTTTCGTTTCAATAATTTCGCTTGTTTCAAGGTTTTTATTAACTTATATACACGTTTATCAATTCTTAAATGTTTCAATTTGATCCAAAGATGGTTTCATTTTGCTTCATACCTAAATTTTCTTGAAACCACTGTAAATATTTCAAATATCATGCTTCACAACACCAAACTATTTCGAGAGTACACAAAATATATATCACATTTATAACAATTTTATACTGCCTCATCACTTCTATTTGCCATAGTTGCAACGTTTATATATTGTTTATACATAATTAACACAAAATAGTGTATATTACTACAGCTTTTAATTAAAAAAGACGTTAATTACAATTCCGAGCACAGGACTCTGTTTTTGAAAATAGGACTTCCGATTGTCACATGAGCGGTGTTGCCACGTTGTACAGCATGGCTAGTGCCCACGAGGCGAGCGAGGCCAGGATTCCAGCCGACATCGAACGAGGATCTTCACCGTCAAGAGCAGATCGATTCCGAGCTTCAAACCGCTCAAATATAATTTTCCAAAATCATTTCAAAATAAAGCAGTTAGAACTTTTACCAAAAATGCTGAGGTGTTTGATTTATTTTGCGCGCCACGAGCAGGGTGCCTCAGCGCTCCACTGGCACCTTACTCACGACCCAAAAATCCCTGAAATTCCCTAGACCGCAAGGAGGACACGCAACTAAAATTCTTCATTTATGCGTCGAAAGAGAATAAATCAATTGCATATGTACAGTTTGTCTTTCGATTATTAAAATAATAATAAATTGATTAAATAAGGAACAGAAGAGCACAATCGTTTATTTTTAGAAAAAGAAATTTACTAAATTGTCGGTGAAAATACAATGTAATGCTTTTCGTAGAATGGTAGCATTTTGAAGTTACTATAGAATCGATAAAGAAGTACATACAGAATGGAAGCCAGTCATAAACAGCTTATTTATCTTCTTAATAATCGTTCGTCTCGATTATTTGTAAGAGACAAAAAACTAATTTAAAAGTTCGAGTAGGTATCGTCAAAAGCAGTATCAATTTAAACTTGATGGTAGTATCAGTCATATATCCTCTTTTTTTTGCAAGAATAACGCTGTTTAATTATCTACTGTTTTTGAAGAGTTAACCTTGTATAGCATCATTTCTTACCATAGAAAGATACCAAAGATAATTCCATTTTCAAATTCTATTAGAACAGAATAACTGTTTTGTTATATAGTTATTAGAATTTTGTTTCTAGTTGCAGATGATCAATGTTGGAAGGATGGTATTGTCGTTCAATTGCAAACAACAATGCAGATGCAGAAGACGATGATGACGATAGCCCAGAGGAGGAAGTGCCTAATTATAAGGATCAGTATCGAAATCTTAAAAGAAAGTTGAAATTTCTAATTTATGTACGTACATTGCTCCTATGTATTTTGCGTTATCTCAATTATCTTTATCTAATTATTTAATAATCCATTTAGGAAAATGAATGTTTTCAAGAAGCTTTACGGTCTACACAAAGGAAATTACTTAAAGTAAATAGGGATAAAAGTTTTTTATTAGATCGATTACTGCAATATGAAAAGGTAGACGCATCGTTTAGTGAAAGTGATGAAACAGAATCATCCGATGAAGAAGTTACGCGTCTAGATACTTCTAAAAGGTAAACATTACAGAATGACGTATTTGGTTTCTTTAAATGGCCTTTTATTATTGTCTTTCGTTATTGTTTTTAGAAAAAAAATAGAGATGAGCATTAGTAATCACACTCCACATCACATGCCGACCGTGGCGAAACCGCTAAATACAAGTAAAAAGAAAAAATCCGCTCCAAAAGTGACGAAGTCAAACAATATACCTATAGTAAGTTATTCTCTACAGAATGTTAAAAAATTCCCTAAAGACCTCTACATCGTTGGATAGACCACCAAAAATCAAAACGAAAAGTTTTGTAGCATTTTTCGATGGGATCAGTAGTTTAGCCACATTTCGTTGTTGAAAATTGACCAATCAGCGCCCAGTTTGAGTGGCAAGACGCGCGCAGTAGGAGACTACACGGAGGCGGAGTCTCCGTTTGCTTGCTCTGCCTCTGCCGTCGCATCACGACTCCCGGCGTGGCTCGGCAGCGGCAGAGGAGGCGTGTCTTGCCACTCGAGCTGTGCGCTGATTGGTCAATTTTCAACAACGAAATGCGGCTAAACTACTGATCCTATCGAAAAATGCTACAGAACTTTTCGCTTCGATTTTCCGTGATCTATCCAACGGTGTAGAGCTCTTCGGGTAATTTTACAATACCCTGTATACTTACTAGAAATGGTTATTTTATGAACGTTTCATATTTTTAGGTACAATCAGCCAATAATGTAGTACCGATGCCTTTAATGTCGGATGGTCATATGACACCGGAAGAGGTCGAAAGACATTTAGAGTCGCGTCAAACTTATTTGGAATTAGTACCGGAAAAGGCACCGCCTACGGTTCCGACGGAAATGTTCAGTAACGATCCGTCGTTGGATAGGTAATTAATTTGATTATTCATCACCGAAACTTTGTTTAAATTAACACCTAGTGTATATTTGTAGCGAATCAAATGAAATTGGAGAATTAGAAACTTCGCCGAGTAATATGGGCGAGGATTGTCTCAGCGTGGATATGATGGCTGAGTGACAAAACGTTTGTTTATAGTTTAGCGATTAATTAAAAACTGCACATAATTATGTATCGCATTAATATTATCATATTTGGCTAACTTAACTGTAATAATCGTGACATAATACAAATTTTTATACGTGTAATAGTACATTCGTGAATGTCTTCATGATTATCGGTGCCGTGGTCGATAGATTTCGTTGGGCGGTATAGGGGAGCGCAAAATTCCCTAGATCACGCCGTCCTCGATGATAAGGGATGCTAAGGTGTTCTTCTATTCGTTATCCTTTTCTATCAAAAGAAAAAAAAAGAAGAACACTGTTGTGCTTCGTAATGAACTTCATTTCGCTTGTCTTTTTTTTTTCTTCAATGAATTACAAATATTTCAGGTTAAATAGTTAAAATGGGTCCCCACAATAGACACTCACAATGACTAATGAAAAAAGTTCGGTGGAATGTGTTTTAGAAAAAATTCTAACAAAAATTGAATTAGAATGTAGAGAAGAGAAAAGAGTGATTAAACACGCGATCAAACGAAAAATCGACGATATTTTGGTAATCAATAAAAGGCGTAAATTAACTCTAAACGAAGAGATACAATGCCGTATTTGCTATGATTCGACTCAACAATTGCCCATTATATACCCTTGTAAATGCAAGGTTTGATTATTATTATTCTGTTCGTTTAATTATCGCAAGGTTCTTAAGTGAAATAAAATAAATTTGTTTAAGGGAACCATGGGTGCGATCCACTTAAAATGTTTAGAACACTGGCTCGAGGAAAGTAATAGAAATAGCTGTGAATTATGCGGACATCAGTACGAAGTGAGACGTACACCGCGTTATCACGTTCTGTATTCAATTATAATATGGATGTGTCTTAATCAGCAACAACATCAATTATACGTTCGCAGTTTAAAGGCCGACTTAATTCGTGGCATTATAATTACACCTATGGCAATCGGATGCTCGTACATTTGTATTGTCGCAGCTGATTTTTATGCAAATAACAATTACGACAATCTTCCACCAGCACGATGGACTACTTATTTATTATTAATAATGATGTCCTTATTACTGTTTTCATATTTTATATGGATGTACATGGTGATCGAGTATCACCAAAAGGTCTGGTTCTATTGGTGGCAAAAGACAAGTACAGTAACAATTATATTGAATCCAGAAAATATAACTTCAATAAACTACAAATCTAATGTATCACAAGTTTAAATATTACTGAACACTTTTTCTTAACGTGGAATACTTATTATCTTAACCGATGTATACAATTATTAGGAAGCTCTTCTTTTGATGGAAATTTTCCCTCTGCTCAGCTGGGATATGTATATTCGTACTTTACTTCCGTCCGATACTTTTTTCACCCAGATCTATACAGAGATAAGAGAAATTATAAAAATAAAAAGAATCAAAGAGCAAGCAGTTCCATAAATTAACGATAGTTTTCTTACAGCCTCGGTTCCGATTGCCGAAATATTTGCGGCAAATCGAGTTAAGTCCTTTCCTTCTACGTACACCGGTTGTCCACGATGAAACCTACAATTAATTAATTTATAGTTCAAGCTCTTACGAATGAAATACAGAGATATAATATTCAGAATTACCATCGTCTTTCGTGCAATAGTTTGCCATCCTCTATCCTGGTTTCTATCATAGCCGTATCGGAGGTCGGAGGGATATGTTGAGAGGGCATATTTACAGTATTATAATGCGGTAGCACTGCTGAAAACAATTGGTTAGCATTAATGATATGCACGTTATCGAGAAATTTTTAATAAGTACCTGGTTTTCGAACAGCAGTCAGTACTTTACCGCGGCTGATAGCTTTCAAGTCACTTTCTATTTCTTTTTCATCTAACAGATAATTTAATTGTGCCGGTGGTGGCTTCCTTCGTTTCTCTATTTTTTCGGGTACAGGATCATTTGGACGCCTTCGTAATTTTCTTGTCATTACAGGCTTTACCTGAGTAACAAAGAAATAAATAAATACAGGGTTGAATAAATACTTGACTAATAAATTTATACCTCCATCGAATCACCAGTAAGTTCCAATGTGTGCCTATCGGATTCTATCATCTTCCTCTTCTCTTCCATGCTGGTTAATAAGTTTTCTTTCAAATCTATTTTCTTCTCTTCAAATTCCTTAACGGCAGTTTTCTTCTCCAATATGTAATCTCTTTCTACCCATTCTGTCAAATAATCACGGTAAATTATATTCAGCCGTAATCTGTAACAAAGTATTTCCTTGAAAAATCAGATACAGCGATTGTATATAAAGAAATCTTGTATTCGATGAATATAAACCTCTCTTTGTATTGAGCTTCTAAACGTTTCAGTTTGCGATTATATTCGGGGTGAGTACCATCCTTTAACTGTTGCAATTGTTTCTTCAAACTGGCTAATTTGTCCTGATAGACTCTGAAAAATTTTGTTACTTTAAGTGTAAATGAAAACTTCAAGGCGATGCTCTAAGTTTATTTACTTACTGCTCCTTTATCTCTGTATATTCTTCTGATTTACCAAGATCCGTCTCACTAGCCTCTTCTGTGTCTGCAAGTTTATACAAATTGCAAACATATGAAATGCAATGTAATAATACTTTATGTTAATACCTTCATCGCTTTCATCTTGCTCTTCAGCATCTCGATCATCCTCCAAGTACTCATCGTTGTCCTCATCGATATCATAATCATCTTGACCATACATAGTCGAAAACGGTGAATCTTGATACGACATTTTACACCACAATAATCATAATTATCTTTTTTATAGTGTAAAACCTTTTTAAGTCACCTCAATAACTATTCTCAATAAAGGTTAACACTAACCACTGCAACACCTCTTAAGCCTGACTTTTGGAATGTGCGACAGTCATACTGATACTGACTGATACTAACAATAAAATAATTACAAACAGACGATTATATTTAAAAAATTCATACATGTATGCGTATAATAAGTTTGTATAAACAATTGATCAACCTTCAAACATCCCATAAAAATGTTATCATGGGGGCAGCACTGTAGCTTAGCAATTCTCGCTGTTTACAATTATTCTCACATGTTTCGATCAAAATGCGCCTAAAGTATGTCCTATAATTAACCCTGCTGACCTCGGCTTTTTAATACTGTTTAATAACAGTTTTACCGCTCCCCAGTTAAATAATTATATTTTAAAAAGACCGCCATAAATTAAATATTTTTAAAATTCGATTCTCGCGCCATCTATACAAAAACGCGTTGAAATTAATCGATAAGTAGTTTTAGAGGTTACCTTACAGATGGCGCTAGCATTCCCTTGTTTGTGGCGGCCGGCGTCGAAGTTGGTAATGAAGAAATTCTCAACGCCGCCTTTATCAAACATTTTCGTTAATCATTTATTTTCATGGACAAAGTTCAAATAACTTTTCTGTACGTTCCTTCAATATTCATTAAACTGCAAAGACATGTTAACATTTTCTAAATTCCAATTCCAATAAAGTTCTGGAAACTCAGTCGGTAAGTTGTTGAGTAGTTTCAGCCATTTTGTATAGATGGCGCAAGGATCGAATTTTTAAAAATATTTAATTTATGGCGGTCTTTTCAAAATGTAATTTTGCCAAACAATTATTTTAATAATTTTTTGATCTAATTGTGATTGATTTTTAAATAATGGAATCAAAATGAATATACAACGCAAATATAACCATGGGGAAAGAAGTAATAAGACATGACGTCTGTCGGTTAGTTTATTGCGACTTTCTTATTCTCACATCGGATTATGTCGCGTGGAAGAAATTTACTTTTTTCTATCGCTGTTCTTACGTCTAACAAAATGACGGAATTTTGCGGGAAATAACGCAATTGAACGAAACGTCATCCGTTAGAGACGATCGATGAATCGAAAACCTCTGGACGGTGATGGCGATGACGATGGCGACGCGGTGAGAGTAAACCTCTACGAACGTCGATGTGTGTGACATCACGCTTCATTGTTGGAGGTTTACGTCATTTTCGAGTCTGATGCTGTATCTATGTGTGGAATCTACACGCTACCCGTACACACGCATACGGACTAGTGGCGGGAAGTAATAGAGACGAGAGAGGCGAAAAACACGCGAACGATCGTTGCGTCTGCGCGAAACGCGAGCATCTCGGTGTCTTATTCGACTAAAATTTACCTATTTTTCTGTAAATATCTTTCCCTCTAATTAGAAACGCGTCGAATCACGAACAACGCGTAATGTAAGAATTTACGTTGAAAGAAATCGAAAGAAAAAGAATTAACGATAAGAAAGAAAAGGAGAAAGGGTAGCCGTGTCGTTCGACCGAGCGGTGGGGGTAAACGAGAAGGATAGAACGAGCGAGGGAAACAAGGGAAAGAGAGAGACAGTCCGAGAGATAGTAAAGGACAAGGATACGAAGCGCGACGTTCAACAGTAGTAGCGCTGATTTGTGATTTCATCGATGGATACTGATTTCGAGGGTACAACTCGATGCGAATTGAATATAGTGCGCTTTCGTCTAGTCGTATACCTGTTTTTTTTTTTTTTTCGCGGGCGTTTAACCCAAGCTTGATTTACAACCAGTGTCGAGGGAAATTTTGACGAATATGTAATTTGTTTGTGATCCGCTCGTAGGCAGTATCTCTTCGAACGACGCGTTCTTACATTTTAAATATAACGGTGTATAAATAAGTATGAGCAATAGCGGGAGTGCACAAGCGAACTTCTCGCCGTTCATTTTTACCAACGATTCAAGCTTGATCGATGCATTTTTTATTCACACTTGAAACACGTCAATGAATGCGCATCAAATGCGGTCGGAATCGATGATTTTCTCCTCAAACTTTACCACATATGTTTTTCGTGCGTGGGCATGCAGCACCGAACTATCGTCAAGGTTAGTGTGCCTGACAGGCTCTCCATCGCCTCGCGATCTTACGCTACATTTTCAGTGGGTAGCAGTGATTAATTACAATAGATAATTAAGTACCGTGTTTTAAAGTACGTATCCGTTAATAGTAGTAAACGGTTAACGTTACAGGTAATTTTTTGTTTATACACCCTACGCTCGCACATTGTGCTTCTTTCTACTTGTTGTTACCAGAAGATAACTATATGTATTCAACAGAAATTGCTCCTGGTTATTTTTTTAAATTCTTTTCTTCCTTCGTTTGTCAGATTTTGATAACGCTAATCGATGATGACTGTGTTTCTATGTATTCTGTATTTGTGAAAAAAAAAAAACACAATCTTTTGTTTTCTTTGTACAGGAAAATTCAAAGTTCTCCTCAATTGGACGATTGAAAGATAAATACATTGGGAAAGTAGAAATTTCTTGTGTAACACGCGATCGTTCGAACGATGAGGTCTTCTCGCGTATCTGTTGAAACACACGTCGATAGATATCGACTAAATCTATGTGAGTATGATTTCTTTCATTCTGACAAACCATTTCGCAGAACTGTGCAATCTGATTTCTCTTTCCACGCAGGGGAAGAAAGCATACGTAATGTTGTCGCTTGTAAACTGGACGCAGACATACAAAGAGTGGCGACTTGCTGAAGATTGTACGATTATTGGTTTCCATGCTTATATAATGCTTCAAGAATTTTATATATTTATCATTGAATTGGCACTGTTGTGCAACAAAGGGTAAGGAGACAGACGGTTTCATTTTATTTCTATGCCCAGCCAAGCTTCGAACAATTCGTGTCCCACCGTTAGAATGTTCACAAGACAAACAAATACGCACGTGTTACAGGCAGCGAGTAAGAAACAACCGGTTATAGTTAACCGCAACAAAAGATACTTAATCAACGATGCAGCGTAACGTGCTGTTCCTTGTTGCAAAAGGATTTGATATTTGGAAGTACGTGATACACAGTGATAAGTGTTGGATGGGGTTAAATTGCAGGATAAGCGTAACATTACCACACTCTAACCAAAGTCGATTTAATTTGATCAGTGATCAATAAAATTTATATCGAATCCTATTGCAAATGAATGAAAAATTGGCTGGTACAGTTTGAGTGTGATAATACGTTGTAGAAGAAAGATTCTTTGATTTACTGGTGGGATGTATGCTTCATTCCAGAACAGCCGTTTCTATGAGCGCCTCTCGTCCGTTACACTGTGATGGAAAGGATAATAACAGCAAAAGTGGTTCAAGTAAGCGTAGCTGTCATTTTTCATTTCTATACGTATCTACTTTGTTCGCAGATTGATATTACCATCTATATTTCTAATCGTTACACTCTGCAGATAGAATGGCATATGAGGTATTTCTGGGTGGATCTTGTAATCCAACCACATGGAGGTCAGAAATAGCTATACCGACTCTTCAGAGCCTCGGAATTACTTATTATAATCCCGTGGGTGTTCGCTTAATATTCTCCATCGAAGGGACACGATCTCGTTAGTACAATGACAATTGTGCGTTTTTAGCAAGTCTCGCAGTGGGGACCGGAACTGATAGCTCAAGAATACGAAGCGAAACAGACGGCGAAAGTATTACTGTTTGTAATCGATAATCAGACACGCAACAGTGCAGGCATCATCGAAGCAGCTCAACTGGCAGCTACCCGACGGGAGTCTTTAATTGTTGTTATTTATCCGTATCGTCAGGGTCAAACGATACTCGGCGAGACTGTGTCCATTCAGTAAGCGTGTTTTATTTTATTTTATTTTTTTTTATTTCTATGTAAACCGAATGCTATAATATACATTATTGCTCAGCGAATATTACGATCTGATGAATGGATTATTGGTACTTCAATATCTTATGGAGAGACAAAGGATACCGATATTTGAGAGCGTATCGGTCGCTCTTAATTGTACGTCCAAGGTAATCAGAGTCGACGATAACAAATAATCAAGCGTAATTAATTAATTCGGTGCCTTTTTAATTAATATTTTTTTAATTTCAATATTTTCCCGCGGTTTTGAATATTTGAAAATTGAACGATTATTTCAATAACTGAAATTACTGTGGCTTTTTAGAAATAAAGAAGAGGCATCGAATTAATTTGTACACCTAATATTTTCTCTAAATTAAAAAAAAATGATGTCTGCGTAGGTACTGCGCGAGGAGATAAACGTACAGGATTTGCATACCGACGATGGCATTAGATCAATTAAAATATCTTTCGGTCAAAACGGAATGGACACGGTGTAAGCTTTTCTTTTTCAATTCCAGCTGTTTTATACATTAAAGAAAATATAGTGTGTTTGGTTTTAATTTATTGTTACAGGACGCTCAGGGAGATTTTCAAATCCATGGACACAAACGACAGTGGAAGCATCAACTTGGAAGAAGTAAGTTATCCCTCGGTCGATACGCTTCGATAGAATTACCGTAACCCTCGTTTAATTTTCTCTGTCGTTTCGTAGGCTTGGATAGCGTTACAATCGAGCGTGAAGTGCAACGTATCGGTGTCGGACCTTCTCAATGTCGTGAATAAATCGGGTAATAATGTTTGTACCATCTGTCGGTACAACAGAGACTCTATATTACCGACACGCGATAAAACAGGACTAAGAGTAAATTTTCTGGTATTTTCTATTGTTGCTTTTTTCGCGTGATTTTTTTAGAAACGTATAGGACGCTGATAGAAGATGGCTATCGAACAAAGAGAGATCCGACCCAGTTACGGATAAACTTTGAACAGTTTTGCGCGTTGGCAGCGGAATCATCGTGGAGGACGAAAAGCAACGGCGTCTCTTGTGAAAGTGAGATACCTTCAGTTTGGAGTATATTATGTAGGAAGGCTTCGAAATTTCTTCGCAGAGCTATCGTACAACCTTTTAACCGTTTCCTAGGTATTTTATCAATTCTCAAAAAAAATTTCCCAATGATCTCAGTAGAGTATAAAACGCGTACGAAAAAAAAAAAAAAAAAAAAAAAAATTGCGAACAGGTCGTCTCACGGGACGCTCGTGCCTCGATAAATGATTTTTTTTAGTCGAAAGCATTCGAGCAAATCGTGTACGATTGGTTCGAAACGTTCAACTTTTTAGATTGGACCAATTCCTTGGTGGCCGAGTCCGAGAAGAGGGACTTGTATGTTGGAGTAATCGGTAAAGATCAGTTTTGGTTAGAAACGAACGCAGCACCCTCGATCGAGTGAGCATTCGAGATGTAACGTTCTTTCGATATTCGTCATTAAGACAATATCGTCGAATTTACGTGTAAATCGTTTGATTTTTTAGATCCATGGGATTGACACTGTACAGAAGTTCAAGCGCGAACGAGTACAACGTTAAAGTATTGCCGCAGGAATTGCAAAAGATGAAAAATTCCAGGCTAATATTGTTGATAGTGCCGCAGCATTCGCGCGGTATCACCATAATGGCGTTGGCAGCTCATTTGATTGGATTACGCGCTAAATTAGTCCTCTGCGTTCAAACGCTTCCCGATGGTTGCGTAGTTTCTGGTGAAAAGGTGAGCGTGTTTCTCTTCTGACTATATACATATATTATAATACCGCGTAGGCGTGTACCTTGCTCCGCACCTTCCTGCATACAGTGGGACGTAAAAGTATTCGAACACAAACAGTTTAAAACAGAATACCCCGTTTAAAATTCAACCGAATGATTTGAGGTTTCTTGAGAAGCTATAAAAATTAATTTACCAAGATATGTGCTTTTGCTGTTTTAAAAAATTACAATTTGTTGAAATTGTGAAAAAAAGTAGTGAAGGGTCATTTTTCAACTTTTGAAAATTATATTTGAAAATTTTAAATATGTCTTTCGTAGATTCAAATAAGTTATGCGTATGCTGAAAATTTTCGTAATTAAGTAATTAATTTATTAATTATTTTTGGATAATTAAAATTAAAAGTAATTAATTTGGAGTAATTAAAATTAAAAGCAATTAATTTTGAGTAATTAATTTTAAATAATTAAAATTTCCGAAAATCGCGACTTTTCATCAGGGCCGGCCCAAAGATTTCGAGGGTCCGAGGCGAGCTCCGAAAAAGGGCCCCTTCACATATGTGACATAAAAAAAAATACCTGAAATAAAATTTATAAAAATAATATTACAGCTTGTATAACTAATTTAGATTAATATTCAAGTAAACATTGCTCTTGCATTCTTATAAATCGTCTTATGGGGGCCCTGGACCTTGGGGGGCCCTAGACGGCTACCTACGCCCAGGGCCGGCCCTGCCCTGCTTTTTATTTAAGAACGTGACTAGTTTAAAAAAGTTACAAAGTTGCCTTTTACTATTGTTTTCCCGATTTCGACAAATAGTAATATTTCAAATATTTTAATAAATTAATTTTTATAGCTTCTCAAAAAACCTCAAGTCATTTGGTCCAATTTTAAATGAGGTATTCTATTTTAAACAGTATGCGAATACTTTTGCGTCCGACTATATATATATATAATTTTTTTCCTTTTCATTCCCCACCTAACCTACCATTTTACCATCCACTTCCTGCCCGTTTCCATTCACTTCCATCTAATTCCATTCGATGACGTGTGTACTATGCCGTCTGTCTATATATAGAAAATCACCTTCTCATTTAGCTAACCGAACAAGCCAGGAAAGACTACAATCGGGGAAGAATGTACCTGTCGGACTATGCGACGCGCGAAGGTGTACCTGTTTTTCAGAATATCGCAGAAGCTTTGCAACACGCGATACAGCTAGTTCAACGTATTCGTTGATGTCTCTTCTTTTCTATTTTTTTTTTTTTTTTCATACGAGTAAGCTTTTCGATTCATCGATTAATTTATTTTTACTGTTACGATCATGTTCGACTAGCGAGCGGGATTCCCGACACGCGAGACGACGAGTTTTTTTCTACGAATCTTTCGAATTTAATTAAGCATAGTATTTCGTTATCGTAGAACTCATTCGGATCGAATCAGGCTTCCTCAGGGAAAGCGGTGATGTCCCAGATTCCCGCTTATCTCCGTAGGCGTCCCGGGGGTCCCATATACAGGGTATTAAAAAATTCCCTAAGAGTTCTACGCCGTTGGATAGATCACGAAAAATCGAAGCGAAAAGTTCTATAGCATTTTTCGATGGGATCAGTAGTTTAGCCACGTTTCGTTGTTGAAAATGGACCAATCAGCGCGCAGCTTGAGTGGCATGACGCGCGAAGTGGGGGGCAGCCTCCTATGCCACCGCCGAGCCACGCCCAGAGTCGAGATGCGACGGCGGAGCCAGCAAACGGAGACTCCGCTTCCGTGTATTCCCCCACTCCGCGCGTCTTGCCACTCGAGCTGCGCGCTGATTGGTCAATTTTCAACAACGAAATGTGGCTAAACTACTGATCCCATCGAAAAACGCTATAGAACTTTTCGCTTCGATTTTCCGTGATCTGTCCAACGGTGTAGAGGTCTTCTGTATATGTCTGAGCCCTTCCCCCACCCCACCAAAATTTGAATTCATTCTATAACACTTAATGATTATAACTTTAATATAATTTGTTTCTAAATCACTTTTAATATTAATATTATCAAAATTAGGATGTTAAGAATACCTGCTTCTCCTATATCGCTATTTTCCTTTGGGAAGACTGATATGATTAGGAGTGTACCGAACTGTAAATTTTATCCAAATCTCACGGTAGTCGAACATATTTATTTCTTTTCTCTCTTTCTCTCTCTCTCTCTCTCTCTCTAGCGATTCAACTCGATAGTTATTTTGTAACCTTCTTTGGTAACTGGTTGAGGATTGATATACGTGTACTGTATATAGATTCTTAGTTGTTTCTAACGATCTAATGAATACATAGTTAATTTGAACTTTGATAGGAGGAATGTCGTGAGAATGAATGGACGAATGAATTTTATCGCGTCAAATGTCTGCTGCGAGTATGTGGTACGCGTACGAATGCGAGTGTGTACAGACACGTACCTGTGTACGAACAGGCATCTTATTTAGCGTTACATTAACTGTGTTGTACGTCGTGACGCGTAACACGGGCACACGTGTTCCCCGTGATCGACAAACGTTATGAGAAGATTGTAATTTTCAACGCGCATATATTGTACGACGAGGATGCAGGACAAACAAAAACAAAGTGTATATAATACCTGTTACAGCGATTCGGCGCTCAATCGGTTAGAATCGAATTTAACTGGCTCAATCTATATTTTTTCTTTCTTTCTCTCCGCCCCCTCTTCCTCGTGAAATAAGAAAGAAACAATGCTACTTTTATTTCTATCTTGCGTTTCTTTTGGTAGGAAAGGTATGAAAATTTACCGGCTACTTTGATTTCGACGCGTTATCGGTCCTTTTAACGAAATAGTATCGGTATATGTTCTTTAAAGAAAGCAAAACTGGTATCATGGCCGGCAGGAACAGAGGTATGTACACGGCGTATCTGAAATCAGAGAGGAAAAGGTAGAGAAGGTATCGTCCGTGTTTTTCCGGGAGTCTTACTTTTGATCCTCCGGAAAATACAGCAAAGCCAGCAGCGTAGGATCGGAGAATGCTGCTTCCGCGGTGACGAACGCCTCTTTGCTCGACAAGAAGGCTTCTCCCAGGTCGCCGCGTGCTAGCTGTTCTGCCGAGCTCTCTACTAAACTTAGAGCAGTCTTTATTCTGTTTCCCACCACGTCGGTAATCACGATGTTACCGATCTCCTGAAGAAGTCGAGCGAGAGATTGCAAAGTTAACTTGGCCGAGGTTAGCTGCTCGACCGTGCGAACGCGTAGAAGAGCGTCGACCTCCCAGTCGCGTGGCTTCAGACCTACCAGAGGGACGGTGGTAACGCCGTTCAGGAATTTCTATAAAAAAAAATGGCTTGTGTAAAAATGGTCAGTATTTTAATATGAAGGGTCAGTATTTAAATCCTTTGGTTAGTAATACAGAGGATCGAATGCGGACGCTTAAATGGGGAGGTGACTTCTGCGAATTCAACTGAAGGAAGGAGAGGAGATGAGTGCGAGTAGGATACCTATATTCTATACATGCGAATGCGGCGGTCAATTCGAACGTCATTTGTCATTCCGAATCCATGATTGTAAGGCCGCGATTCCACATGCGTGAAAACTTCGACATGTGTGGAACTTCTGTTTCCAAGAACTAGTGGGGATAGCGACGGACTCTTATGTGGGCAAAAATGCGGACGCCTAACTGGGCACCTCTGTAGTTCTTTATTTATACTAGGGATGTGCGTGTACCCGATATTACGAGTTCGGCCGGGCTCGGGCGGGTGTCCGATACACGCGTGCAGTCGGGCAGCCCGACTGTTTCGGGTCAGGTCGGATAAAGTCGGGCAGATTCGGACGAGCTGCCGCGGGCCCCGTGCCTGACCCTACCTAACCCGAAATAGTCGGGCTACTCGACTGCGCGCATGTATCGGACACCCGTCCGAGCCCGCCCGATGCTTTCCGAACCGACCCGATTAGTCGGGCCCCACATCACTAATTTATACTGACCATTTTGGTAATAAAATATTGACCGAAAATGGATTTAAATACTGACCATTTAATTTGCTAACCGACTTCAAAAAAGTCGGAGGTTACTCAATTCGATCAGTATATATATTTTTTTGCCATTAAAAATGGTTTACAAAGACGCTACAAGCTCCTTTGTTAGTTTACCGGTTCTGGAATGCCTAGAAGAAGCTTCAGCTGAGCCAGGAAGGTTCCAACGATGGTAGCCTCTTCAGGGAAGATAGCAGCGATCGAACCGTTGCTTTTTGCGGCCACGCAGGCTTCCACGGGCGGATTGATCAACACCACGCCACCCCACCTACACGCAACACAGGCGATTTCAATTCTTCTCACGCACCTTCACTTTCGCTTTCATCCTAACGTTTCAATAGTCAAGGTATTACCTTGGCGAAAGGAACGCTTCGACGTTGGCGTTGGATTTCGACCTGTGACCTAACCGCGTGTAAATATGGAGCGGTGCAGTGTCGCAGGGGACAGCATAGATGACAAAACTGATGGTAGGATGAAGACTGACTTGCGAGGCTGAAACGTACACGTCTCGGTTATTCTCTCCGCTATTGCTATCGAAAACAGATTATTGTTTGAAGTGACCCTAGTGGGGTTTTATAATCCACTCTGCCGTTCCCAAACCTTTGTTTATAGCGGCGATGCTATCGAAGACAGATTATTGTTTAAAGTGACCCCAGTGGGGTTTTATAACCCGTTCTGCCGTTCCCAAACCTTTGCTTATAGCGGCGATGCTATCGAAGACAGATTATTGTTTAAAGTGACCCCAGTGGGGTTTTATAACCCGCTCTGCCGTTCCCAAACCTTTGCTTATAGCGGCGATGCTATCGAAGACAGATTATTGTTTAAAGTGACCCCAGTGGGGTTTTATAACCCGCTCTGCCGTTCCCAAACCTTTGCTTATAGCGGCGATGCTATCGAAAACAGATTATTGTTTAAAGTGACCCCAATGGGGTTTCAAACCCGCTCTGCTGTTCCCAAACTTTTGCTTATACCGGCGGTGCCATTGAAGACAGATCACGTACCTAATTTCTTCTCTAAAGGTGTGATTAGTTGTGGTAAGACGTCTTCTGGTAACGCGAAATGCCTGCCTAACGGCCCGCTATCGGGCACTCGTTTCGGATTAACGTCTAAAGGAAGATAGTACAACCATTGAGACTTCACGGAGAAGTTACTGAAGATTGAAAGCTCATCGAGGAACGGTTCCACGTATTCTAAGGAAATCAGAAGAAAAGGAATTAGAGAGAATGAAGAAAATTTGTAACGTGTGTGAGCTGCCCCTTTACCCACCCTCGGTGATCGTGCGAAGGTCCCAGGTGATCTTTAATTTCTCTGGATCAGGATTAACGAGCGTGATTAACACGTCGTACGCGGGGCTAGCAGGAAATCTTCTTCTGTTTTCGTCGTCTAAACTGTACTGAGTCGGCTCGGTAAGCGCGTTCTTCGTTAGAGTCAACGATTTCTCTAGCAACATCCATTCCGACAATACTCGGATCAAAGTGGAGGCGGCTGGAACGAAAAGAACAGTCTGTAAACTTGGAAGAAATGAATCAAAGAATATATATTTATATACAGAATCGAGCAAAGTAGGCTTCCCCAGGAAAAATGGCGATGTAGTTCTTAAATTCTAATTTTGACGACTGCGGACCATGGAGAGAGGCCCAATTTTAATTGGCAAAATATTACTGACCAAAGGATTTAAATACTGACCCTTCATATTTAAATACTGACCAAAAGGGATTAAAATACTGGCCAATAAAATACAAGCCATTTTAATTCACAACCGAGAATTAGAAAATCAAATTTTCCCGCGTGAACGTTTAAACGCAAGTGGTGGGGGGATCCCAGACCTATATACATATAGGGCCTCATTACCGACATTGCCATTCTGCAGGGGACCGCCTACGAGGAAGGGGAGGCCTAGCATGCTCGGTAACCCTACTATACCGGTATCCGTGGAGAAATAAAGGGTTCTTTTCGAGCCGACAAGAACCGCATCATTCAAATTGTTCGTCTCCAGGAGTAAAAGCTGACCAACGTCGAGGTCGAAAGTGGACGCTATTTTCTCGAGCTCGTGGGTCGTGAACGCAGTCGCCATCAAACTGCTCGATATCACACGGTGCTTCACTTCAACTTGATAAACATCTATAAAAAGAACACTATTAGAAATGATCCTATATAGATATTGCTTCTTTCATTCTAGTCACCGGCATCTTGGAAGGCTTCCGTTATGTCGCGAGCCAACGACTCGGCACGCTCTCGAGAAAGAGCGACGACCAGTAATTCCGTTTTAATTTCTAGCCGCAGTTCCGATAGTCGTTCGATCCCATCGTAGGGGAGGGAAACCCGGGGCACCGCGGTCGTGTGCCACCAAAGGGGAACTCCGATGCCCAGCAGCAACACAGCGAAGGATATGCTCGCATAGATCCTATATCTCTCTGAAAATATAGGATCAATCGTTAGATAGTCAAGGTTCGCGACACAGTTGGACTGTGCAACCTTGAATCGGGTCCAAAACATGTCCCGAGTTCGTCTGCTCGCGTCTATCAGGAACAAAGATAATTTCTTCTTTCTTCCTACTCTCACATTTATCGCTGTTACGTAGTAAGCGCATCGTACTGTTCACCGATCACAAGAAGTCCCGTGAGAACGACGCAAGCTGATTGGCCGCGCCCCACCACAGCTCACTCAGTCCTGACGTATGATTGGTCGAAGCGGTCGCGTCTACTATTTAGACTCGTATAAAACTAGGGTGTTATTCCATGTTTGCGCAGTATCTCCTTTTGCCCCTGCGACGTCCCGCGAGACTTCTTGTGTTCGATGCACGGTACATTTACTCGGTTCCTGTACCGAACTCATCCATTCGCGTACACGGTCGATAAGAATACACTCACGGTGCAAATAAACGAGATACGCTCACTTAATGACTGACTATTATCGGTAGAAGAAAAATGATTAATAACTTTGGTTTGTTGACACAGGCTTCATCCCGCGTCTGGGTCAGCCTGTATTTTTGTTTCTCGACAAAATAATGTCTGTTGTTAAAGTAGAATGGAATCCGGTTGTTATGATTAATTTGAGATTTGCAGTTTATTTTTCTTTTCTTTTTCGCTTGGTTTCGTGAGTCGGGGAAAACTGTTCCCAAGGGCAAGATCGCGGGCCCCTTTACCGGGCGGTACATGAGCAGTCCTAAGTGGTGTTACCGTAGGGAAGTTAAGGGAAAAATTTATATGAGGTAGAAGAGAGGATTTGCAGTTTCTGATTTTTTTTTTTTTTCGCAACAAGGTCGGGAGACAGGGAGGGTGTGCCCCAACCTCCAGGACTCCCGTATAAGTTGTCCCTGCGGGCAGATGCTCGCTTACCAACTAATAAAAGAAATTTATCTTGGCGTTACCGACATGAATGTTATTGTTGGATGATTTGAGTGGGGAACAGGAAAATTTTCAAAAAACCTGCTAACATAGTAATCAGAGAAGGAAAATTAGGAAACAGATAGAGGGAGCACTGGAGGCACCAGTGTACATACAGGGCAAAAGATTCTGATAAGAATTGATCCTCGGACGACGAACCATGGAGAGAGCCCCAAGACATCGGACCCTGGAGAGCCGTGATTCTAATTTAACCCGTTGGGTACATTTGACGACTCACACTCGTCATGCACATCAAATAAATCTGTACTCAAAGGGTTAATCACTCTATTCCTCTAAAAATTATTTTCCAATACATGAAACTCGGACGGCGGACCATGGAGAGAGCCCTAAGACGGCGGGCCACAAAGAGCCACAATTCTAATTTAATCACGCTGTTCCTCAAAAAATTATTCTTCCAATAGATGAAACTCGGACGGCGGACCATGGAGAGAGCCCCAAGACGACGGGCCACAAAGAGCCACAATTCTAATTTAATCACACTGTTCCACTAAACATTATTCTTCCAATAGATGAAACTCGGACGGCGGACCATGGAGAGAGCCCCAAGACGGCGGGCCACAAAGAGCCACAATTCTAATTTAATCACACTGTTCCACTAAACATTATTCTTCCAATAGATAAAACTCTTTCGTTTAAAAAATATATATTTAATTTTAAGTTAATATCCTTCCGATAGACTTAAGTTCTACTGTTCAAGGATCAAAGGCTACGTAGCCGGAAAGACCCATTTACTCTAAGTATTCTTATCGTGCACTCGTGTAAACCATAAAAGGTATGTTAATTCTTTAAGAATTCTTATCATCCGCTCCTTAAAAGCAATTGTCATAATTGATAACAATAACCGAAGTTTAGGTGGACTTTTGACTGATTGTATGTAAAATATTTTAAGACCGACTGATAATAACAACAGCCGAACGACAACGTTATTCGTGACACGATATTAAGAAAATCCCGTACTGTTACAACACGTGCGTTGTGACGCTGCACTGTCTTTTCGAAAGTACATCATACGTACAAAGGAGAGTGGCTAACGGTGAACCTGTAAGTGTAACGTTTACAGAAATTGCGAAGTTACTGTTATTAATATACACGCCCGTCGCGCGTCGTATTATTACAAAAAGTTTCGAAACAAGTTATAATTAGTCGACGAACAGTTAAGAAGAAGGCTAAAGCCCGGCCCGATCGCGTGATTCGCCCTGTATCTTGTATCAAACATCGTCCTCCTTGCACATACAATGCGTCACGTAATAAACACGAGGACAAACGGTAGCGTGAGCAGGATTAATTACCCAATTAAATTGATTTAAACACCACGCGTACTCTATTTTACTTCGTTAAAGTATGCATGTTGTTGCAAGGGCCCAAGAATTTGATTCGAGGCTGTACGAACCCTGGACCCTAGAAAGACCAATGAGAGGAGGGGGCTCCTTTTAGGCAAAAAATTTCTAAAAAAATTCTATATTTTCATTTCTATCTTCGAGTGATTTTAATTTAACGAATATTTTATTAAAAAGTAATGAATCGCACCAGAGAGCCGGTCTTTCTAGGGTCGAAGTAGTCAACTCCCTGACTCTAATCTAGAGTAACCGCCCGTTCTACTATTGGGGACGCGTGCCGTCGAGTTTTCTCGAAACGCAAAAAGAAACTCGACCGATCGCGAACCGTCCATCGGCTGCTTTCCCGATGCTGATCGCAGTACCGTGATACCACGTGGCTGATCGGTAGTTTACACGCTGCCGCTTACAAGAGCATCGACGTATCAAGGTCGAGGGACGGGGAACACATTCGTATATCGTTTAGTAGTCGGTTCGGCTCGGTTCGCTTATTAGTCGTCGGGGAATCAGTCAAAACGGGCACGGAGCGCGGACCTCAAAGAGAAACCGAGAAAACCGGCTGAAAAAGGAGGCGCGCAAGGTGGACGGGGCAGCAGGAAAAAGATAAAGTGGAAGAGGAACAAAAAGAAGAGGCTAAGATCGAGACAAAGAAAGAGAAAGAAAGAGCGAAGGAGAGGGGTGATAGGTTAATCACGAGAGGCCCGACTCCCTGCGTGCCTTTCAGAGAAACGAACGAGTGGTGCAGAAGAGTGCGTGCATCGGTCAAAAGTGGACCTCGATTCGGTAAAAATCGACTGATATTTCGATTCTATATCCGGTGATAGACCCCACGGGACAGTGCGCCGAAGTACGCGGGAAGAATAACGATTCGAGCGAAATCGGCCGCGCTGCGTTCAACTCGAAAATTCGAATCCGCGTTTTACTCGCCGCTGGCATGCAACGATCAATCCTACGATCGATCTCAATTGATACCGGCTGCACGCTCGTTGCTCCGATTTTTCTTTTTTTTTTTTTTTATTATTATTATTAATCGACCCTGGCCAACGATCAGACGCTTTCAAACGGTAGACAATGTTTTCGAACGGAGACGATGAAATTTACAATGACAACACGCGTCGATGAAATTACAAACGTCAACATTACTCGCGTTACGTTCGAGCGTTGATTGTTTTCAGTTTTCGAATTTAAAGGCGAAACTCGAGGGACCGTTTCGTTGCGTCGAAGAAAAATAAAAGATTACATATCAATCAACCAATCGGTTTTTTAATTCCTCGCGTTCGCTCTGTGCGTTGATATACGGTCGCGCCTATCGCGATCGTTGATCGGTACGATTACCGACGATATTTTAAAAATTGACGCGTACACTATAACATCTAAGATTGCTCGTATGGTAAACAATAGCCGCAGGAGGAGCGCAACGGTTGAGACACAAGGTTCCGGGTAAATACGTGAAACGCGGTGCAACGCGGTAGCAGGGTTACATGACCTGGCTTTGCTAAGAGACCTTCGGGGTCAATCTCGTTCGGTGCCGCTTAGCGAAATTACTTAGCCGGTAATCCGAGCAGTCGGGACAAAAGGAACGACGAAGAGGGTAACGGCGATCGGGTCGGGGACAGGTCGGAGGAAGCGAGGTTGCGCAACTCTTTCCACCGACGATTTGACTAAGGAAACAATAAAAGTTCACCTTCGATTTCGAAATGTCCCCGATGCCCGTGAAGAACGCGCGGCTAACTTTCGCTCGCTTCCTAGCAATTTGAATCGAAGGCGAGAGTAGATAAAGGGGTCATATAACTATTTTTTATTTCACTGCAGTGTCATCCATATGCGAATGACATTCTTGAATTTCTGTAGGAATCCATCGCTAATTAGATTCTTAAGTATTAAATATTGAAAAGTGTTATTATCACTGTCAACTGAATTGAAATTTTATAATAACTCACTTTTAATTGCAGAAATGGAATCTTTAGATCAACTTTGCTTTAAATAATTAATCTGTGATTAGACACCTTTATCCACTCTTACGTTCAATTAAGAAGGATTCGGATCCTTTTGTTTATCGACAGTAGATAAGATAACGTATACAGTGTCGATAATTTTCCTAAAAAAGTAAGAAGTAAGCAGACCACGGAAGGAGTCCCAAAAGCGCGGACCATGGAGAGAGACACAATTCTAATTTAATACACTGGCCCTTTAAGAATTATTATGTAAAAAACGCGTTATATTTTTTACCTGTTTAGAAAAAGGGTCAACAACTGTATACGTTACCCCAGGGGTGGGCAATTGTTTTGGCTCGGGGGCCACTTTGTGGAAGCGGAGGTTAGCGTAGGGCAGCACCTTTTAGAATGATTGCATTCATTAGTTAACTTTGCATTTCAGTTTTATGTAAATCTGGCCGTCCGAAGACAAGCACGAATCAGCCACCTCACCCGTTCGGGTATATGCAACTAATCTATCCACTCCCCAGCAACCACCACCACCCAGGTGGCGGGGAGTGGAAAAACTGTCAACTCATGTTATTTCAAATCATCGTATTCAGGTACGGAAGACCCAACACCAGACTCTTTGTCGGCGTGTAAGGAGTTTTGCTATAGGACGCTCTTACTTTTATCAAGCTAACCTGAGTGGGACTCCCAGCTACACCCACTAGACTATTAACGTCCATAACTTTGCATTTCAGATAGGTATTAATTGTACTTGAAATCTCGGTTCAAGGCGAATTTTTCTGACTGTCTTGACGGGCCACAAAAAGCTCTTAGCGGGCCGTTATTTGCCCACCTCTGCACCACCCTATACCATTTTGCCTGTATAACGATACACTTTTCCAGGCAAAGGTCTTCCGATTCGACGAGGAGAGATGTCCAGCCGCCAGCCAGACGATCCATACCCAGAGATCATCGAACCACCAGGCAGAAGGTACGCAGAAGATCCATCGTTCCTGCGAATCGACAATTGATCTCCGCTTCCGCCTAAACTCTCCGCGCTTCTTCTCCTTTCTCCTTCTTTCTATCCCCCGATCGCTCCACCATTTGAATACATTATTCGTTTCAGTGAGGGAAAAAGCGCCGCTGATCTTTCCTCGGTGTTGGTTGTTTCAGAAGGGCCGACAGTTTCGGCAAACTGTTGGTTCGATTTGTGTCCATTTACTGGAAATCGCTCATGATCGTGTTATGGCCGCTGATTCTGTTACCCCTCGTCATCGTCGAAGCAACCGAGGTTCGTCAACACGATACTCTATAACTCTATATGTCTCTCATTTCTCTTCCATTTGCGTGTGCGTCCTTTCCACCCTCGCTCCTACTTAATTCCTCTCTCTCTCTCTCTCTCTCTCTGTTCTGTTGCAATTTTTCTGCTTGTGTATACGCTATGAAAAAGAATACGTATCCGATTGAATGCAGGCGATAGCGATGCGGTGCCTGTACGTGGTCGGTATAATGGCAATATTCTGGATGACCGAGGTGCTACCGTTACCGGTCACAGGTTTGATCCCCATCGTACTCTATCCGCTGATGGGTATAATGAGCACAGGTGACACTTGCGCTTGCTACATGAACGACACCACGATGATGTTTATCGGTAGCATGGTGATTGCAATCGTCATCGAAAACTCTGGCCTGCATATGCGTGTAGCGCTGCTGATCATTAAGACGATCGGTTGCAGTCATCGAAGGTACCGTCTCTGATCATTTCGCTCGTATCATATTTTCACACGACGTGCACCGCGATACATCTTTTTCTGCAAACGAGTACATAGTAAATACACCTGGTGTCATCCGGCGCAGTCATACCTGTACATATATACAGGGAGATTCTCTCGGCGCGCAACGCAATAGCCGCCCCGCACAATGGAACCCTGCTGTGTTTGCGGGCTAAAAGCCCAGAGCAGTCTTGGGTCCGGCGACTTGACCTCCTGGGCTTTTTGCCCGCAAACACAGCAGGGTTCCATTGTGCGGGGCGGCTATTGTGTTGCGCGCCGAAAGAATCTCCCTGTACAAATCCCTTGCATGTAGATTAACCCTGGGCCTCTTCTTCGTCACCATGTTCCTGTCCATGTGGATTTCCAACACCGCAGCTACCGCTATGATGTTGCCTATCGTTGAGACTGTTCTCCTGGAACTGGAAGCGGTAAGCTATTATACTGTACGAAGGAGAACCCTTCTTAACGTCTGTCCGTTTGTCTTCGTGTTTCCAGCAAGGCTTGGGTGATATGTTCGTTTCCGAGGAGAACGTGGAAGATAATACAGAACCGTAGGTAGCAGCAAAATTCATTAAACCCGGTCTCAATTATATCTCCGCCTTCTAGCCGTCTGTTTGCAGGGTTAAAAAGCCGACCAACGTCACCATGGTGTATTATCTCGTGGCGGCGTATGCTTCTAGCCTGGGAGGCATAGGCACGTTGGTTGGAAGTGGTACCAATTTAACCTTGAAAGGATTCTTCGAGAAGTAAGCGTGAGCCCTTCCTTCATCGATTATCCCTTTGAGGATAGCTTGATCTTTCTATTTCATTCTACAGGCGCTTCCCGGATAGTGCTGGCATCAGTCTTACCTCCTGGATGCTCTATTCGGTTCCACCCATGCTCCTCATGAGTTTCCTCACTTGGCTGTGGCTTCAGGTCATGTACATGGGATTGTTCAGGCCCAAAAGCAAGGACGCGCTTGCCATCGACATTGGCAGTCAAGGTGAACGCGTGGCAGCGGCTGTGATTGACAAGAAATACAAAGAGCTAGGATCTGTTACGTGGCACGAAACTACTGTCGGTGTCCTCTTCGTTACCGTTGTGTTATTGTGGTTCTTCAGGAGCCCCGGATTCGTACGAGGTTGGCCAACTTACATCACTAATTTGTACGTATCGCCTTTCCATCATCCTATATCTCCTAGACCATGCTTTCTTAGTATTGTATACTTGCTGGTACAGATAGTATTAAGCGTATTCTCTTTCAGACAAGTCAAAGACTCGACGGCAGCCGTTTGTGTCTCTATTCTCTTCTTCATCTTGCCGTCGAAGCTTGATTTTCTTCGGTCCTTCGATTCGGATCCGGCTAATCGTCCTACAAAATGTTCACCCGCCATGATCACTTGGAAGATGATACACCAGAAGATGCACTGGAGCTTGATCTTAGTGCTGGGCGGTGGATTCGCAATCTCGGCTGGCAGTACTACCTCCAGATTATCTTCAATCATTGGGAACGCTTTGATCGGTTTGCAGTCGATAAATCCACTCGCTATATTATTTATTGTTTGCGCGTTTGCAGAAACTGCGACGGAATTGACCTCTAACGTTGCGGTTGCGAATATCATCCTTCCGGTTCTGGCAGAAATGGTAAGAGATTTCCATTCAACTATTCCTTTGGTAAATACGAGGGGAACTATGTAAATGTAACGGTCACTTATTAATGAAACTTTGTCACGTAGTAGAGCTCGTCGAGCTTAACACGCCTATACCCCATTTCAGGGGTAGACGGTAAATTGTTTAAAAGATATTAACAATTAAAGTTAGTTACTCTCACACAAACCGTGGTTAAACACATAACTCGCAATTTAAACGTCCACGGTTCAAATCCTTAGTTCCCAACATTTTTTTTTTATGGTACTTTTTATGTAATAGTTATTCAAAAAGAGACAAATTACAATAAAAAAAAAAAAATGTTGGGTACCGAGGATTTGAACCGAGGATCTCTATATTGTGAGTCATAACCGTGGAGCTAATTTCTGTGTATGAGTTTGTCATACTTTAGAACGTAAGGAGTAACTAACTTTAACTGTTAATATCTTTTAAACAATTAGCAGTCTGCCCCAAAATGGGGTACAGGCGTGTTCAGCTCGACGAGCTCTACTAGGTGGCAAAGTTTTATTAATAAGTGAGCATTACACTTGGGTAGTTCCCCTCGTTAGAATGATTTTTACTATTTTTTTATCTTGCTTTCATTCTATACTCGTGTCTGGTTTCAGTGCGTTGCTCTGAGATTACATCCTTTGTACTTGATGCTGCCAGCTACTCTCTGTTGCTCCTTTTCATTTCATTTGCCAGTGGGCACACCGCCAAACGCAATCGTCACTGCTGCTGGTCACATAAAAACCAGAGATTTTGCTATAGCTGGAATTGGTCCTAGTGTTATAACGCTTATCGTCACGGCACTTGCGTTTTCCACTTGGGGCACCTTCATTTTCAACCTATCTGAGTTTCCTGGTTGGGCAACGTAAAGCACTCGCACACTTGCAAATTGCCTACCATTTTTTCCTCGTGTTTTTAGCCGTGACATGACGCGTTACGATCGAATACTTATCGCTAAATCTATTTAGCGCTCGTTAACGCTCCAGTATTTTAGTAGCATTTCAATCAATCAAATTATATAACATTAAATGGATCCTAAACTTTGTTCCGCCTTGGATACTTGCCAGGAATCTCGATTGTATATTTATAGTATTTTATGACACAGAATTTAGCTCCTTTACCTTAAAAAATGACTAAAAAAGTGAAAAAAGTAATAAAGTGTAACTTACCATCGACCGATGTCTCATAACCTATAACGTCCACTTCTTCTCCCATACTATACTCGATTTGCTTCTTTTAAAATGAACAGTCCAAAACTATGACCTTGTGTTCCTCAATCTTCTGATTATGGACACTAATCATCAATGATTTTTAATACAAATACAAATTTATAGAATCAAACAGTATTCAAGGACATAACCTCACAAAAATTGAGTTCGTACGCTTACTTACCGATTCAATTTCGCGCGTTCTTCCCGCGACTTTTCACCTTTCCTTTCTCTCTCCTTGATAATTCTACAAGGTTTTTTGCCGAATAAGAAAACATTGGTGTAATTACTTGTGGAACAAATTAAAAAATCTTAGGTGCAGTAAATATTATTTAATCGAGAACGACATCTCTCGACTGAATCACTTTTCTTCTCCTGGTAATTGTTTTCACGGATACCTGCCAATTTTATTTATTTGCGACTGTTTATAACATTTATTTACGTAAAAAAGTAGTATTAATTAAACAGAATTTATCATACCTCGTAAGAAAATTGATAAACAGTTTTTAAAATTTTCTTCCCTCCGCTAAATCTCCCTAGTTTCCGTTTTTTCTCTTTTTATAATATGAGTATTACTTGTTCGAATTCAACCATTTTTCAACTATTTCAATGTGAAAAATCTTGAATTTGTAAAATTGGAACAGTTTCTTATTTTACCGGAAGTACATGTGTGCCACCGGAAATCGCTGCTTCCCAATTGCATATATATATGTGTAGTATTTTTCACGAGAGAATAGTACCAATTCGCGCAGCTGGAAGTTCCCCCACCAGTAGCGCTACCCCGCCATGATTTACTTCCCATTGCATCCGCCATATACATGGTGGACAAAATATACTAATATAGGAACGGCTTATTATAGGACAGAGGTAGTGAATCATAATTCACAAGTTTATAATCACCGGATATACTTTCTGCCCAACGTGGCTTCAGGGCCGGCCCTGGGCCTAGGCAGACTAGGCGAGCGCCTAGGGCCCCCATAGGCAGGGCCGGCGAACACGCTGAACCTGCTTTGCGCCGCCCCTGCCCATAAGACTGGTAAGTATTATGTATTGATATATGCTCACCATTTTAGATTTTGTGTTTACTTGAATATTAATCCATGTAAATGCAAATCTAAATTAGTTATACAAGCTTTAATGTTAATTTTGTAAATTTTATTTGAGGTACTTTTTTTATGTCATATATGTGAAGGGGCCCTTTTTCGGAGCACGCCCCAGGCCCCCGAAATCTGAGGGCCGGCCCTGGTGGCTTACATTATACATATACAGCCGTACGGCGCTTGCGCGTTACCTTGGTAGCGGAGCGTGGCAGAACCAATCAGAGTCAACATGCGCAAACAAAACCAAAATTCGTTTATCCAATGGTACTATTCTCTCGTGAAAAATATGTTTACATGTGTATATATATATATATGCATTGGTGATTGATGTTTGGTTAGAAATTTTCGAGTGCAACATATCCGATCAAATCAACAACGAACTGATAACAAACAGTGAGTAACATTTTGTTTTATTAATCATTTCATACACATCTTTTTCCATATACAGATACTCTTTCCAAACACTTGTTTTAAATGTATTTCTGAAATGTTTACGAAACAGCAGCCACTATCAGCGTTACGTGTTTTCGTTTATAAACGATAACGCATAACAGGGATTGGATATTGATCGAAGAGAATTTAACGAAGCGGTCGTTGTTTTTAATTCGGAAAGAAGTTGCGTGAAATTTGGCCTATCTTCGGGTTCCGCAGCCCAACAGGAACACATTAGGTTATAAATACACAGCGGAACGTCATCTGGTTTCTCTAAACGACCATTCTCATGGATAATGTAACGTAACACACGATCATCCTGCACGTTTGAATAGGGAAAAGCTCCTAAAGTACTGATTTCCCAAAGTACTATCCCGTAGGACCATACGTCGCTTTTTGATGAAAAAGTACGATCTCGTATGGCTTCTGGTGACATCCATCTTATTGGAAGACGACGTGATTTTTCTTCAATATTTCTTATCATGTATATACCATTACGCGAAAGCCCAAAATCAGAAATCTAAACATTATTATATTCGGTTAAGATTTTCACTTGTACCGGATGAATTGTAAATTGCTATTGCTAATCAGTCTACCTTAACAGTTAAATCTGCGCTAAGAAGAATGTTTCTGGCTGCAAGATCTCTATGAGTAATTCCTTTAAGCTCCAAGTGTTCCATACCTGCTGCGATGTCTGTGGCAAATTTCAAAAACTGATACTCTTCCATTTGCCCAATCCAATGTTCTTCTTCTTCGCTGCCAGTAATGTTTGTGTATTGTCCAAGTTTGTTGGCATTCATATTGTTTGGTACGATAGGACATATAGAAGCATACAAAGCTACAAATTAAGACAGTATAATTCATAATAGCACACTTTTCTTGAGATCTCCGAGTAGCATATCACTTACTTTCTGAAACGTTTGGTTTAAGTAATCTTTCCAAAACAATTTCATTGACCTGCATAGGTTTATCGCTCTTCTCTTTTCCTTGAAATGTATGTAAATAAGTTAATAAGTCTCCGCCTTGCATGTATTCCAGTAAAATGCATATCGATCCATTCGGCTGAATACAGTACCCCAAAAGATCTACTAAATTTGGATGCGTTCCTGCCATTCTCATTATTTCAATCTCCTTTAGAAACTGCTGTTGAATTTCCAATTTAGGAGACAGAATATTTTCTTGGGACATTTTCACAGCTATCAAAGTGTTATTTTTGTCATTTAAACAGCCAAGATACACTTTTCCAAATTGTCCTGCACCCAATTCGCGTATCAATTTGATATTTTTGAATGGTACTTGTAGTTTGTCAGTTTCTTCTTTATGTACCCCCTGCGGTAATTAATTCAAGTTTTATTACTAATCCTAAGTATAAAACTTCTATGAATTCTTACCTCAGATCCATATAAACCATATAGAATGTTATCCTTTTGAAGAATTGCTTCTGCCCAATGAGATTTGTATCTATAAATTCTACGTATCCTAAGAGAACAAAAAATTAATTAATCTTGTATTGGATAATTAATCAATTGATTTGCTACTTCAATATTTACCGGGCATTGGTTTTATTACCAAATGATAAGAAGTCGTGCTTAGGATATAATATCAAGCTCAAAACACCGAATAAAATGCATCCACTTAGTACTCCGCATAATATGATCCACTGAAAAATGTGTTCCTTATTATACGTTCATTTAAAACCTCTGGATCTCTATTAATAACTTACTACATTATGATTCATAATATTAGTTTTGACATTGAATAACGTAGAATTTATAATGAAACTTCCTCCTCTTCCGATGCAGTCATGATTGTTCACAGCGTTAATTATCACTTTATAACCACCTTTAACTTTTGTATATTTTTCAGTGGAGCTTAAATTCCATAAGAACGTTGTTGTTCCTGCAGGCACTTCTCCTATCTTTGTTACGTTATTATATATGGGTAACCCTTTTTTTGAGGTTGAACGAGATACTCCAATACTATAAAATTTTTCCATAGATTAAATTGAGATACACATCAATTGTACACCAAGTTATGTACCTGATCAGATAAAAAGAAACATCGGAAGCATTAGGAGCTGTCCAGTTTACAACCATTCGATATCCTTTTTGAATAACGTTCACTTTTGGAACTGGCGATTTAGCTATGAAACAGCTACACGTATCACCTATGCATTCTGGAACTGTATACAAAACCTGTAAGATTTAAGCGTTTCTCTTATTAAGAGAATATATAATAAATAATCTGAACGTATCATTTTGCCCGTACGCACTTGAGGTATATTTATCATATGCTTTGTTCTTGGGTTTGCGATAACTTCTATTTTGTAAGAACAACCAGGTTGAATATGTACGTCTGGCAGATCCTCCAACTCATTTGTCTCTGGCAGGAGCACATTAAATTGTTTATTATTGTGTACCGTATAAAAACTTGATCCCTCTGGACATTCTGCGTTTGGTTTTTCCATGTTTGGTACGGTTGTGATTATAATGCTGCGACAGCAAATTAAAATAAGATAAATTAGATTATACTGATAAGAATTTTTTTTTACATTATTTAAGAAATCTTTACCTGTAGTAGGATGGACTTCTGTTACTGTTCGCAGGTAACCAAGATATGTTCAATTTCAAATATTTATAGGCATCCCTACTGTTTGTATACCTCTCATCTTGCACTGCTTTGACGCTTAAGTTTCGTACAGGTTCAACAAAATCGATTTTTCTATACGCCTCATCGCATAAATATAATGAAATAAATATAACACACGCAAACGAAAATCGAATTCGAGTATTCATTTCATTTTTTACACAATGAGAAATTAAATCATCGCTAAACTACATGGCACGTTACGATAGTGTACTAAGTTTTAGTCAGTTTATAATCAGGGTACACATTTATCTGGGAATCTTTACTTTGCGGTGAACGTGCAACATTTTTCAAGTATGCGATAAGACGATAAGCTTAACTCTTAATGCCATAACTCTAATCGTTATGTACGTACTGGATATTCAAGGATTCCAAGAATATCAACGATATAAAAAATAAAATAAAATAAATATAGAGGAAGAGTACGTTGAATTAATATTAACAAGAGTGTACAGGTAGAATAGAATGTTTACATTCTTTATTGTCCTTGCATATACAGTGAACTGTAAAAGTATTCGGACACCGTTTAAAAATGAATATCTAATTTAAAATTGGACCAAATTACTTGAGACTTTTTAAGAAGCTATACAAATTAATTTACTATATGTGCTTTGTCGTTTTGAAAAATTACAATTTGTTGAAATCGTGGAAAAAAATAGTGAAGGGTTATTTTTCAAAAATTTTTTTATTTGTTGATTCAAATAAGTTATGTGAATGCTGAAAATTTTTTTAATTAAGTAATTAATTTAATTATTAATTTTGAATAATTAAAATTGAGTAATTTTTCAACTATAATGACAATTTAAAATGTCTTTCGTTGATTCAAATAAGTTATGTGTATGCTGAAAATATTAGTAATTAAGTAATTAATTTTAATAACTCAAAATTAATTACTTTTAATTATTTAAAAAATTAATTATTTAATTACTAAAAAAATTAATTATTTAATTACTAAAATTTTCAACATACACATAACTTATTTGAATCAACGAAAGACATTTTAAATATACAAAGTAATTTTCAAAAGTTCAAAAATTACCCTTCACTATTTTTGTTCACAATTTCGACAAACAGTAATTTTTTAATACAGCAAAAATACATATTTTAATAAATTAATTTTCATAGCTTCTCAGAAAGCCTCAAATCATTTGGTCCAATTTCAAATGAGATATTCTGTTTTAAACGGTGAGCGAATAATTTTGTAACCCACTGTGCATGCATGAAAATGATCAACAGACTGAGGTAATGGACGACAATAATAAGAGAACCGACGAGAATTACAGAAAATCCGAAGAGAATAAAAAAAAGTACGGTTGAACGTGTTGCAAACTTTTGGCGGGAAACAAGTCTGTTTCGTTTTTATGTTGCAGGGAAGAAATGGCCTCGGCTACTATATCACCGACAGAAGATGACGAATTGACTTTGCCACGCGCGTCGATCAATAAGATGATCAAGGAAATTCTGCCCCACGTACGCGTGGCAAATGAATCACGGGAACTGATACTGAATTGCTGCACGGAATTCATACATTTGCTTTCGTCCGAGGCGAACGAGATTTGCAATCAACAGCAGAAGAAAACGATCAACGCTGAACATGTGCTTCAGGCACTCGAGAAGCTTGGATTCGGAGATTACAGCGCAGAGGCGGAGGCTGTTTTGCGGGACTGCAAGGCAGTAGCAGCGAAACGAAGACGTCAGAGTACCAGATTAGAAAATTTGGGGATTCCAGAGGAAGAGCTCCTCAGGCAGCAACAGGAATTGTTCGCGAAAGCGAGGGAGGAACAGGCTGTGGCCGAGCAACAGCAGTGGCAACAGCTGCAAGCGGTTGCGCAAATGGCTTCGATGCAACAAGCAGATAGCGAGCAGGAAGATTACTCCTAAACATGTATAGTGACTGAACGATTCTCCTTTTCGTGTGTTGATGTGGAAAACCGGTGGACGAGGACATACTCTTTTTATTTCAGCCAGTCTGGGATAATTGAAATATATCTTCTTTTCTTCTCCTTCTCTTGATTTATTCCACTTCATACATAGTATTTATGGCTTGTACACTACTTTCAGTAATCATCAATTATCGCATTCCTACCTTTGTTCTGTGATGTTCTTACAATAATAATGATTATAATAGAGAAAATACGTCAAAGAATCATGTATATATCATTGTAGTTACCATATGGTACTATAAAAGCCGAAATTATCGATTATGGCATTAATCTTCCATATTCAGAAGATAGATGACTCTTTTTAATCGCTTCCATTACTCTAGAAACGTAGTGATACCTGAGTAATACAAAGGCAATTGATTAAGAAAACGCCTATTGAAAAAAGAAAAGAAACAGAGATTAGATTTCATACATACCAATTCTTTTCTGTTAGAGTAGAGGGTGTCATTGGATTTCTATTAACACCATGTATCTTCGTTTTTAATTTCTCTATTAGTTTCTTCTCATTATAATGCATAGTTGGTTCCTCTGCAAGAAAAAAGATACCAAATTAGAATTGGATATTAAATTAGATATTAAACACCGAATCGTACCGTAGTTTGTGATTCGAGGTATGAAAAATAAGTTCAACCCTGCCTCCATCGAATGATTACTCATATCCAAACCACTGTTAATTTGTAATCTAGAACTGGAGAATACCTTGCTGTAAAATTCCTGTAAACGATGAATCATTGTAACAGTTTCACTCAATGAATAATGGAATAGATTTTTTATAAAACAATATTACTTTAACTTTCTCTATGGTGTTCGGTGTGAAATCTTCAAGTTCAGCTTTGTTATGCAGAAATACAATGTGTGGATAGTATTCTACGTAGTCTTGATCCATGTTACTCGTTGAAGATGGCTTTAACATTTCTGCAGTTTGTAAAAACCTACAAGTTATAAATGTTCCTAAAATTTTCTGATGAAAATTTAAAATTTCATGTATAATGCTTACCTAACTAAGTTTGGATCGATAAACCAGTCTTGGACAAAAATGATCACATGACATACAGAAAAGAGGAACGCTGCAAATTGTAAAGATTGTAATTCTAAATTAGTTTCTGTATTTACAAAGTCTGTTGTAGATTTCTTTTGATCGTAAGAAGCAGAATAATCTATTCTCGATCCAGAAAGTATGGGTTGCGTATCTAAATATATAACTCTGTTCTTTGTTACAAAGAAATCAATACCAGAGGTACAATTTGCACCGCTTTCATGATGGGATATATCTTGAACTGGAAATACATCAGGCCTGTGTTGGTAGAAAAAGAACGATAGGATATAAAGTGTATCGTCACAAAAATTTTGAACGGTAATAGGTGGTTATAGGTTTTGCAATAATACCAACACATAGCTGGATGTCAATAAAGACATTATAGTAGATTTTCCAACACCCTGAGCTCCTAAACATCCTACCACCAGGAAATCTTGTTGATCGTACAGAAATTCGAGAGGATTTTCGCAAAGTTGCATATTTTCATCCATGAACTTTACACATGTGGTCATCTCAAGACACATGGGTAATATGGTACGTACAGCTAAAGAAAACGTGAAGCTTAATAACTTTTAATATTCTATGATAATGATTCAAGGAAAAACAATACTTACAATCTTGTACTTTTGACGGAACATTGGTAGATGTGTCTGTCTCTTTTCTGGAAGATAAAAATTGTATTGTAGGCTAAAGCTTTAAGTTATATGTTACAATAAAATATAATTATCATTACTTGTTACTACCATTACGTTGGCTTGGTGAAACAGCTCTGTTTTCGCCTTCCCTAGTTTTCAATATAAATGTAGGACGATCTATAACTTTAATTGTACCTCTACCATCAACCTCTTTAACTTCTGAATCTTTCGGTGTAATCGACATCATCGTTTTTTTGTTTAATTCAGATTAATTGCATGTGTGAACGATCAGAGTGCAAACTTTCCTTTTGGCATTTAACCACACAATTCTTTGTTGCCAAACAAAACTAACACATCAAATTCAAATGAGTTGTTTTACCATATATCGGTACCATGGTATCAATAAGAGGCTGTTCATCCATGCTCCAAATTGGTTGAAATTTTGGAAATAGGTTTCTTTTTAATAAAAATGATGATTCCAAGAAGGATTTTTGGCGACTCGAGAAAAAATTTTTTATCATCTGGATGTCATTCCCTACTTTACCGACGCATAATATCGAATTATCATGGCCACCAACAGTATTTTGTCGGTGACACGATTTAGTAGAGAAGGTATTAGAGAAGATATCCTCATTGTTTCCCGGATTTTCAAACAAGAAAAAATGGAAAAGATCCATTTGTGCAATTACTGACCGTCCCGATGGCTTTGTCGAAAGCGTAGATAACAGTAGATGCAGATACCATACCGGTAAAGTAGGGAGTGACATTCATGTGATAATAAATTTTTCTTCGAGTCGCCAAAAATTCTTCTCGCAATCATCATTTTTATCAAAAACGAATCTATTTCCAAAATTTGAGCCAATTCGGAGCATAGAGGTTTTCGAAAGTTTAGCCCAATAGGATTTCATCCGTGGTTTCGGTAATCCATCGATGTTACAGATTTGAAACTCATGGAAAAGAAACTGTTAGAATATCTATGTTGATAATATGGTCACTGTCGAAAACGAAGTTACTCGAATTGACTGAAATTAGTGGAATAAACTGTTTCGAAACATTAGGATCGGTTTATGTAGAGTAGATGGTTTTGTTTCTCCTTTCTTTTTGCAAATAAAGTTTAAAAAAAAACCGGACTAACACGATGTGATTTAACGAGGAAAGTTCCTCATTAAGTTGTCATGGTTCCCTAAGAAGATTGAACAGATAAAATTATTATTACGTGTTTCAATGTATTTTGTCAATATGTTGCGAATGCGTAGGTAAGGTTATCTATTATTTTATTTCTTGTATCTTTTTAAACTATATAAACATTTATACTTAGCGAAGTCTTGCAATAATCTTAGGAGCTTTGATTTTTTTTTCTTCCATTTTTTTTGCGATATTGATTGCCTTCTTTTTCGTGATGTTGAGTGAACATAATGAAGAGTAAAATGCCACCATTTCGAAGGAAAAAGTCTGGAAAATCTTTCCCTGTTAAAGTCTGTACTTTAGACGCTGAATTGGAGTTCAGTTTAGAGGTTAGTTTCACTTTTTTTTCAGTTGTGTAATTATCCTTCTGTCATATCATGTAAACAAGTACTCTGAACAAATTATTTTCAGTGGAGATCAACAGGGAGAGATTTGTTTGATTTAGTCTGTCGTACGATAGGATTGAGAGAAACATGGTATTTTGGACTACAGTATGAGGATGCCAAAGGATTCATATCATGGCTAAAATTAGACAAGAAAGGTGAATTATTCGATCCGTCGAATAAGGTTTATTTACTCCATAAACATTACATCCATCGTTACGTGATAAATTAATGTTTCTTTAGTGCAAGATCAATGTATTTCCCAACAACCGACGACACCTTTCATGTTCCTGGCAAAGTTTTATCCGGAAGCTGTCGCAGAAGAATTAGTGCAAGAAGTAACGCAACATTTATTTTTTCTTCAAGTGAAGCAAGCCATCCTTTCTATGGATATTTATTGTCCTCCGGAAGCATCCGTGTTATTAGCTTCTTACGCAGTACAGGCAAAGGTGATTGTTTTCTTAAAATAATATTCCCTCCACTGTTCTAAATTCTAACTTGTCGCATAATACCATTAGTATGGGGACTATGACGAAGTCTCGTACCGTCCAGGAATGCTTGCCAGTGAAGATTTATTGCCGCAGAGAGTAATCGATCAGTATCAGATGACACCTGAAATGTGGGAGGACAGGATAAAAATTTGGTACGCAGATCATCGTGGGATGTCTAGAGATGAAGCAGAGATGGAATATCTTAAAATTGCTCAGGATCTAGATATGTATGGTGTGAATTACTTTCCTATTAGCGTAAGTATTTAACCCTTTACTTTATACCTTTCTCATTCAATGTCACTGACCGTAATAATAAATTGTAGAACAAGAAAGAGACTGATCTCTGGCTCGGAGTCACTGCCCTGGGATTGAATATTTATGAAAAGGAGAACAAACTGGCGCCGAAGACTACGTTCACGTGGTCGGAGATACGGCACATCAGCTTCGACGACAAGAAGTTTGTAATAAAACCGGTGGAGAAAACGTCGCCGAACTTCGTGTTCTTCTCGCAGAAAGTTCGCATGAATAAACTGGTAAAAAAACAGTCAGATGTTGGCAGCTGGGTGAAGGGTTTGATAGCTTTAAGATTGGACGATCATAACAGTGACAAAGCTGCTCACATATTATTTGTTAAGATCCTGGACCTGTGTATCGGCAACCATGATCTGTTTATGAGGAGACGGAAACCCGACTCGATGGAGGTGCAGCAGATGAAAGCCCAGGCCAAAGAGGAAAAATCTAGGTAAGTTTCTAGCGTATTTTGACAAAATTTTCATTGTAATTCAATTTGACGGGCAAGTTCAAGTTTCTAGAATTTGTATCGCTTACCTTAACAATTCTGAATGCGGTATGTTAAGAAAATACTTTACTAACATTTATAGGAATTAAAGAAATAAAATAATTTACAACAACTCAGATGATTTATATCATTATTGTAAAATGTTTTACCAACATAATTATATGCATGTGATTGATTAATTAATTAAACTACTTAAAAATTTACCTGAAAGTACTGCTGGTAAAGATTGCTGCTTCTTCTGTAGTCGCTATTTACAAAAATGAGTTCTGCATAAAGAAACTGGTTGATATATTTTACATCATGATCTAATAAGAATGGTTAATTTAACATTGATGATCTTTTATACAGGGTGTCCCAGAATTCGCGTTGGACCTGTGAAGGGGTAGCTTTTTCGTCATTAACCTAACCTCCAATTCAAACGTTTATTAATTATTCCATTTCAGTAATTTCTATTCGTTGTTTAAAATGCTTAGAATTTTCTTTTTTACATTATGACTGGCGATAAGAGATCATATTCCTTATTCATTTTTAAACACCAACTAAAAATGTTCAACCAGTTCAATTTTTTTATTGCGCCATGCCAACGGGGGGCCGAGCTGACGCTGCCGTCCCTGAGCCCGCGCGCTGTGCGCGCTCGGATTGGTCAGTGCTTTTTCCATAATAATTCAAAAACGAAGCTTCCAACAACATTTTCGCAAAGGAAAATGTTGTTCAGAATCACCCCAGCTACCTTCACAGGACCAGTGCGAGTTCTGGGACACCCTGTATTTTACCAGGCCTTATTGTAATCCACCCGTATCCCAATTCCTAACCTCTTCGATCCTCTTTCTTTTCCTGGTTTCAAATTTTTGTAGGAATTGTCACGAGCAAATATAATTAAATAGATATTTAACCAGGTCAGTATGCATATTTATGATTTATATAAGTCACGAGAAACATTCCAAGAAGAAACTGAATTATTGATAGATAAGTAGTCGTTTATCCAATTGGTAAATTAATCATAATATTACGTTGATAGAAATTTATAATTCTCTTCGTCTAATGATTTCATTTTATTAGGAGACAAATTGAAAGAAACAAATTGGCGCGAGAGAAACAGCTTCGAGAAGCAGCGGAGAGAGAAAAGGCAGCAATGGAGCAGCGTCTTTTACAATATCAAGAAGAAATTCGTTTGGCAAACGAAGCACTTGTAAGATATTAACGAGGCTGGAGATAATTGATTTCAAAAAACATAAAGGGAGCGTAAGAAAATTGTTGATATATTGCAGAGGAGATCTGAAGAAACTGCTGACCTTTTGGCTGAAAAAAGCCGCGTAGCAGAAGAAGAGGCGATGCTGTTGAGTCAGAAAGCTTCGGAAGCCGAACAAGAAATCACGCGTATACGATTAAACAATATGAAGACGGAGGAAGAGAAGGTTCATCTTGAACGAAAAACTAGGGAGGCTGAATTGTTAACAGAAAGATTGGTGCAAGAATCAGAAAGGAGAGCGGCAGAGGCGGAGAAGTTGAAGGACGAATTGTTACGTGCACGAATTGCGGAAAAGGAAGCGAAAGAAAAGTTGTTAGAGTTCCTTAGCAGGAATGCTTATACTGCTACTATAGCTGTGAATATTGAAATTCTAGAATTAAGTATACAGGGTGCCCCAGAAATCGCATGACACCCGGAAATGAGGGTTGCTGGAGTGATTCTGAACAACTTTTTCCTTTACCAAAATGTTGGTTCAAGTTTCGTTTTTGAATTATTAACGAAAAACACTGACCAATCAGAGCGCGCGCTCAACCACCGCGCTCGGCTGCGCTCGATCATGGTCGTGAACAAACGCATTAGCACAGCGCAGGTATCGAAGGAACCCACGCTGTGCCAATGCGTTTGTTCACGACCGAGCGCGGTTCAGAGCCAACACTCTCGTAATTGAGCGTTGGCTCTGAACCGCGCTCGGTCGTGAACAAACGCATTGGCACAGCGTGGGTATCGAGGGAAGCGTGCGAAAAATGTTACATCATTTTAAATTAAGAACAATGTGGAATTATTCGTTATTCAAGAATAACGAATGCGTTTGTTCACGACCGAGCGCAGTTCAGAGCCAACGCTTCCGAGGTTGAGCGCGCGCTCTGATTGGCCACTATTTTTCGTTAATAACTCAAAAACGAAGCTTCAATCACGATTTTGGTAAAGGAAAAAATTGTTCAGAATCACCCCAGCAACCCCCCATTTCCAGGTGTTACGCGAGTTCCGGGACACCCTGTACATTTGCACTAAGGTTATGTACAATTAATATTCTATTTTTGTATTCATGTTTACAGCCGGTGCCAAATCTATTCCCATCGACACAAGTACTGCCATCAGATTTGCAAGCAGATCTTCAAACGTTGCAGTTGGATACAGAACCTTTACCAACTGACCTAACCTCCTATGATCTAATCGCTGATGGAGATGTCGATCAACTATCGTTAGAGATTGAAAAGGAAAGGGTAGATTATTGGGAGAAAAGTAAACACTTGCAAGAACAACTGAGAGAATTACGTACCGAGATTGAGGTTATGAAAGTTGGTGAAAAACAGTGTGAGTTGGATCAGCTACACGAAGAACAAGTACGACTCGGTGAGAACAAATACAGTACATTAAAAAAAGTGAAGTCAGGATCCACTAAGGCCAGAGTTGCGTTCTTCGAGGAGTTATAGTTTCGTATACCGAGAGATTGAGAAAAGTAGATTATATCGAATTGACAAAGAAATGAATATCTGATTTCATATGAAACTTATGGATTATGTAAAGACACGTACGTATGTATACGTTGTAGAATACTGACACGTACGCTTTACTTTTTTGTAACAATGTACATTTTACTTTGTTATATACATAGCGGTAGTACACAGTTTGCATGCTGATGTTCTAAGTGTCCATGATTGGAAGACCATACTTACACACCTTCGTCGAATGATAACTGCAGTAAAGTTTTTTCTTCCTTTTTTTTTTTTACTTTACGTTTGTTTCCATTCTACGTATCTTTACTTGTTTGTTGTGCTAATTTTAAATGTTTCAATAACATAGCAAGATAATTAGATTCATATGTAAAGTATGTGCACAGAAATCAAAATTACAGGTATAATTACTAGGCGTTAATGTTTACGTAGAAGTAAGTAATTCTCGAAGGCATGAATATTATTCCTTTGTTTTTGATCAAACGTTAGGCAAAACTTGGAGGAAATATGTAGACAGATTTTAAATTAGGTTATAAACATTTAAGGGAATATTACAATAGATCTGTATATAATTTAAAAAAAGACGAATGTAAAGATTCAACCAGTGTACGAGTATATGTAACATTCTTTTTTTGTTTTTTTTGGTAAGCCTATTTTTAAGTGTAAAGCAGATCATTGTTGTCAATTTTTATGCCATGAAACATAACTAACATGATATATCGTTAGTTTAATTAGACTAGAGCATTAGAATCGTTGTGCATTAATTGTGGCCTTTGAAGTAATGTTCCTATCAACATAGCAAAGAAGTCAGTGTTCAAGTATCTCAGCGTCGGGCTTTCCAAATGTCCCAGTATATTTTCACAGTCGAACCTTAGCTCAATGAAATTTAATGTAAAAAGCTTTTTTAAACATTTTTATATACAGTTTGTTACAAAATTGTACATAATTACAAATATTTTTACGTAAAACCAGTGAATCAATGAAGTGTCCTTAAAGAGAAAAAGAATTTTAATTTTTCAAATTTCTTTTAATCATTTTTAATAACATATTTAATAACGGAGAATATATAAATCCTTTACAAAACGTGCCATAATTATTTGCAAATATGTAATCATAATACATTAAACTCTGAATAATAAATGTTATTTTTATACGTGCTTTAAATTATCTTTTAATTAAAGAGATTTAAGAACAAATTTCCATTTTTGGAAAGCTGTAGTTCTAAACTACAAGGTTATTAACCTTCGATAAGGTTATACAATTTCTGTTTATTACTACTATTACTCGAACACTGATTATTTAGTGATATGGAAATGCGAAAATAATAAACACAAATGAATAGCCTCGTTATATTATATTGCTCTTTTATTTTTCGAATCATTCTTATTCCTAGATTCTCTATAAACACGTTGAAAGTCTAGTAGTCAGTATTGATTATGTTATTGTGTAAGATATTTTACCAAAACTTTGGTGCGAATGTTGAAACTTTTGGCGCCATTATCTGTGATTCGTGTACGCGAGTGTATTGGACGCTACTTGAAAAGTCTTTTGGCTAAAATCAGTATTTTCTATAATAATAACGTACCTGTAAATGTTATCTGCAACTACTTATTCAACTAGTTTACTCAGTAATCTATAACTAGGTCTTTTTCATGAAATTCAGGGTAATAGTGAAAGTTATGTAACGATAAAATATATTATTAATAAATATACTACTATTTTCAGCAGCAAATGATTTAATATTTTCTGTAATACTGATGAGAAAGTTTTCTATGCCTTAGGACTAGGATGGCAGAGGAAAAATATGACATTTGAAAACAATAATATTCTTTATTTACATGTAATATCCATTGCTATTTAATCTAAATACAAACGTATTAAATCGTCTTCCTTAGCAGGGTAGTTTGTTACTGGACATTTGCCACTTTTGCGTATCACAGAAAGAATACATTGGTAACAAAATGCATACCTGTAAAATGTAGTATTTATAGGATATAACAGAATTTCAATTACTTATTTTTATAATACTATTTTCTATAATACACGTACCCAGATACTGAAAGTACCGTGTGTACCCTGGGCGTCTTACAACAGATCGGACACATGCCTTTATATTTCTTTGCAATTTCTGGAATCTATAATAACAATGATGTACAATATTAATAAAGAAAATATTTTATCTGTTCGTATAGCAATAAATACTTGATTATTATTCGCTTACCACTGGAGGTGGTGGAACGGGTAGTGACATTAAATTTGTAAAGTAATGTTCTTGATTCCACCAGGATAAAAATTGAAGGAAAAATGCTCCAAATTCGAGGGACGTAGTCACCACTCTTTGAAATATATCTAAACCATCGCTGATACCAAAGGAATTATTTTTTATTTTTCTTAACAAATCAGAAACACTGATTACCATCTTTGGTTCGGTATATGTCAAAGAAATAGATAACAGTCTTAAAAGTGGTGAAGTAAACACTGATTTCCCAGAGATGTAAAGTACATAATTATATAGTACCATGAATTCGTATAACATGAAAGTTACTGTATATCCTTTGACAATAAATATACGATATAGCTTTTCCCATTTCTACAAAAAAAAGACAAATTTTGAATGTCTTTTGAATAATGAATACTATATACTACTTACCGTCTGTGGTAAATAACCATCTATTTTCTCAAGTTTATACCTTTGACTTAATTGAAAAAACTTATTTTTTAAGTAAGGAAATAGAACTAATAATATTAAAGATATCCCCTTCTGCTGTTTTGATAATTCACGCTGATTTGAAGAATTTTCTATGGCTATACGTTTTAAACTATAGAACGCTTCAGAAAAGGAAGCAGCTGAAAGAAATATGTTTATGAATGATTTATTCATAGATTATTAAATTTTGTATGCTTTATCACTAATTACTTACAATGTTTTTTTAAATAATATCTTTGAAGAATTACATTAAAAATCAAGTAACATTCATCGGCCCATTTAAGAACATGTTCGTACCTGCCATGGTTAAATGATACAATAAACTAAAAACAAATTAGAGAAAAGTAGTTAGCGTTACTCAATTTGTTCGTTCCGCATTAAATTTAAACTTCATACCCGGATATCCGGTTTACAGACCATATGTCAGTATAATGTAAGATCAATATAATAAAAATATGTAGGAAATTGCTAAAAATCTTTTTAAATAAAAATCCAGTAGGATTATTTTAAATAATATATAAGAAGCTAACAATTTTTTGTATGTATACCCTGAAAAACATACATCAATTTCAAAATTCTAACCTACCGATAGAATCTTCTTAAAAGCTGGTTCAACAGTAGATGCAAATGATTCTTGTGCTATAATTTCAAAAATGGAAGGCTTTGTAAATGCAGTTCCAGTTAAATATGCTCCTTTCTCAGCCATTTGGGCTTCTCTTTCTTAAACACTGGGAACAATTTTTCATTATTCATAAAGTGACCTATGGTCTCTGATAATCTTATAGCAAATCATATAACTGATCAGAAATTTAAATCAGTTAGAATATACGTCATTGCTAATAAGTTAACAATTATTCAGGTTTCTTAATTAATGTTGATATGTAATTTATTAAAATATGTAAACACATAAATTATTGTATACTACTCGATACTTATAAAATACAATGCTATCTAGCAGAATAAGGGTTAAACTTTACTTTACCGGACCCAAAATTTTGGACCTATTTTTTTTTTAATTATTAGTTTTTGATGTGTTGAATCCAAAAATGCAAGTCTTAACTTTAGGAATCCAATGGTTAAAAAGTTATGAGTGTGTAAAGTTCGACACTTTGAGTGCATTTGCTACGTTACTGTGACGCCATATTGGCTTCTTGTCCAATGAACGGTGTCGCTAGCTGCGGGCAGACGCATGTGGGTGCCGATCACTTCAGCAGGTTTACTCAAACCGTAAATTTGATACTGTCTGAGTTTGTTAGATTTATATTTAGGTTAAACTTCACTTTAGGGGTCACCAAATTTTTTTGGGTATGGGTTCCATCAGTAGCTGTATTTAAATTACTCATAAAATTGATACAGTAGAAGCAATAAGCAAATGCATGGGCTGTACGCTCTCTCTTTAAGATAAATATAAACCTAACTAACTTCGACAGTATCCGAATGCGGTAAGGATGTTAATGTACGTATTGGATAGAAAAGATAACTTAAATTCTATAAAAATTGCAGCACATGTAATTAATTATTAATATATGCAATGATTATAGCACAGTTGTAATAGTTATTCAAAAAAAAAAAAAAATTATCATTAAACAGAAAAAAAATTGGTAACTATGGACTTGAACCGGGGACAATTAGATTACGAGTCATCTGTTTAACCGCGGAGCTAACCGTTTGTATATATTGGTTTCTCAGACTTGTTAATATACCCAGTCACTTCATTTTCCAGCACGACATTATTTTTCGCTGTAAAGTTTGCTATCTGGTAAGGACCATGCCAAATTTGTCTTTTCGTGGTTCGACCAGGACGTATGCCACGTCCCCTACCTGTCCTCTAAATGGATGAGCTTTCGCATCGTAGTAGGACTTAGACCGGATTTTTGCACGATTCAGATTTTTAGATGCAATTACACGCATCTCGTGCAACCTATCATTCAAATCCCGAACGTACCCGGTGTACGTGGGTAAATCGTCGCTCGCAGGGAACGAGGTCGGTGCGCGTGCACGCTTACCGTACACCAATTCGAACGGTGTAAATTTCGTTCCTTCGTGAACCGAGGTGTTGTACGCAAACATCGCGAATGCTACCAGCCTATCCCAATCGTCAAAGTCCCCCAAATAATGCGTAATATAGTCTGCTAAGACTGCGTGACTGCGTTTTAAAGAACCATTAGTCTGAGGAGAGCCCGAGAACTAGTACTAGCTTTAATTGTTAATATCTTTTATATAATTAGTCGACTGCCCCCAAAATGGGGTATAGGCGTGTTCAGGACGACGAGCTCTACAAGGTGGCAAAGTTTCAATAATAAGTGAGCGTAACGCAACTTCGAATACATTAAACAACTACTTAAATGCATCTTTTTGCACCGTTTCTCTTCTGATTTCAATAAATGCTTCTTTTTCTATCGTTGCAAAAACTCTGGTTGGTTGCGTCAAAAGCGGGACTCTCCTGGAGTTATGTCGGTTGCCGTGTGCAGGGGTTCATTCGACCGGGCATGGAGAGGGGAGTCTTATGCCACCAAGATGTCCGACCTCCGACTACAGTAAAACCTGGATAAATGCAACGAAAGAATGCTTGGATAAGTGCAACATCGCTATCCCCTCCAGTTGGGGGGATCCCCCTAGGGGAACCGAGCCGCTCGACGAGGAAACCGTGTAATATGATCCGACCGTAATATCGACGTGACTAATACTAATTGAACGATAAAACTTTTTTATTTTTAACTTTTTCCTAATGAAACTTTTACTAACACATTTGTGAGATGTTTCTGATTAAAATGACACCAAACACGATATAGTTTGAATTATATTTATAAACAATAGTAATAGAATAAACAACATAGAATTGACACCACGACTAAATACAAAAGATGTGTACGGATACAGAATCGGCATGTCGGCTGAATACAAAACGTGTACGGACGCAGAATCGACACCACGCTTGGATAAATGCAACCACTGGGTCCCAATCTTGGTTGCATTTATCCAGGTTTTACTGTATTGGGAACATAGTCAAAATGATGACATAAGATGATGACGGCGTTGATGGACTTATGTCCGATGACGGTATAGGGCGCCTCAATCGACACGGCTCATCGAGGGCAACAAACGACCTAATAGGAGCGAAGACCTGAGAACATGATAAAACTTCAAACTAACCTAACCTAACCTAACCTGTTTTTTACGAGGGGGGAAAAATGGCATAGGCAGATGGACGCCCGGTAGTGTTGCACACCTACCATTGAAGTATACCCACTAAAAAAACCCGCCTCGATTTCGGCTGGGCGTGCCAGTGCCACCAAACCACCGCCGGAACCGCTATTCAGCATTTCTTCGGGGGAGGGCGACAAAGAATCTGGCCGTGGAAACTAAATACCTAACCTAACCTAAGCTGGTCCTTATTAGAAGCGATCGCTCCTCTCCCCCGTTCTTTCTTTCCTCCTTCTCCTGATGATGACGATCATGTCATCCTCTTCCGCATCATTTCTTAACCCCTTACACTATTTTGACGAGTCTGACTCGTGATAAAAATTTTAGGCCAAACTTGAATATCACGAGTCTGACTTGTGATCGAGATTTCGAACTCAGAGATTGCGAATTCTCTCGCACTCAGTCGCAAAATATCATGTTTCAAAGTTCCGACAATCTGTCTGCACCGCTCGGCTCCTATCCCCACCATTCGGGCGCCCCGTGTTTGGCCTGGCTTTTTCCGAGTTTCCGCATAGTGCAAGGGGTTAATCGGAGGTACGATAACGGATGATCCCGTTTGGATCAGACGGTGGCTGCTGCTTCACTCCTCTCCGTACCTCCTCCAGGTCATCATCGTCCTTGCCATGCTTTTGGCCTCATGAGAGTCTCCTCACCTTGATAGGGATTTAAGACAAGACAACACCTGCTTTTCTTTTCTCTCCATTGCCATCTCTATCCATCATCGTTATCATCTCATGTCATCATTTAGACCATCTTTCCGCATCGTCGCCCGATATTTGGGTCAGAAGATCCAAAAGCTGTACAGTGTAATATGAAAAAAAAAGAAACAAAAATTATCGTACACTTGTACTGTATCATGGTGGGATGTGTCTTTAACACGACCGCGACGGGGTGTACCACCGGTGGTACATTCTTGTCTGTCCCATGGGACGGGATGCGCCACCGGAGATACATACACAATGGTTTTATCGGGCGGACTGAGCCACCCGTGTTATATGAACTATTATCGCGTCATAGCATTTAAATAACTGATTATTGAAATTAATAAATTTTTTTTAACCACGCTTCACGACGGGGACAATGGATTAAGGCCTCGTCACGAACGTATTAAAGACGACGACAATCACGACGATGTAAGTCACAAAGGCGACGCTCTCAATTGGATAACGTCATTCTGAAACCCAGGTGTTCTTCATTTCAAGTTCAACGGATTGTTAGACTACTATCCATTTATTAATCATCCAACTAGTGATTGCATCAACTTCGGAGTTAACTAAGAAGCCTTAAATAATTTACTGGATACAATGAAATACAAGAGGATCAAGATCATTCTGCTAGCGTGCACGTGTGTGACGATTAATGCACTCAAACCAGAGCCAGAAGCGTTGATGGGAAACTCGCCTGGTTATGCGATTACCACCGGAATACAAAACCTAAATTCGACCAGATGCCGAAGAGAAATGCAGATATTCCGGGACGCGGTTGACAACGGTGTACTTTGGAGTTTCAGAAGTCCGTAGTGTGTTTTCTTCGGTAAATCTTCACTGCAAATGGACACAATTAAAAATGGGATGTTGTTGTTATTTTCTAGTGTTGGACGCGAGCGGACAACCAACGTCGGGATACATTTCAGGAAACAACTATTGGGTGGGAAATAGACAAGAATGCGAGTTCCTTAGCCAGAAGAGACAATTTCCATTGTCAGAGAAGAAGATTCGAAATAATTCGATCTACCGTAATCCAGCCGAAGAGTTTCCACCTTTCGAGCTCAACTTCTTTGGTGCTCATCTCAGTCAGAATGGCACTGTGCAGTATCATATGAGGGTTTCTATCGACGTACGAATGATTCCTGTTCTTTTTAAGATGCGAGTGGCGAACAGAAGAATAGAGGAAACGTAGTATATCTAAATTGACATCTTTTTAGGAGATAATAGTACTCGGACTTTGTCTGCCAGCATCCTGCAGCGAATACGAAGTGGGTACAATGCTAAAGAAGGTATTCGACGATAGACTTCTTCTAGTTGGACAACTCTATTCGACGGACTTTGAGTTGATGAAAATCTCTAATCTGAAAGATGATCATGCATGGCTTCTCAGTGGAAAAATTATTATGATTTTGTACGTAAACGCGATTACAGATCAAAGGATTCCAAATTTAAGTGATTAACTTCAATATTCAATTTTGCCTGTTCGTAGATTTATTTTGACAGTATTATTCGGTACAACGATAGTAGCCACGTTATACGATATTCTCATCTATCAGAAACGTCTGCAGAAAAAAACAGACGACGACGACGACGGCACTATCGGTAAGCGATAGTTTAGGATAGTTTTACGATCGTAGTGTTGTTTAATAATAGTACTGTTGTTCAATAATATGTAGAATTAAAGAACAACACGGAGGAGAAGTCGGAATATAATGAAGAGGACGCTGTACCATCAGAACCGAAAGCAGAGAATCGAATTGCAAAAATCCTTATATGTTTCTCAGCTTATTCGAACATGAAAGAAATATTCAAATTAGACAATAGTTCAAATGATTTGAAAGCGTTTCATGGCATGAAGGTTATTGGAATGATATGGCTCATTTTTTTCCACGTTATATACTACACACTGAACGTCACTGGTAAAATAAATGTAGTTACTTGAAATAATTCATTTATTCATACAATCTCTAATCTTATGGTGTTCCGCTAAGTTTAGGTAACAAGGCAGAAAGCGCTATAGCAACCACCAATATTGAATTGCAAATCATAGCCAATGGTACATTTCCTGTGGATACGTTTTTCTTTATCAGTGGTTTCCTCGTGGTGTTTGGATTTACAAAGAAATTACAAAAGAACGAAAATAACGCTTCATTTAGCAGGAATGTAATGATTTTCATTCGTGCAGTCATCAAAAAATACATCAGGTACTCTAAGGCTATCTTGATGTTCATCAAAGCGTTATCTTGATTAAACCGACTGGACTTGTTCATATAAAAAATTCTAACTATGATTCAAAAGGTTTACACCGACGTACTTGATTATAATATTGCTCGCCATCATAAACTTCACTTGGATTGAGAAATTTTCATTGATGGATTTCAATGAACCGATGCACGAACTATGCTCAAAATACTGGTGGAGAAATATACTCTACATCAATAATCTCTTCGAATGGAATGATATGGTATGGTAAATCTAAATTTATTGGCAACATAAAATTATTGGCAAATCTATACTTTACAGAGAAATAATTGTTTTAGTGTCTGACATGGAGCTGGTATATCGCCAATAACATGCAGTTCTTTGTTTTTGGTACCTTTGTTTTGATTTTATCAAGCAGGTAAGTGTGTCATCAATATTTGTAGAAACTTTTTATTGTAATTTAATCACTTTCAGCTACTATTACACTGCTCTAAGCTTAAGCATGGCTACTATGTTTTTATCCATGTTGGTGCACGCTTATATAACGTACGACATAGGATACATTCCTACGTGAGTGTAATAAATATTTGTTTATTTATTGTATATTTGTTAAATATGGAGAATCTGAACGTACCCTTTGTAGATTAGATATGCTACTTGAGACGTTTACTTCCATGTACATACGACCATGGATGAGAATACCACCGTACATAGTAGGGATGGGCACAGCGGTATTTCTTGCAAAATGCAATTATAAATTACATTTGTCAAGGGTACTTAATTACTGATCCTTTTTTCTTTTCAATATTGCAATACTTTCAAAGCTTTCAATTTTTGCGAAAACACTTTACTTACTGGTGTCTCTATATAAATGCTATCTGTATCATTTTTTATCTAATATTTCAGAAAGCGTTAGCTGTCTGCTGGTTCCTCAGCGTTTTGTGTATATGCACGATTCTATTTGGTATCACAAATAGAAACGTGTCGCTTACTGTATCAGTCCTTTACGAGACGTTTAGCAGATTTGCTTGGAGCCTTGGAATAGCATGGCTCGTAATCGCCTGTGCCACAAACAATGGCGGTAAAACCGAACAATATCTTACAAAATTACTATTTGATTTTTTTAAAATAGAATATACCTAAGTACAATACAAATGCTGATAAGTGCTTTCTTTGTTTTTCTTGCAATTGCAGGTATCGTAAATCAATTTTTGTCATTAAACTACTGGATTCCCTTCAGCAGAGTAACGTTCTGCGCTTATCTTCTAAATCCATTCTTAATACAATTAATGGGTATGTTTAGCAATTATCCATTCAACGTTGAAGTTTTAACGACCGTAAGTTTCTAATATTATTCGTATCCTCTACAGACATGTGAATTTTTGAAAACACTATTTATTTCATTTCAGGGTGCTTATGGTATCGCAATATGTGTAGTTACTTTCTTTGTGGCTTTTGGATTGTCGGCGATGATTGAAGTACCTACGACAATATTCTTACGAACACTCACTACATAGTATCGTGGACCTCGAAGTGCACAAATTACTTTATTGTAGTGTATGGCGGGGCCAGAAAGGGCCCGCAGGAAGGTCCTGTACGAAGAAGCCAGCTAGGCTCTTCATGCGCGGATTACACAATACTACCTTTAACCCGTCCGATCAGCAGCGGGAGCTTTCTTTATTTTGGATGAGATAGAAAAAGGTTAGGTTTGGTTAGGTTAGTTAGCCAAAAAGTACTAACAAGAAAAGGCCTGAATAGCTTTAGTCACTGAAAAGTAACTATCTACTCACAGCCGACTCTAGTACTAGCCGTGCTGAAATAAAAATGGCAACACCGCGGGAGTCCGGTCTGAATATATCAACACCTACCCTACTCTATCCGCCTCCCGGATTCCCAGATTCCCAGCCAATCAACGTCGTCAGACTCTCGGCTACTCTCTGGACTTCACATAACCTCTTTGGTTTCGTTCCAATAATTTCGCATGTTTCAAGGTTTTTATTAACTTATATACACGTTCATCAATTCTGAAATGTTTCAATTTGATCCAAAGATGGTTTCATTTTGCTTCATACCTAAATTTTCTTGAAACCACAGTAAATATTTCAAATATCATGCTTCACAACACCAAACTACTTTGAGAGTACACAAAATATATATCACATTTATAACAATTTTATACTACCACATCACTTCTATTTGCCATAGTTGCAACGTTTATATATTGTTTATACATAATTAACACAAAATAGTGTATATTACTACAGCTTTTAATTAAAAAAGACGTTAATTACAATTCCGAGCACAGGACTCTGTTTTTGAAAATAGGACTCCCGATTGTCACGTGAGCGGTGTTGCCACGTTGTTCAGCATGGCTAGTACTAGAGTTGGCTGTGCTGTGGTACAATAAGTTGCATCGAACTCGTCGCAGTGAAGTTCTGCGACAGTTACACTCAAAAGTTGTAAAGTCCCGTTACAAGGCGAATAAATTCAGATCATTTAAATTCATTACCTTTTTTTTTTTCTTATTTAACAAGGAGAAATCTTCGAAAAAGACACCCAAACTTAACCTAACCTAACCTAACCCTAACCCTAACCTAACCTAAATATTGCGGTGATGGCGCTGTATTTGCGGTGGTTTACGCGTTACACAGCAACATTCGCGTTTTTATCATAATCCAGCGTCAGGAGCGGATCTATCTGGACGAAAACCTCTCGCACAACAAAATTAACGTAATTTTAGTTTTTAACCTCTAGCGGGACACGGTCTGATATTTAGAACCTCCCACCCACACCTTTGTGTTCCTCTCGTCAAGGGCTTTCTAATGACATACCACCCATCTGGATTTGCCGCCCAGCTTTTGAGTAAACTCAATATATATAGTTGAAATCATTTTAGTTTTTGACCTCTAGCGGGTCAAGGTCACATATTTAAGACCTCCCACCCACGCCATTGTGTTCGTCTCGTCAAGGGCTTTCTCATGATATATGACCCATCCGGATTTGCGTCCCACCTTTTGGTAAAGTCCAACCGTGTCTGGGGCAGGGGTCGTCTGTTGTCAGCCCCACTGACGAGTCTAACAGACGATCCCGAGACGAAACACCGCTTTGTTTTCTCGACTGCTACAGAATAATTTCCCTAATTCTCTCATAACCCGTTCAGTCGGATTAGACTCAGGTGAAAATACAACCTTAATCCCGTTTTTAAGCAATTCATTTTTCAAAATTTGGCGGTAAATTGTGATCCATTATCGGATACGGTACGCTTCGGTTGGCCGATTTTTACACAATAATCGCTCAGAATCTTCCCGGTGACAATCCTCGCAGTCGCTTATTTCTTTGGATATAGCTCAACAAGTATCGAGAACGCGTCTAAAACCACAAATATATACTGGACGTATCCTACCGACCTTGGAAGAGGTCCATAGAAATCAACGGTCACCAAAATGTTTTTCCAGTACTGCTTTATATTCCTCACTGTTCATCATGCCCTCTACTGGGACAAGAGTGCCAGGTCCCGAGTGCGAAAAACAGCCCCTGAACCTCTTCTTGATAGGACGTTTGACTGATTGCACAATGCGGGCAGCAGTGAGTTTTTCATCCGCACTTTTACGAACGAATTTTGATCGCCGGTCCTGCACTACAAAGTGTGTCTCGTCTGAGAATAACACCTTCTTCCTGTACGGCCTAGTGGGCCTTATGACTTCTCCCATCTTCCAAGAATTCTCTGCACACCGTAGAGTCGTGAATCTTCACCCCAGCATTTTCTTTATTTTACTGGAGGTCATGGCTGGTTTTTCTGGGACGCAGTTTACTGTTCCATAAAAGAAAAACTTCATTTCAAGGAGTAATCTGCCATTTTCTTACGTTGACTTACGATCCTATTACTATGTAACAACTTCGAATACATTAAACAAGTACTTAAATCCTTCTTTTTGCACCGTTTCTTTTCTGATTTAAATACATGCTTCTTTTCAATCGTAGCAATAAATCTGGTTGCTTCAAAAGCCGGACTCTCCTGGGGTTCGATCAGGCATAGAGAGGAGAGTTTTACGACACCAAGATGTCCGACCTCCGACCCCGAGAACATGGTCAAAATGATGACATAAGATGATGACGGAGTTGATGGACTTATGTCCGATGACGGTATAGGACGCCTCATTCGACACGGCTCATCGGGAGCAACAAAAAACCCCGTCGCGATTTCGCCTGGGAGTGCCAGTGCCGCCAAACCACCCCCAAAACCACTATTAAGCATTACTTCGGGGGAGGGCGACCATGAATCTGGCCAAGAAAAGTAAATACCTAACCTAACCTAAACTGGTCCTCATCAGAAGCGATTGCTCCTCTCACCCGTTCTTCCTTTCCTCCTTCACCTGATGATGACGATCATGTCATCCTCTTCCGCATCATTTCTTAATCGGGGAAAGAGAGCGGATGATCCCGGTCGGATCAGAGGGTGGCTACTGCTTCACGCGTCTCCGTTCCTCTTCCAGGCCATCATCATCCTTGCTATGCTTTTGGCCTCATGAGAGTCTCCTCTCCTAAATAGAGATTTTAGACAAGTCACCACTTGCTTTCCTTTTCTTTCCATCGCCATCTCCATCCATCATCATCATCATCTTATGTCATCATTTGGACCATGTTTCCGTGGTCGGAAGTCCGACATCTTGGGGTCATAAAACTCCCCTCCCCATGCCCAGTCGAATGAGCCGCTCGCCATATCGTCAGCCGATATAACTCCAGGAGACCCAAAGCCGTACAGTGTGATACGAAAAAAAACACACAAAAAATTATCGTAAACTTGTACTTTAATTAACGATCATGGTGGGGTGTTCTGGTGTGTCTTTAAAGACGACGACGACAACGACGACGATGTAAGTAACAAAGGCGACGCGCTCAATTGGATAACGTTATTCTGAAACCCTGGTGTTCCTCATTTCAAGTTCAACGGATTGTTAGATCACTATCCATATATTAATCACAAAACTAGTGATTGCATCAACTTCGGAGTTAACTAAGAAGCGTTAAATAATTTACTGGATACAATGAAATACAAGAGGATGAAGATCATTCTGCTAGCGTGCACGTGTGTGACGATTAATGCACTCAAACCAGAGCCAGAAGCGTTGATGCGAAACTTGCCTGGTTATGCGATTACCACCGGAACGCAACAGCTAAATTCGACCAGATGCCGAAGAGAAATGCAGATATTCCGGGACGCGGTAGACAACGGTGTACTTTGGAGTTTGAGAAGTCCGTAGTGTGTTTTCTTCGGTAAATCTTTACTGCAAATGGACACAATTAAAAATGGGATGTTGTTGTTATTTTCTAGTGTTGGACGCGAGCGGACAACCAACGTCGGGATACATTTCAGGAAACAACTATTGGGTGGGAAATAGACAAGAATGCGAGTTCCTTAGTCAGAAGAGACAATTTCCATTGTCAGAGAAGACGATTCGAAATAATTCGATCTACCGTAATCCAGCCGAAGAGTTTCCACCTTTCGAGCTCAACTTCTTTGTTGCTCATCTCAATCAGAATGGCACTGTGCAGTATCATATAAGTGTTCCTATGGAAGTACGAATGATTCCTGTTCTTCTCAAGCTGAGAGTGGGGTTGGGTTATGGAAACCGGGGTAACCTCCGAACGAGCTGATTTTTTTACCATAGATAGCCATTGAGGTGATGATTCCCCCGCAGAGGTCAAAAACCAAAATTGTCCAAAAAGTGGTTTCCGCGCCGATCCTGGTAAGGAGATAAAAAAAAAAGAGAGAAAAAACCAATTTTAGTTTTCGACCTCTGCGGGGGTGGTGGAATAGTTAAGAGATGAGATGACCACCGTTGATATCCCCACTTCAAGGGCTTTCTATGGTAAAAAAATCAGCTCGATCGGAGGTTACCCCGGTTTCCATAATTTAACCGAGTGTGGTAAACAGGAGAATAGAAGAAACGTAGTATCTCTAAACTGACATCCTTTTAGACGATAATAGTACTCGGACTTTGTCTACCAGCATCCTGCAGCGAATACGAAGTGGGTACAATGCTAAAGAAGGTATTCGACGATAGACTTCTTCTAGTTGGACAACTCTATTCGACGGACTTTGAGTTGATGAAAATCTCTAATCTGAAAGATGATCATGCGTGGCTTCTCAGTGGAAAAATCATTACGATTTTGTACGTAAACGCAATTACAGATCAAAGGATTCCCAATTTAAATGATTAAATACCGATCGAATTTAACTTCAATATTCAATTTTGCTTGTTCGTAGATTTATTTTGACAGTATTATTCGGTACAACGATAGTAGCCACGTTATACGATATTCTCATCTATCAGAAACGTCTACAGAAAAAAACAGACGACGACGACGACGACGACGACGACGGCGGCACTATCGGTAAGCGATAGTTTTGAGATAGTTTTACGATCGTAGTGTTGTTTAATAATAGAACTGTTGTTTAATAATATGTAGAATTAAAGAACAACACGGTGGAGAAATTGATATATATCGAAGAGGACGCTGTACCATCAGAACCGAAAGCAGAGAATCGAATTGCAAAAATCCTTATATGTTTCTCAGCTTATTCGAACATGAAACAAATATTCAAATTAGACAATAGTTCAAATGATTTGAAAGCGTTTCATGGCATGAAGGTTATTGGAATGATATGGATCATGTTTGGCCACGTTATGTACTACACCCTGAACGTTATTGGTAAAATAAATGTAGTTACTTGAAATAATTCATTTATTCACACAATGTCTAATCTTATGGTGTTCCGCTAAGTTTAGGTAACAAGGCAGAGGACTATATAATACTGAGCAATATTGAATCGCAAATCTTAGCCAATGGTATATTTGTTGTGGATACGTTTTTCTTTATCAGTGGTTTCCTCCTGGTGCTTGGATTTCCAAAGAAGTTACAAAGGAACGAAAATAACGCTTCATTTAGCAGGAATGTAATGATTTTCATTCGTGCAATCATCAAAAAATACATCAGGTACTCTAAGGCTTTCTTGATGTTCATCAAAGCGTTATCTTGATTAAACCGACTAGACTTGTTCATATAAAAAATTCTAACCAAAATTCAAAAGGGTTACACCGATGTACTTGATTATAATATTGCTCTCCATCATAAACTTCACTTGGATTGAGAAATTTTCATTGATGTATTTCCATGAACCGATGCACGAACTATGCTCAAAATACTGGTGGAGAAATATACTCTACATCAATAATCTCTTTGAATGGGATGATATGGTATGGTAAATCTAAATTTATTGGCAATATAAAATTATTGGCAAATCTATACTTTACAGAGAAATAACTGTTTTAGTGTCTGACATGGAGCTGGTATCTCGCCAATAACATGCAGTTCTTTGTTTTTGGTATCTTTGTTTTGATTTTATCAAGCAGGTAAGTGTGTCATCAATATTCGTAGAAACTTTTTATTGCAATTTAATCACTTTCAGCTACTATTACACTGCTCTAAGCTTAAGCATTGCTACTATGTTTTTATGCATATTGGTGCACGCTTATATAACGTACGATATAGGATACATTCCTACGTGAGTGTAATAAATATTTGTTTATTTATGGTATATTTGTTAAATATGGAGAATCTAAACGTACCCTTTGTAGATACGATATACAACTTGAGACGCTTACTTCCATATACATACTACCATGGATGAGAATACCACCGTTCATAGTAGGGATGGGCACAGCGGTGTTTCTTGCAAAATGCAATTATAAATTACATCTGTCAAGGGTACCTAATTACTGATCCTTTTTTCTTTTCAATAAAACAATACTTTCAAAGCTTTTAATTTTTGCGAAAACACTTTACTTACTGGTGTCCCTACATAAATGCTATCTGTATCACTTTTTATCTAATATTTCAGAAATGGTTAGCTTCCTGCTGGTTCCTCAGCGTTTTGTGTAATTGCACGATTCTATTTGGTATGTCAAATAGAAACGTGTCGCTTACTGTATCAGTATTTTACGAGACGTTTAGCAGATTTGCTTGGAGCCTTGGAATAGCGTGGCTCGTAATCGCCTGTGCCACAAACAATGGCGGTAAAACCGAACAATATCTTACAAAATTCTATGTGATTTTTTTTAAATAGAACACACCTAAGTACAATACGAATGGTGATAACTGCTTTCTTTGTTTTTCTTGCAATTGCAGGTATCGTAAATCAATTTTTGTCACTAAAGTATTGGACTCCCTTCAGCAGAGTAACGTTCTGCGCTTATCTTCTAAATCCATTCTTAATACAATTAATGGGTATGTTTAGCAATTATCCATTCAACGTTGAAGTTTTAACGACCGTAAGTTTCTAATATTATTCGTAGCCTCTACAGACATGTGAATTTTTGAAAATACTGTTTATTTCATTTCAGGATGTTTATGGTATCGGAATATGTGTAGTTACTTACTTTGTGGCTTTTGGATTGTCGGCGATGATTGAAGTACCTACGACAATATTCTTACGAACACTCAGTACATAGTATGGTGGACCTCGAAGTGCACAAATTACTTTATTGCAGTTTATGGCGGGGCCAGAAAGGGCCCACAGGAAGGTCCTGTACGAAGGAGACAGCTGGGCTCTTCATGCGCGGATTACACAATACAACCTTCAACCCGTCCGATCAGCAGCGGGGGCTTTCTTTATTTTCGATTCGATAGAAAAAGGTTAGGTTTGGTTAGGTTAGTTAGCCAAAAAGTACTAATAAAAAAGGGCCTGAATAGCTTTAGTCAATGAAAAATAACTATCTACTTCATATCTTGTAAAAAATTATATTACTGACAGCCTGGAAGGCCTTAATCATTCAAAAAATATTAGTATTAAATTATTTTTCAGCTTTGCAGGGCTATGTTCAGAGCTCTGTACACTGCTAGATATATGTATGTACACTGAGTTGCATTGAACTTGTCGCAGTGAAGTTGGCTACAAATTCACTAACACATTCACACCGCGTCGTCAGTGCATGTACAATCAGTACAATAAGTTTCATTAAAACTTGTCGCGGTGAAGTTGGCCACTAATTCATTCAGTGACGCGGCGTGAATGTGTTAGTGAATTTGTAGCCAACTTCACTGCGACAAGTTCAATGCAACTCAGGGTACACGTCTGTACGTTTTTCTTACGGATAATCTCAGCGACGAGGAAGGTCTGCGAGATCGGGTATTCAAATACCTTTCAAGCTACTATAATAACCATACAGTACGTTGTTTGTTGTTAGGCACCATTATTACTGTTGCAGTCTGCCCCCGTTTGCTCGCGTTCGTTAAAACCGAGAAAGACCAGATTCTTGCTTTGTGGAATCGAAACTAAACTCTGTTAATTCAATTCACTATAAAATTATAAATTAGAATGAAACTCATTAAATACTGCGACAGTTACACTCAAAAGTTGTAAAATCCCGTTACAAGGCGAATAAATTCAGATCATTTATAGCTTACATATTGTTATTCAACTATATCAACCAGTCCAGACAACTCACTAAGGTGTACTTTTACCGCTCGAGGTTCACTAATCAAGTTACGAGGCCTAGTACCAACATTTCCTGCCGCTCCCTACGTTATCCGTACATAGGTTCGCATCCGCGTCTATTTCCTTACGCTCCGATTGTTACCTATTAACACTGGTCAAGCGATTAATAACTCCTTAACCGAAATAAAGCCCGGGCCACGCAGTCACCTTCTCCGGCTCGTAAAATATACATTGTATATGGTAATTGGTCTCCATGCGGTTACCGATAGAAACAGCATATAAACGATGATCGCATGTCGATGCATACACTGCTATGAACGCATCCGTATAGGCAGAATTCACTTTAGTGGTAACAAATTTAGTGATTATTTAGATTACGGACGGCACTTCCGATTTCCATGATTTTTAAAGATGTTGTAGCAATCATCCTTACTTCTTTTATTATCGCTATCGCGCACGCTGTCGATCCATTATCGACATGATTACCGACTAAACACTATTATCGATTAAGTATAATTATTGCAATAAAATTAATTATGAAAAGATAAAGATAATAATTCTTATAATTAAATCTTCGGCGGGATGTTACACTAGTCACTACGGCTCGGTCAATGTTTCTTCGTTTCTTGAAAGGATCGGTTCGGCAATATGACTGGGCCAGTACGGGCGAGAAGTGTCCGTTTGATGTGTGCTCTTCCTTTAATACGAAGATACGCCCATGAAAATTTCATCGAGACCGGTCAACTCATTTAAAAGTTATAAGTAATTAATATTACCGAAAATCGCGACTTTTCGTCTAAGAACGAAACTAGTCACGATTTCCGGAAATTTTAATTACTTTTAACTTTTGAATGCGTTGACCGATCTCGATGAAATTTTTAGCATACACAGAACTTATCTGAATCTGCGAAAGACATATTTTAAATTTCCATTATAGGCTCACATAAAAAACTTGATAAATTACCATCCACTACTTTTTTTCACGATTTTAATAAATTGTAATTTTATAAAACGATGAAAATACTTATTTTAGTGAATTAATTTTTATACCTTCTCAAAAAACGTTCAAGATATTTAGTCCAATTTTAACCGAGGTATTCCATTTTGAACAGTGCCTACTCACTTTTGCCTCTCAGTATATGTAATCGCATCTATTCGTAAGGATTTATGTATTCCTTGCACGCAAAATCTCGCGAATCGTATAGGTGTAAAATATCGACGGTTTTGAAGCCTTGGACACTCTGACATTAAGAAGAATTTTTGATTATCATAATATTACGATCCTATTACTATGTAACAAGTTCGAATACATTAAATAGTACTTAAATCCTTCTTTTTGCATCGTTTTTTTTCTGATTTTAATAAATGCTTCTTTTTCTATCGTTGCAAAAACCGTGATTGGTTGCGTCACAAGCCGGACACTCCTGGAGTTATGTCGGTTGGCGATGGACAGGGGAGTATTACGACACCAACATGTCCGACCATTGACACCGAGATCAAAATGATGACGGAGTTGATGAAGTTACGTCCGATGACGGTATGGGACGCCTCATTCGACAGGGCTCATCGAGGGCCACAAACATCCTAATAGGACCCATGATCTCAGAGGCCGGGAGCATGATGAAACTTCAACCTAACCCAACCTAACCTTTTTTTTTACGAGGGAGGAAAAATGCGTTACGCACTCCAGGCAGATGGACGCCCGGTAGTGTGGGACTCCTACCATTATAGTGTACCCACTAAAAAACATCGCCTCGATTTCGCCTAGCGGTGCCAGTGCCACCGGACCAACCCCGGATCCGCTATTAAGCATTACTTCGGGGGAGGGGGACAAAGAATCTGGCCGTGAAAACTAAATACCTAACCTAACCTAACCTAAGCTGGTCCTCATCAGAAGCGATCGCTCCTCTCCCCCGTTCTTCCTTTCCTCCTTTTCCTGAAGACAACGATCATGTCATCCTCTTCCCCATCAATTCTTAATCGGAGGAACGATAGCGGATGATCCCGTTCGGATCAGAGGTTGGCTACTACTTCCCTCCTCTCCATTCCTCCTCCAGGCCATCATCACCCAGGCCATGCTCTTGGCCTCATTAGAATCTCCTCACCTTGATAGGGATTCTGGGCAAGACAACATTTGCTTTTCTCTCCATTGCTATCTCCATCCATCATCGTGATCATCTTATGCCATCATTTGATCAAACTTCCCTCCCCGTGCCCAGGCGAATGAGCCCCCTCCCCGGAAAGTCGCGCGACATACCGACAGAAAAAGCTGTATAGTGTAATATGAAAAAAAAAGAGAAAAAAAGAAAAAAAAATACCGCAAACTTGTACTCTAATTAACGAACCTGGTGGGATATTTTGATGTGTCTTTAAATACGACGACGATGTAAGTCACAAAGGCGACGCTCTCAATTGGATAACGTCATTCTGAAACCCTGGTGTTCCTCATTTCAAGTTCAACGGATTGTTAGACCACTATCCATATATTAATCACAAAACTAGTGATTGCATCAACTTCGGAGTTAACTAAGAAGCGTTAAATAATTTACTGGATACAATGAAATACAAGAGGATGAAGATCATTCTGCTAGCGTGCACGTGTGTGACGATTAATGCACTCAAACCAGAGCCAGAAGCGTTGATGGGAAACTTGCCTGGTTATGCGATTACCACCGGAATGCAACAGCTAAATTCGACCAGATGCCGAAGAGAAATGCAGATATTCCGGGACGCGGTAGACAACGGTGTACTTTGGAGTTTGAGAAGTCCGTAGTGTGTTTTCTTCGGTAAATCTTCACTGCAAATCGACACAATTAAAAATGGGATGTTGTTGTTATTTTCTAGTGTTGGACGCGAGCGGACAACCAACGTCAGGATACATTTCAGGAAACAACTATTGGGTGGGAAATAGACAAGGATGCGAGTTCCTTAGCCAGAAGAGACAATTTCCATTGTCTGAGAAGAAGATTCGAAATAATTCGATCTACCGTAATCCAGCTGAAGAGTTTCCGCCATTCGAGCTCAACTTCTTTGGTGCTCATCTCCGTCAGAATGGCACTGTGCAGTATCATATGATAGTTCCTATCCACGTACGAATGATTCCTGTTCTTTTTAAGCTGCGAGTGGCGAACAGAAGAATAGAGGAAACGTAGTATCTCTAAATTGACATCTTTTTAGGAGATAATAGTACTCGGACTTTGTCTGCCAGCATCCTGCAGCGAAAACGAAGTGGGTACAATGCTAAAGAAGGTATTCGACGATAGACTTCTTCTAGTTGGACAACTCTATTCGACGGACTTTGAGTTGATGAAAATCTCTAATCTGAAAGATGATCATGCATGGCTTCTCAGTGGAAAAATTATTACGATTTTGTACGTAAACGCGATTACAGATCAAAGGATTCCAAATTTAAATGATTAAATACCGATCGAATTTAACTACAATATTCAATTTTGCCTGTTCGTAGATTTATTTTGACAGTATTATTCGGTACAACGATAGTAGCCACGTTATACGATATTCTCATCTATCAGAAACGTCTACAGAAAAATACAGACGACGACAACGACAGCACTATCGGTAAGCGATGGTTTTGAGATAGTTTTACGATCGTAGTGTTGTTTAATAATAGTACTGTTGTTCAATAATATGTAGAATTAAAGAACAACACGGAGGAGAAGTCGGAATATAATGAAGAGGACGCTGTACCATCAGAACCGAAAGCAGAGAATCGAATTGCAAAAATCCTTATATGTTTCTCAGCTTATTCGAACATGAAACAAATATTCAAATTAGACAATAGTTCGAAAGAATTGAGAGCGTTTCATGGCATAAAGGTGTTAGGAATTATATGGACCATTTATGTCCACGTTATATTCTACGCACTGAACATTATTGGTAAAATAAATGTAGTTACTTGAAATAATTCATTTATTCACACAATTTCTAATCTTATGGTGGTCCGCTAAATTTAGGTAACAAGGCAGAGGATTATATAACAATGAGCAATATTGAATCGCAAATCATAGCCAATGGTACATTATCTGTGGATACGTTTTTCTTTATCAGTGGTTTCCTCGTGGTGTTTGGATTTACAAAGAAATTACAAAGGAACGAAAATAACGTTTCATTAAGCAGTAATGTAATGACTTTCATTCGTGCAATCATCAAAAGCTACATCAGGTACTCCCAGGGTTTCTTAATGTTCATCAAACCATTATCTTGATTAAAACGACTGGACTTGTTCATATAAAAAATTCTAACTATGATTCAAAAGGTTTACACCGACGTACTTGATTATAATATTGCTCGCCATCATAAACTTCACTTGGATTGAGAAATTTTCATTGATGGATTTCAATGAACCGATGCACGAACTATGCTCAAAATACTGGTGGAGAAATATACTCTACATCAATAATCTCTTCGAATGGAATGATATGGTATGGTAAATCTAAATTTATTGGCAACATAAAATTATTGGCAAATCTATACTTTACAGAGAAATAATTGTTTTAGTGTCTGACATGGAGCTGGTATATCGCCAATAACATGCAGTTCTTTGTTTTTGGTATCTTTGTTTTGATTTTATCAAGCAGGTAAGTGTGTCATCAATATTCGTAGAAACTTTTTATTGTAATTTAATCACTTTCAGCTACTATTACACTGCTCTAAGCTTAAGCATTGCTACTATGTTTTTATCCATATTCGTGCACGCTTATATAACGTACGACATAGGATACATTCCTACGTGAGTGTAATAAATATTTGTTTATTTATTGTATATTTGTTAAATATGGAGAATCTAAACGTACTCTTTGTAGATTCGATATGCAAAGTGAGACGTTTACTTTCATATACATACGACCATGGATGAGAATACCACCGTACATAGTAGGGATGGGCACAGCGGTGTTTCTTGCAAAATGCAATTATAAATTACATCTGTCAAGGGTACCTAATTACTGATCCTTTTTTCTTTTCAATATTACAATAATTTCAAAGCTTTCAATTTTTGCAAGAACACTTTACTTACTGATGTTCCTATACATATAAATGCTATCTGTATCACTTTTTATCTAATATTTCAGACATCGTTAGCTGCCTGCTGGTTCCTCAGCGTTTTGTGTAATTGCACGATTCTATTTGGTATCTCAAATAGAAACGTGTCGCTTACCGTATCAGTCCTTTACGAGACGTTTAGCAGATTTGCTTGGAGCCTTGGAATAGCGTGGCTCGTAATCGCCTGTGCCACAAACAATGGCGGTAAAACCGAACAATATCTTACAAAATTACTATTTGATTTTTTTTAAATAGAACACACCTAAGTACAATACGAATGCTGATAAGTGCTTTCTTTGTTTTTCTTGCAATTGCAGGTATCGTAAATCAATTTTTGTCACTAAAGTATTGGACTCCCTTCAGCAGAGTAACGTTCTGCGCTTATCTTCTAAATCCACTCATAATACAATTAATGGGTATGTTTAGCAATTATCCATTCAACGTTGAAGTTTTAACGACCGTAAGTTTCTAATATTATTCGTATCCTCTACAGACATGTGAATTTTTGAAAATACTATTTATTTCATTTCAGAGTGCTTATGGTATCGCAATATGTGTAGTTAGTTACTTTGTGGCTTTTGGATTGTCGGCGATGATTGAAGTACCTACGACAATATTCTTACGAACACTCAGTACATAGTATGGTGGACCTCGAAGTGCACAAATTACTTTATTGCAGTTTATGGCGGGGCCAGAAAGGGCCCGCAGGAAGGTCCTGTACGAAGGAGCCAGCTGGGCTCTTCATGCGCGGATTACACAATACAACCTTCAACCTGTCCGATCAGCAGCGGGGGCTTTCTTTATTTTCGATTCGATAGAAAAAGGTTAGGTTTGGTTAGGTTAGTTAGCCAAAAAGTACTAATAAAAAAAGTCCTGAATAGCTTTAGTCAATGAAAAATAACTACCTACTTCATATCTTGTAAAAATTATATCTCTGATAGCCTGGAAGACCTTAATCATTCAAAAAATATTAGTATTAAATTATTTTCCAGCTTGGCAGAGCTATGTTCAGAGCTCTGTGTACTACTAGATATATGTATGTAAAGTACAGGATCTTTGTGCGGGCCCTTTATGTCCCCACCATAAAGTAATTTGCGCAGTTCATTCACGACCGTACACGTCAGTACGTTTTTCTTACGGATAATCTCAGCGACGAGGAAGGCTGCGAGATCGGGTATTCAAATACCTTTCAAGCAACTATAATAACCATACAGTACGTTGTTTGTTGTTAGGCACCATTATTACTGTTGCAGTCTGCCCCCGTTTGCTCGCGTTCGTTAAAACCGAGAAAGACCAGATTCTTGCTTTGTGGAATCGAAACTAAACTCTGTTAATTCAATTCACTATAAAATTATAAATTAGAATGAAACTCATTAAATACTGCGACAGTTACACTCAAAAGTTGTAAAATCCCGTTACAAGGCGAATAAATTCAGATCATTTATAGCTTACATATTGTTATTCAACTATATCAACCAGTCCAGACAACCCACTAAGGTGTACTTTTACCGTTCGAGGTTCACTAATCAAGTTACGAGGCCTAGTACCAACATTTCCTGCGGCTCCCTACGTTATCCGTACATAGGTTCGCATCCGCGTCTATTTCCTTACGCTCCGATTGTTACCTATTAACACTGGTCAAGCGATTAATAACTCCTTAACCGAAATAAAGCCCGGGCCACGCAGTCACCTTCTCCGGCTCGTAAAATATACATTGTATATGGTAATTGGTCTCCATGCAGTTACCGATAGAAACAGCATATAAACGATGATCGCATGTCGATGCATACACTGCTATGAACGCATCCGTATAGGCAGAATTCACTTTAGTGGTAACAAATTTAGGGATTATTTAGATTACGGACGGCACTTCCGATTTCCATGATTCTTAAAGATGTTGTAGCAAACATCCTTACTTCTTTTATTATCGCTATCGCGCACGCTGTCGACCCATTATCGACATGATTACCGACTAAACACTATTATCGACTAAATATAATTATTGCAATAAAATTAATTATGAAAAGATAAAGATAATAATTTTTATAATTAAATGTTCGGCGGGATGTTACACTAGTCACTACGGCTCGGTCAATGTGTCTTCGTTCCTTGAAAGGATCGGTTCAGCAATAGGACTGGGCCAGTACGGGCGAGAAGTTTCGGTTTGATGTGTGCTCTTCCTTTAATACGAAGATACGCCCATGAAAATTTCATCGAGATCGGTCAACTCATTTCAAAGTTATAAGTAATTAAAATTACCGAAAATCGCAACTTTTCGAAACTAGTCACGATTTCCGGAAATTTTAATTATTTATAACTTTTGAATGCGTTGACCGATCTCGATGAAATTTTTAGCATACACAGAACTTATCTGAATCTGCGAAAGACATATTTTAAATTTTCATTATAGGCTCACATAAAAAAGTTGATAAATTACCATCCACTTCTTTTTTTCACGATTTTAATAAATTGTAATTTTATAAAACGATGAAAATACTTATTTTAGTGAATTAATTTTTATACCTTCTCAAAAAACGTTCAAGATATTTAGTCCAATTTTAACCGAGGTATTCCATTTTGAACAGTGCCTACTCACTTTTGCCTCTCAGTATATGTAATCGCATCTATTCGTAAGGATTTATGTATTCCTTGCACGCAAAATCTCGCGAATCGTATAGGTGTAAAATATCGACGGTTTTGAAGCCTTGGACACTCTGACATTAAGAAGAATTTTTGATTATCATAATATTACGATCCTATTACTATGTAACAAATTCGAATACATTAAATAGTACTTAAATCCTTCTTTTTGCATCGTTTTTTTTCTGATTTCAATAAATGCTACTTTTTCTATTGTTGCAAAAACCGTGATTGGTTGCGTCACAAGCCGGACACTCCTGGAGTTATGTCGGTTGGCGATGGACAGGGGAGTATTACGACACCAACATGTCCGACCATTGACACCGAGATCAAAATGATGACGGAGTTGATGAAGTTACGTCCGATGACGGTATGGGACGCCTCATTCGACAGGACTCAACGAGGGCCACAAACATCCCAATAGGACCCATGATATCAGAGGCCGGGAGCATGATGAAACTTCAACCTAACCCAACCTAACCTTTTTTTTTTACAAGGGAGGAAAAATGCGTTACGCAGTCCAGGCAAATGGACGCCTGGTAGTGTGGGACTCCTACCATTATAGTGTACCCACTAAAAAACATCGCCTCGATTTCGCCTAGCGGTGCCAGTGCCACCGGACCAACCCCGGATCCGCTATTAAGCATTACTTCGGGGGAGGGGGACAAAGAATCTGGCCGTGAAAACTAAATACCTAACCTAACCTAACCTGAGCTGGTCCTCATCAGAAGCGATCGCTCCTCTCCCCCGTTCTTCCTTTCCTCCTTTTCCTGAAGACGACGATCATGTCATCCTCTTCCCCATCAATTCTTAATCGGAGGAACGATAGCGGATGATCCCGTTCGGATCAGAGGTTGGCTACTACTTCACTCCTCTCCATTCCTCCTCCAGGCCATCATCACCCAGGCCATGCTTTTGGCCTCATGAGAATCTCCTCACCTTGATAGGGATTTTGGACAAGACAACACTTGCTTTTCTCTCCATTGCTATCTCCATCCATCATCGTCATCATGCAGAGAATCGAATTGCAAAAATCCTTATATGTTTCTCAGCTTATTCGAACATGAAAGAAATATTCAAATTAGACAATAGTTCAAATGATTTGAAAGCGTTTCATGGCATGAAGGTTATTGGAATGATATGGACCATTTATGTCCACGTTATATACTACACACTGAACGTTATTGGTAAAATAAATGTAGTTACAGTAAAAGCTGGATATATGCAACAAACATTGGGACCCAGACGTTGCATATATCCAGTCGAGGTGTCTAATCTCGGGTTACACGCGACGAGCAGCCAAGCGTGAACGTAGAAAAGGACAGACAGTGGTGGAAAGAGAGAGGACCGATGATCAAAGGAAAGAGCCGAAACGTATCGGTGTGACTAATACTAATTCAACTATAAAACTTTTTTATTTTTTACTTTTTTTTACTGAAACTTTTACTAACGCATTGGTGAAATTTTTCGGATTAAAATGATACCAAACACGATATAGTTTGAATTATAATTACTTGCTAAAATTGATGTTAAATTTTTGCTAAAAGCAAAGGAGGATTGGAAATGAAAACCGGTTGCGGTGTCGGCTCGGGTTTCAAACGTTGCATATATCCAGCCGAGGTGTCGATTCTGGGCATTTAATGTTGCATATATCCAGTCTTGGTGTCGATTCTGCGTCCGTACAAATCGTTTGTACCGTGCCGCGATACCTATCCTACGTTCGTACACAACATGCGACATGTTGCATGTTGCATGTTGCGTGTTTGATGTATCTTTGGTGTACAGTTTTATTATTATTTTAATAAATAAATATAATTCAAATTATATCGTGTTTGGTACCATTTTAATCAGAAAAATCTCACAAATGCGTTAGTAAATGTTTCATTAAGAAAAAGTTAAAAATAAAAAAGTTTTATCGTTCAATTAGTATTAGTCACACCGATATTACGGTCGGATCATATTACACGGTTTCCTCGCCGAACGGCTCGGTTCGGCTTAGGGGGATCCCCCCAAGTGGAGGGGATAGCGATGTTGCATATATCCAGCCAAACTTTTGTTGCATATATCCAGCTTTTACTGTACTTGAAATAATTCATTTATTCACACAATTTCTAATCTTATGGTGGTCCGCTAAGTTTAGCTAACAAGGCAGAGGGCTGTATAACATTGAGCAATATTGAATCGCAAATCATAGCCAATGGTACATTATCTGTGGATACGTTTTTCTTTATCAGTGGTTCCCTCGTGGTGTTTGGATTTACAAAGAAGTTACAACGGAACGAAAATAACGTTTCATTAAGCAGTAATGTAATGACTTTCATTCGTGCAATCATCAAAAGCTACATCAGGTACTCCCAGGGTTTCTTAATGTTCATCAAACCATTACCTTGATTAAACCGACTGGACTTGTTCATATAAAAAATTCTAACTATGATTCAAAAGGTTTACACCGACGCACAGTGGGACAAAACGGCTTTCGGCGATCAAAATTCGATTTTCGTGAATTCGAAAATTGAAAAACTAATTACAAACATCGATAGATGATAAACTGTAGTTTAACGTAGTGTAATCCGTTTTTTCATATTTGCTTCCGTTTTGCCGTGGTTCGCACTCAAAGTCAGTAGAAATTCGTCAAAACGAAACGCTGATAATATTACCCGTAACTTCAATGTACGATTCTAATGAATTTTACTCAGAAAGATACAATTCAAATGAATGATAAAGTTTACTAGGATAGTATAGATTTTATTCAGTGCATAAAGTAAGTTAAAATGTTAACAACTTTTTAAATAATAGGATCTGATTGAAACGAAGTACATTTAACTAAAATCTCAACTTTGAGCTTGATTTTAAAAAAATGCCACAACTTGCCACATGTTCGTTTTTAACCTCTAGCGGGTCAGGGTCTGATATTTATGACCTCCCACCCACACCATTGTGTTCCTCTCGTCAAGGGCTTTCTAATGACATACGACCCATCTGGATTTGCCGCCCAGCTTTTGAGTAAACTCAATATATATATTTCAAATCATTTTAGTTTTTGACCTCTAGCGGGTCAAGGTCACATATTTATGACCTCCCACCCACGCCATTGTGTTCCTCTCGTCAAAGGCTTTCTCATGATATATGACCCATCCGGATTTGCGTCCCACCTTCTGGTAAAGTCCAACCCCTTTGGTACCGAGCCCCAATGCAATTCCACTGGAATAAATCCAGTACTACAATGTGTCGTATGATTTAATAAGTCTTCTATTCGCAATATATATTTAGCCCATTTGCTGTGTTGCTCAAAGCAAAACACACGGAATTGTCGCAATCGTGTTTAGTGAAGGGGGTTTCGTCTCCCCGGACGCCTGGAGTTCGGGCCGGGACCGTTAGGTGGCGGCGAGAGGAACCGTGCTCTCACAAGCGATCGCCCGGCATGCGGCTCCGTATATATACAAGTTTCGAACCGCGGTATGATAGGTGTCTGGGGCAGGGGTCGTCTGTTGTCAGCCCCACTGACGAATCTAACAGACGATCCCGAGACGAAACATCGCTTTGTTTTCTCGGCTGCTACAGAATAATTTCCCTAATTCTGTCATAATTCAGATGAAAATACAACCTTAATCCCGTTTTTAAGCAATTCATTTTTCCAAATCTTGGCGATAAATTGTGATCCATTATCGGATACGGTACGCTTCGGTTGGCCGATTTTTACACAATAATCGCTCAGAATCTTCCCGGTGACAATCCTCGCAGTCGCTTTTTTCTTTGGATATAGCTCAACAAGTATCGAGAACGCGTCTAAAACCACAAATATATACTGGACGCATCCCACCGACCTTGGAAGAGGTCCATAGAAATCAACGGTCACCAAAATGTTTTTCCAGTACTGCTTTATATTCCTCACTGTTCATCATGCCCTCTACTGGGACAAGAGTGCCAGGTCCCGAGTGCGAAAAACAGCCCCTGAACCTCTTCTTGATAGGACGTTTGACTGATTGCACAATGCGGGCAGCAGTGAGTTTTTCATCCGCACTTTTACGAACGAATTTTGATCGCCGGTCCTGCACTAGAAAGTGTGTCTCGTCTGAGAACAACACCTTCTTCCTCTACGGCCTAGTGGGCATATTTTTTGCCCCAATTGAGTCTCTTCCTCATAATAAGGGCAGTCAGGAGTTGTTTCTTCTGCGGCCTTATGACTTCTCCCACCTTCCGAGAGTCCTCTGCACACCGTAGAGTCGTGAATCTTCACCCCAGCCTTTTCTTTATTTTACTGGAGGTCGTGGCTGGTTTTTCTGGGACTCAGTTTACTGTTCCATAAAAGAAAAACTTCATTTCAAGGAGTAATCTGCCATTTTCTTAGGTTGACTTACGATCCTATTACTATGTAACAACTTTGAATACATTAAAGAAGTACTTAAATCCTTCTTTTTGCACCGTTTCTTTTCTGATTTAAAAAAATGCTTCTTTTTCAATCGTAGCAATAAATCTGGTTGCTTCAAAAGCCGGACTCTCCTGGGGTTCGATCAGGCATAGAGAGGAGAGTTTTACGACACCAAGATGTCCGACCTCCGACCCCGAGAACATGGTCAAAATGATGACATAAGATGATGACGGAGTTGGACTTATGTCCGATGACGGTATAGGACGCCTCATTCGACACGGCTCATCGGAAAGCAACAAAAAACCCCGCCGCGATTTCGCCTGGGAGTGCTAGTGCCGCCAAACCACCCCCAAAACCACTATTAAGCATTACTTCGGGAGAGAGCGACCATGAATCTGGCCGAGAAAAGTAAATACCTAACCTAACCTAAACTGGTCCTCATCAGAAGCGATTGCTCCTCTCACCCGTTCTTCCTTTCCTCCTTCACCTGATGATGACGATCATGTCATCCTCTTCCGCATCATTTCTTAATCGGGGAAAGAGAGCGGATGATCCCGGTCGGATCAGAGGGTGGCTACTGCTTCACGCGTCTCCGTTCCTCTTCCAGGCCATCATCATCCTTGCTATGCTTTTGGCCTCATGAGAGTCTCCTCTCCTAAATAGAGATTTTAGACAAGTCACCACTTGCTTTCCTTTTCTTTCCATCGCCATCTCCATCCATCATCATCATCATCTTATGTCATCATTTGGACCATGTTTCCGTGGTCGGAAGTCCGACATCTTGGGGTCATAAAACTCCCTTCTCCATGCCCAGTCGAATGAGCCGCTCGCCATATCGTCAGCCGATATAACTCCAGGAGACCCAAAGCCGTACAGTGTAATACGAAAAAAAACACAAAAAAAATTATCGTAAACTTGTACTTTAATTAACGATCATGGTGGGGTGTTCTGGTGTGTCTTAAAAGACGACGACGACAACGACGACGATGTAAGTAACAAAGGCGACGCTCTCAATTGGATAACGTTATTCTGAAACCGTGGTGTTCCTCATTTCAAGTTCAACGGATTGTTAGATCACTATCCATATATTAATCACAAAACTAGTGATTGCATCAACTTCGGAGTTAACTAAGAAGCGTTAAATAATTTACTGGATACAATGAAATACATGAGGATCAAGATCATTCTGCAAGCGTGGACGTTTGTGACGATTAATGCACTCAAACCAGAGCCAGAAGCGTTGATGGGAAACTTGCCTGGTTATACGATTACCACCGTAATACAAAACCTAAATTCGACCAGATGCCGAAAAGAAATGCAGATATTCCGAGACGCGGTAGACCACGGTGTACTTTGGAGTTTGAGAAGTCCGTAGTGTGTTTTCTTCGGTAAATCTTCACTGCAAATGGACACAATTAAAAATAGGATGTTGTTGTTATTTTCTAGTGTTGGACGCGAGCGGACAACCAACGTCGGGATACATTTCAGGAAACAACTATTGGGTGGGAAATAGACAAGAATGCGAGTTCCTTAGCCAGAAGAGACAATTTCCATTGTCAGAGAAGAAGATTCGAAATAATTCGATCTACCGTAATCCAGCCGAAGAGTTTCCTCCTTTCGAGCTCAACTTCTTTGGTGCTCATCTCAATCAGAATGGCACTGTGCAATATCATATAAGTGTTCCTATGGAAGTACGAATGATTCCTGTTCTTCTCAAGCTGAGAGTGGGGTTGGGTTATGGAAACCGGGGTAACCTCCGAACGAGCTGATTTTTTTACCATAGATAGCCATTGAGGTGATGATTCCCCCGCAGAGGTCAAAAACCAAAATTGTCCAAAAAGTGGTTTCCGCGCCGATCCTGGTAAGGAGATAAAAAAAAAAGAGAGAAAAAACCAATTTTAGTTTTTGACCTCTGCGGGGGTGGTGGAATAGTTAAAAGATGAGATGACCACCGTTGATATCCCCACTTCAAGGGCTTTCTATGGTAAAAAAATCAGCTCGATCGTAGGTTACCCCGGTTTCCATAATTTAACCGAGTGTGGTAAACAGGAGAATAGAAGAAACGTAGTATCTCTAAACTGACATCCTTTTAGACGATAATAGTACTCGGACTTTGTCTACCAGCATCCTGCAGCGAATACGAAGTGGGTACAATGCTAAAGAAGGTATTCGACGATAGACTTCTTCTAGTTGGACAACTCTATTCGACGGACGTTGAGTTGATGAAAATCTCTAATCTGAAAGATGATCATGCGTGGCTTCTCAGTGGAAAAATCATTACGATTTTGTACGTAAACGCAATTACAGATCAAAGGATTCCCAATTTAAATGATTAAATACCGATCGAATTTAACTTCAATATTCAATTTTGCTTGTTCGTAGATTTATTTTGACAGTATTATTCGGTACAACGATAGTAGCCACGTTATACGATATTCTCATCTATCAGAAACGTCTACAGAAAAAAACAGATGACGACGACGACGACGACGACGACGACGACGACGGCGGCACTATCGGTAAGCGATAGTTTTGAGATAGTTTTACGATCGTAGTGTTGTTTAATAATAGAACTGTTGTTCAATAATATGTAGAATTAAAGAACAACACGGTGGAGAAATTGATATATATCGAAGAGGACGCTGTACCATCAGAACCGAAAGCAGGGAATCGAATTGCAAAAATCCTTATATGTTTCTCAGCTTATTCGAACATGAAACAAATATTCAAATTAGACAATAGTTCAAATGATTTGAAAGCGTTTCATGGCATGAAGGTTATTGGAATGATATGGATCATGTTTGGCCACGTTATATACTACAGCCTGAACGTTATTGGTAAATTAAATGTAGTTACTTGAAATAATTCATTTATTCACACAATGTCTAATCTTATGGTGTTCCACTAAGTTTAGCTAACAAGGCAGAGGGCTATATAATATTGAACAATATTGAATCGCAAATCATGTCCAATGGTATATTTCCTGTGGATACGTTTTTCTTTATCAGTGGTTTCCTCGTGGTGTTTGGATTTACAAAGAAATTACAAAGGAACGAAAATAACGTTTCATTAAGCAGTAATGTAATGACTTTCATTCGTGCAATCATCAAAAGATACATCAGGTACTCCCAGGCTTTCTTGATGTTCATCAAACCATTATCTTGATTAAACCGACTGGACTTGTTCATATAAAAAATTCTAACTATGATTCAAAAGGTTTACACCGACGTACTTGATTATAATATTGCTCGCCATTATAAACTTCGCTTGGGTTGAGAAATTTTCGTTGATGTATTTCCATGAACCGATGCACGAACTATGCTCAAAATACTGGTGGAGAAATATACTCTACATCAATAATCTCTTCAAATGGAATGATATGGTATGGTAAATCTAAATTTATTGGCAATATAAAATTATTGGCAAATCTATACTTTACAGAGAAATAATTGTTTTAGTGTCTGACATGGAGCTGGTATATCGCCAATAACATGCAGTTCTTTGTTTTCAGTATCTTTGTTTTGATTTTATCAAGCAGGTAAGTGTGTTATCAATATTCGTAGACACTTTTCATTGTAATTTAATCACTTTCAGCTACTATTACACTGCTCTAACCTTAAGCATTGCTACTATGTTTTTATCCATATTGGTGCACGCTTATATAACGTACGATATAGGATACATTCCTACGTGAGTGTAAAAAATATTTGTTTCTTTATTGTATATTTGTTAAATATGGAGAATCTAAACGTACCCTTTGTAGATTCGATATACAACTTGAGACGCTTACTTCCATATACATACGACCATGGATGAGAATACCACCGTACATAGTAGGGATGGGCACATCGGTGTTTCTTGCAAAATGCAATTATAAATTACACCTGTCAAGGGTACCTAATTACTGATCCTTTTTTCTTTTCAATATTACAATACTTTCAAAGCTTTCAATTTTTGCGAAAACACTTTACTTACTGGTGTCCCTACATAAATGCTATCTGTATCCCTTTTTATCTAATATTTCAGAAATCGTTAGCTGCCTGCTGGTTCCTCAGCGTTTTGTGTAATTGCACGATTCTATTTGGTATCTCAAATAGAAACGTGTCGCTTACTGTATCAGTCCTTTACGAGACGTTTAGCAGATTTGCTTGGAGCCTTGGAATAGCGTGGCTCGTAATCGCCTGTGCCACAAACAATGGCGGTAAAACCGAACAATATCTTACAAATTTATTACTATTTGATTTCTTTTAAATAGAACACACCTAAGTACAATACGAATGCTGATAAGTGCTTTCTTTGTTTTTCTTGCAATTGCAGGTATCGTAAATCAATTTTTGTCATTGAACTACTGGATTCCCTTCAGCAGAGTAACGTTCTGCGCTTATCTTCTAAATCCATTTTTAATACAATTAATGGGTATGGTTAGCAATTATCCATTCAACCCTGATGTTATAACGATCGTAAGTTTCTAATATTATTCGTATCCTCTACAGACATGTGAATTTTTGAAAACACTATTTATTTCATTTCAGGGTGCTTATGGTATCGCAATATGTGTAGTTACTTTCTTTGTGTCTTTTGGATTGTCGGCGATGATTGAAGTACCTACGACAATATTCTTACGAACACTCAGTACATAGTATGGTAGTCCTCGAAGAGCACAAATTACTTTATTGCAGTTTATTGCGGGGCCATAAAGGGCTCGCAGGAAGGTCTTGTACGAAGGAGCCAGCTAGGCTCTTTAGATAGAAAAAGGTTAGGTTTGGTTATGTTAGTTAGCCAAAAAGTACTAAAAAAAAAGGCCTGAATGGCTTTAGTCAATGAAAAATAATTATTTATTTCATATCTTGAAAAGAAATATGTTTCTGGCAGTCTGGAAGGCCTTAATCATCCAGAAAATATTAATATTAAACTATTTATCGACTCTTCAGAGCTCTGTATACTACCAGGTATACAGTACAGGACCTTCGTGCGGGCCCATTATGGCACCCGCCATAAAGTAATTTGTGCAGTTCATGCACGATATTTAAATAAAATTTATATTTTAAAATTCTAAAATTGTATTTTTCATTTACACGTCAGTAAGTTTCTCTTACGGATAATCTCTGCGACGAAGAAACTCTGCGAGATCAGGTATTCAAATCCCTTTGAAACTACTACAGTAACCATGCAGTACGTTGTTTGCTGTTAGGCACTATTATTAACGTTGCAGTCCGCCCCCATTTTTTCGCGTTCGTTAAAACCGAGAAAGACTAGATTCTTGCTTTGTGGAATCGAAACTAAACTCTCTTAATTCAATTCACTTTAAAATTGTAAATTAGTGCTGAGTGTAATGAAAGGGTTAAAAAAATAATCGCCAAGAACGACGCAAAAGTATTGTATTTTTCACGAGAGAGTAGTACTTACATACCATTGGATGAACGAATTTTGATTTTGTCTGCGCATGTTGGCTCTGATTGGTTCTGCCACGCTCCGCTACCAAGGTAACACGCAAGCGCCGTACGGCTGCATGTCGTCACTAGCCGTGCCGAAGTAAAAGTGGCAACACCGTGGGAGTCTGGTCTGAATATATCAACACCTACCCTACTCTATCTGCCTCCCGGATTCCCAGATTCCCAGCCAATCAACGTCGTCAGACTCTCGGCTACTCTCTGGACTTCACATAACCTCTTTGGTTTCGTTCCAATAATTTTGCATGTTTCAAGGTTTTTATTAACTTATATACACGTTTATCAATTCTTAAATGTTTCAATTTGATCCAAAGATGGTTTCATTTTGCTTCATACCTAAATTTTCTTGAAACCACTGTAAATATTTCAAATATCATGCTTCACAACACCAAATTACTTCGAGAGTACACTGAATTGCAGTGAAATTGGCTACAAATTCACTAACACATTCACACCGCAGCGTCGGTGAACCGATCTCGCCATCGACTCACCGACGCGGCGTGAATGTGTAGGGAATTTGTAGCCAACTTCACTGCGACAAGTTCAATGCAACTCCGATGACAAGAAGTCTCGCGGGACGGAAGAGGGGCAAGAGAAGATACTATGCACACATTAACCGACCCCTTAGTTTCACACGAGCCTGATTAGTAAATGTAACCGCGTCGACCAATCATACGTCACGGCCGACGTCACGTGTGAGCTGAAGTAGGGCGCGACCAATCAGACTGCGCTATTCTCATGGGACTTCTTGTGATCGGTGGACAGTACAATACTGACAATTCGTATCGTCGCGAATCGCGACAGTGCTGCTGTTTAATGTTTAATAGAGAGGAATGCTATGACGAGTTGATTAACCATGCTTGTATCAGTTTATTTGAGCATAAAATAATAAATGAACGATATTTTTTATTTAATCCTTAAAGGCAAAGTCACTTTTGCTATACGGATTGTAATTCAATGACAATTATTTACAAATATACATGTTATTGAGCAACTGATCAAGGTATACATTGTTCCTATGCAACTTGCAGATGTTCTATAACCTAATATTTTACAACATTTTAGAGTATTACGCGTTTAATAAACAAACATTATTAATTTTAAACTGAAGAAACATAAAATTCTTCGAAGTAAGCATAGAAGTATTCATCGCGTGTCAAATGTGAGAATTAATTCAAAAAACAGAGGTTATGATTAAGAAGAGAAGAGAAGATGGTTGAGTGTTACAACCTGAATGTTTCTTTTTAAAATCACTTATTAAGTCTCATTAAATCACCTGTGTATTTGCGCCATTAAGATTGCAATCATGTCAGGTAAAGGAAAACAAAGTTCTAAGAAAGCTATTGTTAAAGTGAGAGAATCTGGGAAGTCCTCTACGCTTGTACAATCTTCAACGCTTAATTCAGATACAAGTACAGAGAGCACAGAGACTACATTGTCCTTACCAATTTTAAAAATTGCCGATAACAGCAGGCTTCTTCCAAGGTACAGTAGCATTCTGCAACGCACCGCGGAAGAAGGCGTGGGTATGGAAGACCTCGATACGTTGCAATTAGAGTTAGAAATGCTTCTCTCATCGGTGGTTGTAAGACATCGTATGCTTCAAGAGGAAATAGCAAATTTATCTTCAGCGGAAGAACGTAGAGATAAAAGGTCTAAAAGTGGGAAAGGTCTTTCTCTTCTCGACAAAAAAGTCAGAGAAGAAAAATTCAAACCGAAAGAAGTCAATGCGAAAACACAGTCACCTCTTCCAGCAAAACTGTTTAAACAGAAAGCTATTGCCAGTACGAATTCTCAAGTCATTCCAAATGTACATGAAATTTCAAGAATCGAAGGTTCCAAGTCAGAATCACCAAAGTTACTATTACCAAAAAATGACACCCCCAATAAATTTTGGGCATCCGTCGATCCGTATTGTACAGACATTATGCCCGATGATATTAAATTATTAGAAGAATTAATCGCCACTCATAGCGATGTTAGCGACTTCAAAAAGATTCCTCCGTTGGGTCGGCATTACAGTTTAATGTGGGCGCACAGTGATTTGCTGCAAGAAGAGGATGCGGCAAACCCAAACAGGGATAAGAAGAAGAATCGTTCAGACGTGTCCCTTTTGGTAGCAAAGAATGATAGGAAAGCTCACAGTATAGCGGGGCCTCTTACTCAAAGACTGGTATCTGCTTTGCTAGAGGAGAATGTTTACGTAGCGAATAATAATGCAGATAATAAGCTATTCAGGGACAGCGATCCCCCTGTCTTAAGAGATCTTACTATTCAAAATTCCATTAATTTAGAATTAAGGATGCATAAAGAGCTCGTAGAGCAAGGAATTTTAGAACCGGATGCACAAAAGAAGTGTCAGGAAGACGATGAAATTCTAGCAGAAATTAAAAGATGTCAGCAAGAACTTACTGCGCTTTCTAATCACAACGTTACACAGTTGAAGAGGCTGTTGAATTTAGCCCAAGAGGAGAGCAAGCGACAAGCGTTGAAAAGAAAAATAAGCACTGCTGACAACGAAGTGATAGAACATTACAAAAAACTTATGTTATCGAAACAAAGAAAAGTACCATTAACAAAGAAGGAACAGGACAAGGCATGGGCGTGTCTTAGGGAAAGAGAAAATCTGTTAGATCAACTGAATATGTTACCGCATAATAATGTAGGAGAACCTATAGGTTTTGGCACTACTACAAATTAATTTAAATTTTTTTTACTCTATTGTATAATATCATGATAAAGCTATATAAAAAAAAATTTAATTTTCAAAGCAAACAGTGTACTTCTTTTACACTACAGTAATAAGAACTTCTTTGACCATTGTCACTCGACTTATGTTTCTTATTCAATAAATATATAGTTTAAACTACGGCTATGATTCATTTTTATATTAAACGTCAAACTGTTCTTGGGATAGGTATACTAATATACGTATTTGGTTGAAAAATAATAAAGACCCAAATTTTATTCTATTTTACTTTTATTCAACTTAAAGTATAATACCAACATTGTTCAATGAAATTGTAACAAGATATATGTATAACTGAAGTTTTCTGCGAGTAGACATTTTTCAAAAAGTTATAATAATCTCACTAACATAAAAATTATCAAGCAGAATTGGTTTTCAATTAGAGACGTGTGCAAAAATATTTTTAGCTTAAGGAAAAGGTTGTTCAAAAAGAATCATTCATATGATCAATAATAATTTCACGACAAAAGTGTTTATTCGATATCACTGTACAGTTTTTTTCGTCCAAAGTTACCTCAACAACGTGCGCGATGGCACAACAATGACGAACCATTCGGGTAACAAAAATGTTCGATGTGTACTACTTCTTATTGTTTTGTTAATATTAAGGTGATAGATATACATACGTGTGTGTATATACGGGTCTGCAGGCGAGGCTGTCGTTTTTAATAAACTTTTATGAACGTTCTTATTCGATCATTACACTGAATTCCATTATTTAATAATGTGAGTTTTACGCTACATGAAACAGTAGACCATGAAATAATTACAAATTTATCGAAAGGCAGAAGGGGGTTAGAACGGTTCGATCGATAATCCCAACACGTGTACAGCCGCCATTACATTTCATTGTCGTACCGTCGCATACCCCATCGAGCCAGATACTCGAGCATCTCTAACAATTTCATGGCATCCTGTGCACCAAAGTCAACTCCTCCTGTTTCCCTTACATAGAATCAGTAGATGCTGCTTTGGTGGCGACGCACTAAAACTATCAGTAATTTTTTTTTCATGCGGTTTTGGTGACTTAGAACGCGAACAAAAGCAAGAAAGCCATCATAAGGCAGAAAAGACCCATGGCCTCGGACAGGGCAAAGCCCAAGATGGCATAAGAGAACAGTTGTTGTTTAAGGGACGGGTTCCTGGCGTAACCAATAATTAAAGAACCAAACACTGATCCAATTCCAGCACCTGAAATTATAATGATTTTTCAAGTAACCGTATTTCTTTCTGGCAAAGGTCAAATTAATGTTCATAATGTACTTTTTGGAGGAATTCGGATCAGAAGGCAAACAGGATAAGGAATGCTATCATTAAGCAAAAGAGACCCATTGCTTCTGACAGCGCAAAACCAAGGATGGCGTAAGCAAAAAATTGCTGTTTCAGGGATGGGTTTCGGGCATAACCAAGGATTAGGGATCCAAAAATTAAACCAACGCCAACCCCTACAACGTAAAGTTTGTTCTTTAAAAAAGAAATATCATATTATAAAGAAAATATATGCGATTACATACCTGATCCTGCAACACCAACAGTAGCTGCACCAGCACCGATGAACTTTGCAGCAGAGTCAATGTCACGACTGATTGTGGAAGTTTGGAAACTACGTACAATTGAAGATTGCATCAAAGGTGACTGGAAAATAATTATTCATATCGTTAGAATATCTGTAACATCTTCAAAAGATTGCAGTGTTATGCGCATTTGAGCACGACGGCTTATATAATCTTTATTAGCTTTGCATTTTTCTCCCAAAATTTAAAGTTGAATTTAATCAAATAATAGTTTCTTTGTCTTTTAAATCTTTCATTGAACCCTTGAACTTTCAAAGATGCCTGTTATACATTTATTATACATTGTCTTCTGAATGACGTAAGTGTTTACAGAGAAACATGTAATATGATATTCAGTTGATATTAATTATTATTAACTAACAATTTAATTGAAGAACCATTTATTTTTTCTTCAAAGAAATTCATATTATGAAAATAAAACAGCTTATGTAATCCTGAACGAAACGAGGTTATGCAATGTGAAAAACTCCAGATGTACTCACAACACTAACCGGGCTTTGAATTTGATTTTGTTGTACGGACTGGCTGTGGCTGACCACGGCACTGCTCAAAGGCCGAATGTAACTCTTGGTTCCAGAAACCAACTGCGAAACGGATAATGTTTAATTATTCGCAAAATCGATCCGGGTTATATAATGACGCGTACGAAAAAATCAGAAAATATAGAAAATTTCTTTTACTCACGGTCGATCTGGCGATGGGTGCGATGAATCGAGTGCAGGCAAACATGATGACGTTTGGTGTTGTGTGGTCGCTAAGCGAGTTTATCTGAAAAGACGGCTAGTGAAAATTTCAAAGTGAATCCACCACGAGTCGTGATTACAGCGCGTGTTAACCCGGCGAGCGGTAACGAATCACTAGCCACGAAGCGATCGTACCGAGCGCAGGATTACGTAACGTCCCAATGAAATCGTTACATGAGATTTGAAGGATGGAGGGCCAAAATTAACTCGTAACACATTAAGAATCAATGATTTCTGTTATCACAGAGATATGTAATTAAAAAGTAGGAAAATCGCAATGGTGGACGGTAACCGATACAGTACAAAATGGCTACTCCAATTCTCTCCCGTAGTGGCTGACATAATTAACAACTTCTCGCTCACGATTATCGAACAATTTATCGGCATCTTACTGTTTGGATAAAAAATGACATTAATGCGATAACAACCGATCGATCCGATGAATTTTCTTTCATTTTAATCATTCTTTTAGGTAACGAACGGCTCGACTTACCAGATTACAAGTTTTGAAGGGGCGGTAAGAGGACCCAGCCTTTGGAATGTTGAATTGGTAAGTGACTAGTGAACAAAGTGCTCCACGAACAGCCTGTCCTGACCGACCGAACTAAACCGACTTCCGTGCGATGACCTATTCACCACTTCCAACGGCCCCGATTCTCTCCGATGTCGTTTATCGACCAACCGAATTTAGCCGAACGGTTTTCGTCTGCAATATCTGATGGATACATTTGTTAATATGCATTTCCGGAAACGTACAGCATTATTCGATTCTATATTATCTTATCTCGAAATTCATATTTCCTTAATAACCTATTTTTCCTCTATTAATCTTTGCTGTAAGACTTCATATAAACATATTATGCGTTGTAAGTCTTCGAGAATATAGATTTTCCTTTGACTCTTGTTCATCCGCAGTGATTTATTTTCTGCAGTTGGCTTAAAAGTTACCATTCTGGTAGTGATATCGATAGTCGATAATATGAATGCAGTTTTTGATTTGTTTTATTTGAAATTATTGATTATGATATTTCCTAAAAAAATATTTTAATAAACAGGGCCGGCCCTGAGATTTCGGGGGTCCTAGGGGGGCCCCGTCACATATGTATATGACATAAAAAACGTACTTCAAATAAGCTTGTATAACTAATTTAGATTTGCATTTACATCAATATTCAAGTAAACATTATTCTTCTTGCATTCTTAGACGCAAAATCGTCTTATGGGGGCCCCAGGCGGCCGCCTAGTCTGCCTAAGCCCAGGGCCGGTCCTGCCTTTCAAAGCATCATTAATAATTGCAATTTTAAATTTAGAATATTTGCAATATGGTCTTTCAAAGCATTATTAATAATTGCAATTTTAGATTTAGAATAATTGCAATATGACTTTCAACAGGGCCGAACCTGAGATATCAGGGGTCCGAGACGAGCTCCGAAAAAGGGTTCCTTCGCATATGTGACATAAAAAAAGTAGCTCAAATAAAATTTATAAGATTAACATTAAAGCTTGTGTAATTAATTTAGATTTGCATTTTCATCGATTAATAATCAAGTAAATATTCTTCTTCTTGCATTCTTAGATGCAAAATCGTCTTATGGGATCCCTGGACCTTGGGGGGCCCTAGGCCCAGGGCCGGCCCTGTTAATAAACAGTATGAGGAATTTTTCAAAGACCAGAATTTAAAAATGAAAGTATAAGGTTTCAAATGAAATTTATTTATTTTATTTTTGTACCATGAAACATGATACGTATGTCATTCTGTGCTATCACGTTTGTGTTGTAACAGTTGTATATCGTTTTCATCATATTGTACTATTTGATTCGCATTGTACATTACAAAAAATCGTTTTCCATGTTCGAATGTTGCAATCATAATCGCACAAGCCGGAGCTACCTTTATGACACGTGGTATCAGTCCTGTGAAGAGTCCTTTTATTCCATTTTGACTATAAATTTTATTTATTATATTCCATGTTCTGCTACTGCGTCCAGGTTTATCTACAATTCAAGTTTATAATACAGTATTTTCATTTCAACCATTGGAAGTATGAGGAATGGAAAAGTAGAATTTTCTATGGTCTATACCTGAATAAATCTCCTTTTCACCCATTTCTATTTGTCTGTGTGTTTTTACTACGTCAAACGGAATCGTTAAAAATGCAGCTATCTGTAAAATTTATGCACATAAATTTACTATTTGTATACTGAACATAGTTATTTGTTTTTATGTTTTACTTACAGAGCCTGCTATAGCACCTGATGTAAGATTAAAAGTAAAAGTTTGCTGTGGTCCTCCAAATTTATCCTTTATAGTTTCGTAATTCAACCAATAAATTGCACTAAATGGCACATCGCGGAGGAGAGTACTACTCAATCCCATCCATAAACCAAAAACACCGCTGTATTTTACAACGGTTTTCAATGCTTGTGTAATTTCTGAAATAGAAAAGCATAGAAAATTTAAATCAATATGGAAAATATGAAAGTTACAGTAAGTAAAAGGGAATACCTGAATAGTTCAATTTTTGAGATTGCATTTTTGTTCTAATTAATTCTAATGGGCTTACTAAAGTTGCAGCCCAAATACGCGCTATTGCTCCAGCCAACATAGGAATCCAAAATGGTTGTTCCTTGCCCCCCATTGTATTATGTTTAATCTTTTTATTATATATATCCTAGAGTAACAGACGAAAATACTGAAGAACTAAAACAGATTTACATACAATGTTGAAGCAAACTTTGCTTACCTTAAAATATAATCTTAACTGTTCATACGAAACAAAATATGCTATAGTCGCAGGTACTGCTAGAACGAGAGTAGGGCTTAGTCCACTCCATAAAGAAAGAATACCTTCGTTTCTACTAATTTTTACAAGGGCATCCTGCAAATACAAAACATAATATTAATATACTTGCATATTTAGTTAAATAAGAAATTACAAATATGGATATACAATTGTGCCATTAAATTTTCCATTCACCCTAGCCCATTCTGGGCCTCTACCATTTAGGCATGGACACAAATGGTCCATTAAGCCGTTACAATAAAGAAAACATTTGTTAGAAAGCATTGCTTTCTGTTGAGTTTGAAGTCGAATTTTTACCACATCCAATGGTGTAACTGAAAAATGTTGGAAATATAATTACGTGCAAAGAATATAAGATAATTAACTATTGTCTTAATCTACTTACCAAACATTGATGTGATAAAAGCACCGGTACAAGCAGCCACAACTTGTTGATACGGTCTAACCCTGAATCTTGGATCGTCCATATCCAAGTTCGGTGGTATAGTAATGCTTAACTTATTCATTTCTAATGTTTATTTTGTACTACATTGATATAACATTAAGGAACTTTTCCTTCCACATTTAACAGCATATTCTTTATCAATAACTTAATAATCATTTTAAAACTGAAAGAACAGTAACACGTGCATATATTAACATAATAAACACCTTGTCAATACATAAAATCTAGGTCTGACTTGGCGGTGTTTAGAATTCGATGATCTAAAAAAATTTTAATGATTGCGTTAATATTTCTATTAATTTCTAAGCTATTCATGAGTCGAATAGGATAGATTAATAAATTGATAATGATTAAATATCTCTTCGTGACTTACCTTTCTCTTTTTGTCTAGCACGTGGTTTCAAACATTTGATTTCATCATGCAATTATAATTTCCTGTAGTAAAATAAGACAATAAATATTTTAGCACCGTGTTATGTAGATGCAAACCGGCCTTCATTCATGAAGATTGCTATAAATATGTATACAATACACATGCACACACACAATTAAACATTAGCAAATCATGATTGGCAAATATACATATATAGTATATGTACGAACATATGCATAAGGTATCAGTTTGGCTGAACTTTACTTTACCGGACTCAAAATTTTCGACATTTTTTTTTTTTAATCTATAGCTTTTTGATACAGAGAATCCAAAAATGCAAGTTTTAACTTTAGGAATTCAATGGTTAAAAAGTTATAAGCGTGTAAAGTTTCATATTTTTAGCACATTTGGTACGTTACTGTGACGCCATATTGGCTTTTTGTCCAATGAACGGTGTCGCTAGCTGCAGGCAGCAGGTGCCGACCACTTTAGCGGGTTTAGTCAAATCGTAAATTTGATACTGTCTGAGTTAGTTAGGTTTATATTTATCTTAAAGAGAGAGCGTACAGCCCATGCATTTGCTTATTACTTCTACTGTATCAATTTTATGGGTAATTTAAATACAGCTAGTGATGGAACCCATACCCAAAAAAGTTTGGTGTCCCCTAACGTAAAGTTTAACCTAAATATAAATCTAACAAACTCAGACAGTATCAAATTTACGGTTTGACTAAACCCGCTAAAGTGGTCAACACCCACATGCGTCTGCCCGCAGCTAGCGACACCATTCATTGGACAAGAACCCACTATGGCGTCACAGTAACGTAGCAAATGCACTAAAAGTGTCAAACTTTACACGCTCATAACTTTTTAACCATTGAATTCCTAAAGTTAAGACTTGCATTTTTGGATTCTATACATCAAAAACTATAGATTAAAAAGAAAAGGTCCAAAATTTTGGGTCCGGTAAAGTACAATTTACCTGATATTTAATATAGATCTAAACTAATTTCTATATTTTATGAATCATTAGCTTCTATCAATCTTTGCAAACTTCAAGATTGTACCTGTAATTATAAAATCAATATGGCGGAAATAAAGGAAAATCTGTTTTACCAGCACATCTATTTGATATTTTTCATTCGGTTCCCTATCTATGATACTGTATATTATATGATCAGTTTGCGCATGCGTATGACACGGATACATTGCGCATGTGTAATTTATCAGTTTGGAGGGGCGTAGAAAGGAGGCCATATTGTACAGTTAAATTGAAAGAACGAAAATAATTATATCATCGTGTAGTTGTGCTTGTTTCGTTTCGTATTTTTACTGTACACATTCGAAACGGTATCGTTAGATTCTCGCAATTAAAGTAACAGTGTACAGGAACCGATTCGAGGTTCCTAATTTTTTTTGTAAATAACTACAAGTCGTAGTAGTGTATCCTGATATCTAGGTACCGTCCGTCAGTCTACTAAAGGGGTTTATTGCTCCGAACGAGATGGGCACTCGGGATGATGAATACGATTATTTATTTAAAGGTAAATCATGTCAATTCGTTCTCGTCGCTTTGTCATCCATTTGCAAAACTTTCTGAGGATTGAACAATTTTTCCACGCATACACACAAATACACATACAGAGACAGTTATTCTCTTGTACGTACACGTATATTCGACATTTGCATATTCCATGTATATGTATATACACACATCTGTACATGCGTGTGTATACATGCTGCTATTCATTGTGTTACATAGTGTTCACGTATGGTTTTAATTCACATATATATGTATATATGCATTTGTAATCGTATATTAATTAAAAACTGACATTTGTCATCGTTCAATAACATGGACGACGAATTAATATCAAGTTTGAATTACAATTGTTGGAATGATTGGCAGAGATCATTCGTAACGTCACGTTTAAACGATGACATCAGAGTTGATCATTCGTACGCGAAAACTTATAGAAAAATCTTTGTTACTTGTCAGTTCAGTAATCTCTACGAAATAGTCATAATTACAGTTAATCGAATGAGTCAGCTGCTTCATTTATTTCCGTTTCATCGCGAGATACCAAGGAACGCTTGTACCTATCTTACTGTAGCTCATCGTTTCCAATAATTTCTCCAATTTGTCTATCGAATGTTCGATCGTCTGTGTGTATATTCCTGTATACGAGCGCATGGTGTCGTTTACGTGTTTCTATCGTGTAGTCACTTCTAAATATATTTACCCTGCGAACACATTTCTCGGTCCTGATATTTTTAATAAACAATAAGATAAGAAAATAGAATTTTATTGTAATAATTTATAATGTTTTTGTTAAATTATTTATCATTTTTTATATGTAATATATACATGTGCTTGTTATATTAATAATTTTAATAATAAGAAGTTGATAAATATGTATTTTTTTATTTATCGGTGTATCCTTATATGTTACTGATATTATTTACCACTTACCGTTATTCTGTTCTTTCAGTTGTTCTTATCGGTGACTCTGGAGTAGGAAAAAGTAATCTGTTATCAAGATTTACGAGAAATGAATTCAACTTAGAATCAAAATCGACTATAGGAGTTGAATTTGCTACGCGTAGTATACAAGTAGATGGAAAAACTATTAAAGCTCAGATTTGGGACACGGCTGGGCAAGAACGTTACCGTGCTATTACATCTGCGTAAGTTGAAGTTGCCACTAGAAAAATCCTCTGAATAAAATGAATAAAACGCTGTAAAAATGGTATATCATCTTTCTGATTTTTTAACGGTTACTAATAGTTCTGTATTATTTACATTTCTTACAGTACGTTTAACATTCATAAATATTGTTTTTAAATCAGAATCGATTTCATTGTTGTCGTCGTCGGTTTATAGATATTATCGTGGTGCAGTTGGAGCCCTGTTGGTATACGATATCGCGAAACATCTAACGTATGAAAATGTGGAAAGATGGTTGCGAGAATTACGGGACCATGCTGATCAAAACATTGTCATTATGTTGGTGGGAAACAAATCTGACTTAAGGCATCTACGCGCAGTTCCAACTGATGAGGCAAAAGCATTCGCAGAGAGAAATGGCCTCTCTTTCATTGAAACATCTGCTTTAGATTCTACCAATGTTGAGACAGCATTTCAAAATATATTAACAGGTACAGGAATTGTTATCTAAATACAGCGAGCCTTCTTGTTTACCTGTTGCTACTTCTGTTCATGCGATTGACATTATTTTCTAGGGTAATAGGGAAAATGCATTTAGTATTATTACATGCGAATACAGAGAAATGTTTGATTGAAATTAGCACCGTAGTGGTCTTCTATATAAATCCATGAAGATTAATACAGTTTTTAACTATTACAGAAATCTACAGAATCGTATCGCAGAAACAGATACGTGATCCACCTGAAGGTGATACAATCCGGCCACAAAACGTAGAACCAATCGACGTGTCACCAACAATGAATTCAGAGGGAATGCGTAAGCCGTGCTGCCAGTGACTCACCTTGCTGCTTAAAATGTGTGTACATGCAAATACAGTATCAATATCACGGAAATACACTCGAATAATACCAAGTTTCTAAGAGAAAATTTAGTCTATGGTCCAGTAAAAGAAAAATACGTTTAAAAAAAAAAGAAAAAAGAACAAAACATGAAAGTTTCTGGGATAAGTCTTTGTACAATAGCATAGTTTTAATATAAGAAAACTATGGTTAGTTAATTATAAATATTAAGTTGATTTGTAAATTGAGTTAATTTTAACATACATCAAAATTAAATATTACTAAAGACACTTTTATTATGTATTTTTTCTTCCAATTATTATTATTCATTGTCCGGTTCTTGTGTACAGTTATGCATTTCAAACTCTAATATCACTTGACCGTAAGAGTAACAGAATTATTAATTATAAGAAAATAGACTGAATGCTCTGCGACATGTTCATATAATTAACATTTGTTACGTCAAAGCAAAGGAAGTTATTACTCAAAATCTCTTTCATTCATGTTTTTTTAATTATTATTTTTTTAAATATTCTATTTAATTTCTCGTTTCCAGAACGAGTCGTTCGTTTTCGTCAGTATTAGATTTTTTTTTACATACATATTTTATAGTGCATAATTTATATATACAGAGTGTCCCAGAAAGAGTGTTAGTCCTTTAAGGGGGTGGTAGCTGGGGTGATTTTGAACAACATCTTTCTTTGCGAAAATGTTGTTTGAAACTTCGTTTTTGAATTATTAAGGAAAAACACTGGCCAATCCAAGCGCGCGGGCTCAGGGACGGCAGCGTCATGGGCTTGGCCCGGGTACCAAACGAATGCTCTGATTGGCCAGTGTTTTTCCTTAATAATTCAAAAACGAAGCTTCAAACAACATTTTCACAAAGGAAAATGTTGTTCAGAATCACCCCAGCTACCACCCCCTTAAAGAACTAACACTCTTTCTGAGACACCCTGTATAATTATGAAATATTTAAATTACTTTTACTCAAGCATATATCAAGCCTACATATAAATAAGCGTTTTCCTTTTTTATACGTAACAGTTGCTAAGAGTTTACAGTGCATTTTTTTTAAATTAACACTTAAAATGTAACTTTCGATTAAATAAATATTCCTTTCAATCATTCGAATGCTTACAAATCAACGATTTTTTTTTTTCGTATATTAGCTTATAACAATTAAAATTATAATTAGATTCGATTCTATTTAACTCAAAATACTTTTTCAGCCAAAATATACAAAAGAACCATCGATCGCATGGAAAGTTTAAGTTTTGTTTGCTTTCAGTGTCGAGGAATTGTTTTTTACATGTTTTATTTTGAGATACGGTATTAGCAACTACCTCAAGATGAGTGAAGAAATTTGGTGTCGAACATCATTGACTGCTGTGACAACAATGTGTTATACGTTAAATAGTTTCTGTGCATTTAGCGCATAAAGTATAATCATATCCTTTTCTTCTCTGCTTTAAAAGGCACTTAGGTAGTATATATATTATCATTTAAAATTGGGTTTCCAATGTATTTATGCATTTCATTGTCTCTCTCTTTCACTTTGTTATTTTCAAATAAACAACATTGTAATAAAAGTCCACGATTAGATGCAACACAACCCGTTTACTCTTTATCTTCATTTTATATTCTAATCACAGTTCAATCGAAGGAAAAGAGCCAGGGCTCTTAATGTTATTCAAACAATATAAATTCATATAATATGATAAATGTTCTCTGCGAGCATTAAGATGATTACGTATCCATTATGATATAATAATAACGTCAGCCCTAAATACAATACTATTAATAACTGCGATTGCGTACGTTTGTGTTTGCAGGACATACAAAGAGGCACAGGCGAAAAGAAAAGTGGTCGATGGTAAACGTAACAGGTGCATACAGTACAAGAGTCAAGACTATTTACGGTTATAAGTATACCCGACTAAGTTTTCCCAAATAATCCGGCGTTCTGGAAGGAGGTTAGATTTTTAATTGCTTGGTGACAAATAGTAGACAAGTGTGCGCTGTTGCGAGCCGTACTTAAAGAGTATTCTTTTACATCTTTGTTCACGGTCGCTTGGCTTCGATGAAACATTCTAAATTGGCATCGCTTTCTCCGACGAAGAGATTAATCACCGTTCTCTCACCGGGAACACCAGAGAAAACTGTATACTTCTCTCGAGTTCCTTTGGATTATTTGGGAAAAATGTATTGTAATCTCGCCGCTAAGAAACGCGAAGAGTCGAGGAAACTAGCGACACTTATACACCATAGCAGATACATACGAGTAAATCATAAACACGATCGTACAATCTAAATACATCATCAGAAATATTAAAAAAAAAGGGCGAAAGTATGTACGCGCTCTTATTCTGTCTTCGAAATTCATCCCCTGTCGCTCTCACTTCCTGTTTCATTTTTTCTTTATCGTTACAATATGTCAATGTTTGTGTTACTGCTTTGTAATACATGTGTAACTCTACTCGACACGTAGTGAGCGATCGTGAATATGCGAATGATTTATAATATTACATAAATAAGATACATCTGAGATATTTGGTTAAAAGTTTGATGCGTAGCCTACAGATTGCAAGGATGATAATTTTTTAATTTTTATTATTCTGTTGGCCTCATTACTTATAAAATATAGAAATTATTTACAATATTATTGTTACAGATTAGCAATTGTTCCTCCACGAGTAAGCAACTTGAGGCATCCTTGAGTAAAGAAAGCGAAGAATTCAATTGAATGTTAAACGAAGAGAAAATTAAATAAAAAACGAAGCAATAGTTGAGAGAGGAAATTTGTATACAATTTGAAAGACCTTTTATCTAGAGGGAAGTATTTATCATTGTACATTAAATGAAAATCTGTTTCATCCTTACGATTAGCAATACATGTTCTCAAAATTTAACCAAATATTTTAGAAACAATCTACACTGTAACACATGAAGTCTTGCGGTTAAAATATACAGGTGCACAACATAGAAGAAACAAAAAAAAAAAAAAGAATGATGATAGAGAAAAGAAACAATGCTTACTATCGAGACATACAAGAAAGCAATGAAAAAAAAAAGAAAACAAAGCTGAATCGGATTTAACACTCTATTGTTGCTCACTCTCTGCTTTCGAATTTGCACCGTAGCGTTGACCTTGAAGTACGATAAGGAGCATGTCCACGAAAAAAAAGTACTTTATTTTTTTTCTCTTCTGAAAGGAGGAAAAAAGAAACAAAAAGAGAATCATCGTAGATACACAAATTGAAACTATGCGTAAGCGATGAGGAAAGTACATGAGAAACATTGATGAAAAATTGTATCGTACTTTCTAGCGTCTAATAAGTATTGCTTTAATGTGTGTAGCCGCAATGTAATCTGTTATCATTACAAGTCCTCGTTGTATCTTGATGAATAAATAGAGAGTGAGTAAAACGTTGAAATATTAAGATATCTAAACCTCGTTCTGTTGTGCGAGGCGTGTTCGCTGGTTCGTGTAATAATAATTGAACCAATTGTTCGGAGACACAGTGAACGGTGTCTGTTCAAGGCTACAATACGGGGGAATATACTTAATAAACGAATTTTGCAATACTTTTTACGATACTGCCATAAATGATTTTTATAGTGCTTTACGGATAGGATAAACCTCGCCGATTTCAATGACCTTGATACATGTTATAAAGGTCAATGTACCGAGTAATTTTCTCTATGCGTACAATGTCAATCATAGTGTCCGTTCGTCTAGTGTATTTTGTAATTTCAAATAAATTATTAAAATTCTAAATTATTGAATATTCTATCAGATGATATAATCAGATGATTATGTTAATTATTTTAACGATTTTATTAAGTAATTAGATTTATGATATTTGCTCCAAAGTCAGTGCTTTTTCACTAGACGAACAGACACTATGATTGATATTGTATAACCTTTACTCCGCCTTTAGTTTCAAAGTATTAGGTGTACAAATTAATTCGGTGCCTTTTCTATTTTTAATTAATGGCTTATTTTTAAGAAGTTATACAATTATTGAATTTATTGTTATCGATATATTCTCGCGCCATTTTTCAAATTCACTAAAGCGCGGGAAAATATTCGAATTTAAAATAGTAACCAAGAAATTAATTTGTACACGTAATTTCTTTCATTCATTTTTTACTTCTAGAGGCAGCAGTCTTACGCTAAAAATAAAGTCGTATTTATGTAAAGTAGAAAAAGTAAATTTACTCAGAAAACTGACCTTCATTTCACACTCCAAGGTCATTGATATCGGCCAGATTTATCTTGTTCTATGCAATTACCATGAAAGGTTGCATTAATTTTGATATAAAGATTGAACACAATGGAAGACCGTTGTTTTACTTTTTTAATTAACAACATAAATGTTTGTAAAGAATCACGTGTAATTGTTAGGTTCTTTTATTTTGTAGATTTCAACCAGAATAGATTATTTTTAGTTACGTCATGTAACGGTAATTTTAAACGTGATCGAGATACTGTTTCAAAAATAGTATGAATGTTATTTCAAATATTCTTTTTCTTCAACGATAACATTTATTTTTAATGAATTTATTGTGAAAAAAGAACTGTATCGAAATGTTTATAATATTTTATATAGCATATAGAAATAATCACTTCCAGTATGTTCCCTCGTAAAAGCAATCAGCTTAAAAATGAATTCATTTTAAATGAAGAATCATCATTTCATGTCAGCGCGATACTTGCGATAAAATGGAAAACATATTTTGCCCCCCCCCTCCTCTGGTATATACTTTTTTATTTTATTTTGTATCCTTAGATTACAAGAACACGGTCCTTATGGCACTTTGAGGTGTGAGTTGCCGTTATGTTGAGCGAGAATGAATCTGTACGAACGGGATTTAGAATGATAAATTAGACGTTATTGAAGATCAGTTTATTCTCGGTTGATTGAAAAAAAAGGGGTTGCCGAGTCCACGGAATAACGCGAGATTTTATTAATCAATGCTTTGTACTTTATAATTTTATTAATAAAATCACTTTTGCTTTGAACACATATGTACTAATATGTTAATTCAATAAATTGATCGTTAATCATGCTGCCTCGAGCGGCGTTTTTGTTCAGATAATTATTTTTTATTAGTACAGTTGTTTATTTAATCAAAAGGTGAAGAAATAAAACATCCTCGTGTTTGATTATTATATAAAATGTATCATTTTAATATCACTGAAACAACTATTTATTTTTACACAAATAATAAAAAAGAATTCAGTGATAGCTTTATATAAATATGTTACATTGAAACACTGTCATATCTTTAAGAGTTAAGTAGAGAATTTCAATAGTGCAAAAGGCATACATACTAATAAACTGTACAATTATTTACAAGTTTTACGAACTTCGTTTTTTACATTGTGCTTTCGCTGTTATAAAATTGTTTGAACTATTTATAAAGTTATTTACATTATGAACATACAACTTCCTGCACACTCAGTGCTATTTTAAAGACACTTTATGAAATAGAGAAGTTTAAAACCACGAATTTCAATAATTACAAAAGCATACAGATAAATATTATTTTATATCGTGGTTAAAACAAGGAACTATGAAGGCATAGCTGCGGATGCCGGCTCAAGGCGTACTGTATTCCTCTGACCACCACCACAACTTTTCTGTCTCCACTCAATCCATCTTAACAATTCTGGACTTTGAGATGTATCATTAATATCCGTCCTAGCTTCTAATTGTTGATAATACGCTTCGCGTAATAACCGGAATGTTTGAACATTTTTGTAGGGTAGCTGAGTCATGGGATCCAGATATTTTGCTGGAAGTCTACAAAGATTTTTTGATTGAAATAGAAAGTACGCTTTGAAAAAATAATTACATAATATACTTCTACAATTATACCTTGTTATCGCACATAAAGCTTTCGTCGGTGGTCTCTGAACCGTAGGTTTCTTAAAAGCTGCCGAAAACAGCTGTTCATTTTCAAAAGTAATAAATGTTCGTTCGTAATATCCTTTTGTCTGCTCGTAACGACATTTACTTTTTGTCGAGGAATCTTTTTTTGGAATTTCTTTAACTTCATTTTCTGGTTTCACATCACTGAAATTAGAGAAGTTTCAATAATGGTATCTCCAAATTTAATTGCAGAGAAATTATAGTACCTTTCTTGTGTCGCTTCATCTGTATCTTCGTTTTCAACATTTTCACTTGTACTCTTTTCATCATCTCCATCTATATTAATTTTATCTTCTTCTTTATTAAGATTCACTTCGGAGAGTACCATAACAGGCATTGCTAACGACTGATACCTAATCATAGGTCCAGTTTGTGCTTTTCTCACTGTTCTAGTGTTTTTCTTCTCATTTTCCAATTTTTGATACTTTTCTAATGACTTCACATTAATTTGTTCAGTTTCTAGTGCTTCCTCTAATAATTCTTCCTGAGTTGGTTTATACGTATCATATCTTTTAGTTCTTGTTTTCCTCTTTTGATCCTCGTTTCTTTCTTTCAATCTCCTCTGCGTTGCAGCTGATTTTGCGGCGGTAGAACGACGTATAGATTTCCTTTCTAAAAAATACTTAAGCTTAGTTTGTAGTCTTATTGTATAACACAGATACACTTATATATTTACCTATACTTTCCATAAAAATTTTTTGTCTCGGCTGTCTAACTTTTTTCTCTTTAGATGCTAATTGAGACTGAACTTTAGGTTCTTTATAGGCTTTTGTTACTAGTAATCTACGCTTCTTTTTGGGTCCTTCTTGTTCGGTATCAGAAATGGGTTCATCATTTTCATCTATGCTAAAATCTGAATCTACTTCGTCTTCCGCTTCATCCTCTTCCCTATATTAATATAAATTATTTGTTATCAATCTTTACAGGGATACAATAAACTTAAATTGATTTAAACTAGATATTAACATGTAATCATGATCCTGTTCAACTTCATCAAATCCACCGTATGTTGTTTTATAGAAATCATCTTCTTCTTCTTCATTCAAGAGTTTTGCCATTTTATTACCGGCATTTGCACGCCTTTCCCTGTTCGATGCCATTTTTGTTTATGTTTATAAACAATTCTGTTAGAAATCTTATTAGAATGGCAAGATTTAGGTTAAATCAAGTTAACCTGAAAATAGAAGACGAAATAGACATAAGTATTTATTTGATACGTTAAATTACAGGTTATTTTTAATAGAAAAACGTAATTACCGTTACAAATGATTAAATGTTTTATTTCTTACAAGAAAAAACTTATTTTCTCAGACGATTTTAAATACATCCCCCTACTTGTTTACATGCTATTGCATCAATTTACTATCGATAGTACTATCGTTCTCGTTAATCCAACTTATCGATAGCAAGTGAAAAAAAAATCACTAGCTGATTACCACGCGGGAAAAGGAGCGAAAATTTGAATTACAAATTGAAAACTAATGAATACAAAAGTAGAAAAACTTAATTAAAATTGATCGAAGATATTCGTCTAGAATAATAATGAAGTAGTATATTCGTTAACAATAACAACATTTAGACACGAAGTGTATAAACTTAGTGTTTCACAATAGTTACAGATAATACACATTGGTTGCAACAAATGTAAGATACGAATGACGGGTAACAAGGCATTCTGATAAAATGACTATAATTTATCGGTAGTTTTCTCCTCGTGTAAACATTTTCTATAATAATGGCACTTAAAGTGGGAGATTACTCGAAAGAATTATTGCATTAATGGTAATGGAAAATTCCTCTGTACACCTAAGTATTTTTGTTCTTTTATTTTTAATGATACGGACAATATTTAGGGGCAAAGTTACAAGATTCAAAGGAATCGATAATGACGTTGTTATTTTGCCGAGACATCAGAATTATCAAAATCGTATTTTAAAATGTAATTATGTAATTTTGTATTACCCCTTGCCGTACTTTGACAAATCTGACTCCTGACGTTCCTACAGTTCTAATATGACTAAACTGAATCGGATCTGTATTTCAATTGAATTTCAAGTATAATTACAATTAGAATTTGCACAACCGGGAACCTGTAAATACAATACATGCATAATATTTCAATTTCCTTGATTTGCCTCAATATGATAGCAGTGATTAGTTAGCTTTGACAGACGTAGATGCTGAGAAAATGGTACAACAAGGGGTTAAAGTTTATTAGAATAATACGACCTTCGTATAAAATGCGTATTGTACGGCTGTAAACAGAAATCTTTATCTTTGCAGTCAATAATAATTAATAGACCAGATGGACAGAAGATTATTTTAAAAAAAATCTCCTCTTTAATTGCTGTAGGATATGAAGCAGGTAAGATAGGACAGGGTTTTAGCTGAAAATTTATGGCAGCCGATGAACGGCAACTAATTATATCATTAAAAAATATTCGTTGATAAGGATTAACGAACATTGCTCTGACACATGTTTACATGCGTGAACAATATATATCAGGGCGAATCCGTAGCTGCGAGCAATCCTCTCCAGGCCACGGCGCAACGTAGACACGGGCACAGCTGTTCTATATAACCTTAAAAAACAAGAAGATTTCGAAAGTTTTTATTTGCCGGCAAAATGAGTAAGCCGATGTTTGATCAAACTCTCGAAGAAATTCTGGAGAAGAATTTGCCGGAGAGAGAACTAACCGAAGTGAAACGTCTCCTATATGGACGTGAATTACAGTAAGATTTATCATTCATTTTATCAGGGTCGGCCCTGGGCCTAGGGAAAATAGGCGGCCGCCTAGGGCCCCCATAAGGCGATTTTGCATCTAAGAATGTTTACTTGAATATTAATCGATGTAAATGCAAATCTAAATTAGTTATACAAGCTTTAATGTTTATTTTATAAATTTTATTTGAGGTATTTTTTTTTATGTCATATATGGGAAGGGGCCCTTTTTCGGAGCTCGTCTCAGACTCTTGAAATCTCAGGGCTGGCCCTGTTGAAAGGCCATATTGCAATTATTCTAAATCTAAAATTTGAAAGATCATATTGCAATTATTAATGATGCTTTGAAAGGCCATATTGCAATTATTCTAAATTTAAAATTGTAATTATTCTAAATCTAAAATTGCAATTATTAATGATGCTTCCAAAGGCAGGGCCGACCCTGGGCCTAGGTACACTAGGCTGCCGCTTAGGGCCCCGCAAGGTCTAGGGACCCCATAAGACGAATTTGCGTCTAAGAATGCCAGAAAAGTAATGTTTATTTGAATATTAATTTAAATTAGTTATACAAGCTTTAATATTAATTTTATAAATTTTATTTGAGCTACTTTTTTTATGTTATATATGTGAAGGGGCCCTTTTAAAGAGCTTGCCTCGAACCCCCGAAATCTGAGGGCCGGCCCTGCATTTTATAGTTGCTTTTCACGAAACAATATGGCGGGAAATATTTCCAGTTTTGAACGCGAGTAAAACTAGGGACAGGATAGTTTTACAAATTAGATACAATTTGTACATCGTTACATATTAATAACTTTATAATTTATTAATAGGCCCCTAAATCTTCCCAAATGGACCGGTACCCAGAAGTTTGATGTCCAAGGATACGTTATGGGCGGAGGAGTGACGGAACAGTTGCGTCCTCCCCGGATCGTTCGTGTCGGTGCAATTCAAAATTCTATAGTGCTGCCCACCACGGAACCCTTACAAAAACAAAGAAACGCATTGCACTTGAAAATCCAAAAGTATGTCGACTATGCCGCCTCCTGTGGCGTTAACATACTCTGTCTCCAAGAGATGTGGGGTACGTAGAAATGTACAAGCTGTTAATTAAAAATTATTTAGATAACAACACTGAAACCGTACGTGTATTTCGTCGTTTTCATGATCTCAATGTACAGTTATATAATCCTGGTCTTAAATTAGTTTAAGAAGATTAGATAAGATACAGATGGTTTCTCTGAGAGACATTCAATAAGATGAATATCATCCTTTTCAATGAAAGCATGTAGATTATTATGAATATTATTTTACAATATTCCAGCTATGCCATTTGCATTTTGCACCAGAGAAAAATATCCCTGGTGCGAGATGGCCGAGGATGCCGAGAACGGTCCAACGATAATACTCATGTGCGACCTCGCTCAACGGCATGGAATGGTAATTATATGTTCGGTTCTGGAGAGAGACACCGCAAATGGTGATATCTTGTGGAACACCTCTGTCGTGATCGACTCGGACGGAAAGATACTTGGAAAGCACAGGAAAAACCACATTCCTCGCGTAGGCGACTTCAACGAGTCCACGTACTACATGGAAGGAAACACAGGGCACCCTGTTTTTGATACTTCCTTCGGGCGCGTAGCCATTAACATTTGTTATGGACGACATCATCCACAAAATTGGATGATGTTTGGCTTGAACGGTGCCGAGGTAAACTTTGCTAATTCTTCAAAGTATAGGGTCTCTCGTAACTCCTATGACACCCGGAAATGGGGGGTTGCTGAGGCTATTCTGAACAACTTTTCCCTTTACCAAAATGTTGGTCGAAGCTTCGTTTTTGAATTATTAAAGAAAAACTCTGGCCAATGAAAGCGTTAGCTCCGAACCACGCTCGGTCGTGAACAAACGCATTGGCACAGCGTGGGTTCCCTCGATACCTGCGCTGTGGCAATGCATTTGTTCACGACCGAGCGCGGTTTAGAGCCAACGCTCAATCTCGGGAGCGTTGGCTCTGAACCGCGCTCGGTCGTGAACAAATGCATTTCATTAATGTAGAATTAGTCGCACGCTGTGCTAATGCGTTTGTTCACGACCGAGCGCGGTTCAGAGCCAACACTTAACCTCGGGAGCGTTGGCTCTGAACCGCGCTCGGTCGTGAACAAATGCATATCATTAATGTAGAATTAGTCGCACGCTGTGCTAATGCGTTTGTTCACGACCGAGCGCGGTTCAGAGCCAACTCTCTTGTGCTCGAGCGCGTGCTCTGATTGGCCAGTGTTTTTCGTTAATAATTTAAAAACGAAGCTTCGACCAACATTTTGGTAAAGGAAAAAGTTGTTCAGAATCACCCCAGGAACCCCCCATTTCTGTGCGTTACGAGTTCTGGGACACGCTGTATAAAATCTTCTCTGATAGAATTATCAAGCTCGGTACATTGCATATTTCATACGCTTAGATCGTCTTCAATCCATCGGCAACGACCAGCCACACATCCGAACCATTGTGGTCCATCGAAGCAAGGAACGCAGCCATAGCGAACAGTTATTATACTTGTGCGATCAATCGCGTGGGAACAGAGACGTTCCCCAATGAATTTACATCAGGGGACGGGGCCCCGGCGCACCGTGATTTTGGACATTTCTATGGATCTAGCTACATCACTTCTCCGGACGGAACTCGTACTCCTGGTTTAAGTCGCTGCAAAGACGGTCTTCTTGTCTGCGAATTAGATTTGAACTTGTGTCGTCAGATGAAGGACTTCTGGTGTCTGAGAGTAAGTTTTCATTTGAATTGCACTTCCATGCTCTTTTTCTATATTTTCATTTCTACATTTCAGATGACTCAGCGACTGGACTTGTACGCTACTGAACTTACCGACTTTGTTAAGAAAAATGTGAAACTGTACGAGAAAACAAGCCAGTAAGCTTTGAACAATGGAACCATGGTGAATGGCTCGAATGATATATACACTTTGTTGAAAATGTATAAGTTGAAGAAAACATGAAAATATGTACATGTGTTTATATACATAATACCAGTTATATTTTCTATTTCGAACAATTTTAAATAAAACGACAAAGCACGAGATTTTATATGAAGACTGATTCGTTTTATTTGCATTTCAGTCAGTTATTTAAAAATATAAATAATTTTCTGAAAAAGACGCGACTTAAACATAAGTCTATAAATTACTTAATTCATACGTTAAAGTTCTTTTTACAATACTTACAAAGATCATCTTCGAGAGAACTACTTAATTATATCCTAGTACCTTATTAGGATTCTAAAGCTATTAGCTGGCCGAGCCAGCGTTCAACGACGTGTTGTGAGTTTGTTTCCTATAATGGAGCGCTTCTTGATACGCTTTCTTTACAGCTTTACGATCAGCCGGTTTTCGAGACTCGATTAACTTTGCTTCGTCTAATTCTTGGGAAACTCCAAGTTTTTCTAGTTTCTCCCCTGGTAACCATTGCCTATAACAATGTTTACATATCAAGCGAACGAACAAAACAATAGAAAATTATCTTCTGCCGTTGTAACGTAATTGCAGAAATAAAATTACCATGTCCGTTTGGTGTCGAAGAAAAGAACAAGAAATACTGGTTCTTTGTAATTAACGGCAAGAGCTAACACATCATCAGGTGGAGCTGGTATAGGTACACCTTTATGTACAGTTCCCCTAGGTGTATTAGGGTCTATTATCAGAGCCGGGTACCATGGATAACCACGACATTTTGCCCAAACAAGTTGCAACGCTTCTAAACCGTTACTAGCCGCTTCCTGTTTACTTTCAAGTTCTTTCTTTGCCTCGTCCGCTTCTTGCCTTTGTTTTTCTTCTTCTAAATCTGGAGTGGTAGATCTACTCGTTGAACAACTGCTACAACTGGACGACTGACTTTCACCTTCTCCCACGTCGCTGTCCATAGTTCCACTTCTGCAAAATATCGTTTATATAAAACAACATTCTGTAAAATATACTGGGTGTCCCAGAAAGAGTGTAAGCCGCTTAAGGGGGTGATAGCTGGGGTGATTCTGAACAACATTTTTCTTTGCGAAAATGTTGTTTGAAGCTTCGTTTTTGAATTATTAAGGAAAAACATTGGCCAATCGGAGCGCGCTTGGCGCGCGGGCTCAGGGGCGGCGGCGTCGGCTACGAAACCCGGGCCTGGCCTGAGTCCCGAACGATTTAGGTAAGTTCATTGACTCGACTTTTAAATCAGGTGTTCTGCCAGTGGCAGTTAACTGTTTTCAGTGTAGCAGGTTAATTTAGGGGCGAATGAGAAAGTTTCGTTTCAATTTCTTCGCAAAATTTTCATCGTTAACGTACCCTCCAATTCAAACGCTTATTAATTATTTAATTTCAATCATTTTTGTTTGTTGCTTAGCAGTGGCAGCTCGTAGCTAAAATTAGTGGGGGTGCTACGCCAGAAAACTTTTAGCCTTTGTTTTAAGAAACCGGCACTGCGGGAGTGACAGTGCTCTCTCGCGCAGCTTCCTATGTGCGCATGCGCACACGGTCGTACGCCGCGCCACTTGAACTGTGAAGCGCACAGTTCTATACAAAGATTTTTTTACAATATCAATCATAGTGTCCGTTCGTCTAGTGTATTTTGTAATTTTTTCAAATATATTATTGAATATTCTAAAGCTTTTATCAGATGATTATGTTATTTATTTTAGCGCTTTTATATTTGCTACGGTTAAACTTGGACGCCAAGGTCAGTGCTTTTTCACTAGACGAAAAGATACTATGATTGATATTGTATCTTTTTCATAAACTGAGGGATGGCTACTGACATTAAGCTTAAGAATTATATATTGTACAAGTATAAAGAAAGAATGAAAGAAGAAGGGACTCATTATATTAAATGTTATACGCGAGCCACCACTGTTGCTTAGAATTTCTTTTTTTACATTTTTATGACAAGTGGCAAGAGATTAGGTTTCGTTCGAGACTTATCGTTAGGCCAAGCCCGGGTTTCGTAGCCGACGCTGCCGTCCCTGAGCCCGCGCGCTCGGATTGGCCAGTGTTTTTCCTTAATAATTCAAAAACGACGCTTCACACAACATTTTCGCAAAGAAAAATGTTGTTCAGAATCACCCCAGCTATCACCCCCCTAAGCGGCTTACACTCTTTCTGGGACACCCTGTATAGAAAATAGTATACATACCTGTATACTTTGAAACTATCACTCTGCTTCTTTTTATCATCGTCTAAGGCAAACGTTTGATTACTTCTACTGGCACGCTCTCTTGCTTTGCGAGTGAAGAGAACAGCCGTCCTTCTGTTCACACCACCCCCGCCTATTTCTTTTTCCCCGGACTGCGATTCTGCCTCGCCACGACTTCGATTAGCTCGGTCCCGTTTTCTCGACTTAACGACTCCCGTTTGCTCGGATTCATTGACAGGGTCCAATTCAGGATAGTCCTTACGGGCTTGCTCTATCAGAGCACCGCCTTGTTCCTTCATCTTCGTTCCAGCACGATAGAACATCGTGTCTTTACGATTGTACGCCAGACAGTTGCTTACCATTAAATTGAAGTCCGCTTCGAAAGCTCCTATAGTGTCATATTCCTGCCTTTCAATTTTTGCCTAAAGGAACAATTGTAAAGTAAATAAAAATTAACTGAAAATTAATTGAAGAATGAATTACCTGCATGGTAGAGAGATCCATAGGGTGTGATACAATTTCTAAATAATCTGGCACTTCCTTGGTGTTCACCGGCTGACCAAATACATCATTTACATCCTTCAATTTAATTGCTTCCAATAAAGTACGAAGAACGCTTTCTAGTGGACGCAATTCGAACCACAAACACTTTTCCTTCCTGTAAAATAAATCAGGTGTTTATGCATTTGTTAGAAATTTAATGTTCAGCAGAGTCGCTCTTTAGAATCCTTACACTTTGAATAACTCTTTTTTCAGCTTCTCGCGTTTCCGCACTAATTCACAGAGCAATCTAGCGCGTTCAAGATCCTGACGGAGGCACTGCCAATATTTTAATTGACGGTACAGCTCTCCGCGTAGCTCGCTGTCCGGCGCTGGCGAGGAATTGTCACCGAGGGTCGGCGGTCTGGATTGCGGATGGGAACTTTGAAGTCTTCTAAGAAGAGGAACACCGTTTCTGTATTGGCGTTTTAGAGTCCAGTATGCTATAAGACGCTGAATTAGTTGACTTCGTTTAGGCAATCCTTCAGCTAAGCTAATTAATATCAGAAAATATTAATAAAATAAATAAGCTCCTCTATGCATCTCTAACATGCTAAATATATTGTTAACAGTTACCTAGCAATTTCTTTGATACGTTCAGGCGGTATAGTCGGGATAGATATAACTGGGGCTGAAGAGCTTTTCTTATTAGCTATAGCTCTCCTTCTTGCATCCGCAGGGTTAGTGGAAGGTTGGTAATCCGAAGGTGTGTGCGCTTCACAGTAAGCCGTCTTCTGTACCAACATGGGTTCTCCGTTCGTAGGTTGGACCGTCCTCATACGCATACAGAGGCCAGCCTGCTGGGCGCACGTGACGTGAAACGCAGCGTAGCAGTTGCTTTTGTAACACTGGATACAAGCACCTGACCCTCTACGCTTGCACACGCAACAGGTGAGTCGCCAACGAGCCGCAGGTATGCTTTCTATACTGTCTATAGGCTCCAAAAATACGGTGTTGGCGAATCTTACTTCTGGTATCCACAAAGCGCACACAACGTGGGCCCATGTAGCTGGACGGTCGGTTTGCTTGAACGCCCCGCCCCTGTTTGGACACAGCACACAATCCACAGCCCGAGAAGGACTCTGCAGACATCTTCTGCATAACCATTGTCCTTCAGGAATATACGGTACACCGTAACAATCCTGATGAACAGCGAGATTGCACATATCACAGAACAATATGGCATTGCTGTTTTGACACTCTCCGTCCATACAGATGCAGCATACTGCATCCTCGTCAGCTGCTATTCCTCCTCCGCCATTACTCTGTTGCTGAAAATATGATTCTTTTTCCAACCTGTCCATTAATAATTCAAATGTGTCGGGTTCTAAAGGAGGATTAAGTCCAGAGGCCAGCCTTCTTTCATTCACTATGGATAACCATGCGGTATCCTCTTCGTCTAAATCGTATTCTACTTCTCCTATGGAGCAAAATTTTCTTTATGAGAAACTTTGTAATTTATGGAGATACTGGTGAGTTATTGTATCAATTGAAATAGATACTTTTAATGAAATTATATACCATCGAGTTCTTCACCGCTACGTTCCATGAATCTAATATATGAATTTGGAAGAGGTTCAGCTTCCCCTAATTGCTCTTCGTACCCATCTATTTCTTTAACCATAGCAACGGGTAAGCTACTTAGAATATTCTTCTCTTCTTTATCTTTATCGGATGGTATATTATGTCCTTTTTGAGTGGTCTTCTCATCGAAACTATTTCCCTCCAAGGAGATGATAGGAATAGAATCTGTGATCCCGATCTTGAATGTTTTGTTTGCATCTTCGCCAATTGGATTTACCTTAACAATGAATCACAATGTTATTCCTTACAATTATTTAATCTTTTTGTAAATGAAAATGATCAATACCAAAACAAATTTCGAGGACTCTTGTGAGCTTAACGTTTCGGTATTTGCGGGACTGTTGCTCTCGTTATTAATACCAATTCTACTTCTGCCTTTTTTTTTATTCGACTGAGGAGTATTCATTTTCTCTTAAAATTCTGTATATTGTAAACGACAATTAACGTGGTTATATCACCCACACTTTGGTCCTTTTTACATATGTTTCATGTTGTCAAAGCATCGGCTGGCGTTTTAAATGTTACAATCAGACAAGCAGATGGTCCAATCATTTTCCTTTACATATATTTTCGTTGAAATGATTTTGCATCAATTTGCATTTGACATGAAAAAAGAACGCTCACTAACGTTCAAACAGGTAAACTAACCAATTTAAGCGGCAAACATAATGTATACCGACAAGTTAGTATAATGAAAGTACTTTAAGTACTTTTTCCATAGAAATTCATTTTTCGATTGGTGGATTTTGAAAGAAGAAAAACATTTTTTGTCATTTCAATTCAAACACGTTAATAAC